AGTCAGCAGACACATTCCAGCCAATCAGCAGCAGACCCTCCCTCCCAGACCCTCCCACCTCCTGGACAGCTCACTAAGAATGCAGCTTCACAATGGATGCTGTCCAGGAGGTGGGAGGGTCTGGGAGGGAGGGTCTGCTGCTGATTGGCTGGAATGTGTCTGCTGACTGTGAGGTACAGGGTCAAAGTTTACTCAATGATGAGTCCGTGGCGAACCGTTCGTGGCGAACCGTTCGCGAACCGTTCAGCGAACCGTTCGGGACATCTCTAGTTATCAAGTCAAGGCTGTTTGTTGTTTTGTTCTGCTCATGTGCTAACATTTACAAATGTTTTGGATACTGGTTATTTGTTCAAAATGTCATTTTCAACTCCTTTGAAATGCTGAAACAGCTAAATTTTCAATAGTCTCATTAAAATGTTGGGTATTCCTATATCGCGGAATTGTGATCTCTGAGACTTGAATGTTTAATGTATGGTATAGTGTCCTTTACAGCAAACTGATGATGGTAAAAGTGGTGACATAAAGGAGTTAATTTATCAAAGTATTTTGTTCAGAAAAGTTGTCTAAAGTACTATAAGTGGGGCAATCACCATAGAAACTAACTATTAAATATTAAATATGAGATTGTATATACCCTATGAAATCTCTCTGCCAACTTAAACTAGATGAATTTTCGCCAGCTGACTTTTTCCCCAAATTCAGGAGATTCCATTTCTTTCTAATATTGGGAGAATCATTAATCTCATGAGGTCAATGCTGAACTCAGGGTAAAACAGAGGGCACTAATGTCATGTGTAATCGTAACTTGTTAACTTGTTAATTTGTTGTATGTTGAGGTTGAGTTTTTTTCAATATCTGTAACTTTTTATTTGAATTAATTTTAGTTTATCTGCAGCCAGAAGAGACCACTAAGGATGAGGGGGGAGAGTAGAGATCACTAATGGAAAGGGGTGGAGAAGAGGAGAGTACACTAAGGGAGGCAGGGGAGGAGAGTAGGGGAGGAGAGTAGAGACCACTGAGGGGGGGAGAGGAGAGACCACTAAAGGGGTGGGGGAGAGGAGAGATGACTAATGGAAGGGGGGAGAGACCATTAGGGGAGCAGAGGAGAGCAGAGACCACTAAGGGGAGGATTGGAGAGGAGAGATCACTAATGGAAAGGGGGGAGAAGAGGAGAGTACACTAAGGGAGGCAGGGGAGGAGAGTAGAGATGAGGGGAGGGGGGAGAGGAGAGACCACTAATGGGGTGGGGAATGGAGAGACCACTAATGGAAGGGGGGAGGAGAGACAACTAGGGTGGAGGGGGCAGAGGAGAGCAGAGACCACTTAGGGGAGGGGGGATAGAAAAGATCACTTATGGTAAGGAGGGGGAGAAGAGGAAAGTACACTAAGGGAGGTGGGGATAGCTCTGTGGGGGCGGGAGTGTTAGGAAAGAGCACTAAGGGATGTGGGGAGCACCAATGGACGGGGGGCAGGGTAGGAGAGAGCACTAGGAGACAGGAGGGTAGAGCACTATGGGAAATGGGCGGGGAGTTCACTAAAGCACACAGGAGATCACTAAGATCACAGGAGGGGAGGGCAGTAAGGGGCAAGAGAGGCTGAGGAAGGAGGGAAAGAGAAGCACAAAGGGGCTGGTAGGACTCAGCCCCTATCCTACCCCACAAGCTCTCCCTTTCACACTACACACACAATGCTTCCCTATTCATACACAGAAACACACAGTGCTTCCCTACACATACAGAAACACACCATACTTCTCTTACACACAGAGAAACACACAATGCATCAATTACACACAAAGACAATGCATCCCTTGCACACATACACACAAACACACACTGCTTCTCTTACACACACAGAAACACAGTACATCTCTTACACACACACGCAATGCAACCCTTACAGACACACACACTGCATCCCTTACATACACAGAAACACACCTTGCATCCCTTACACATCCAAACATAGATTCACACAATGCACCCCTTAAACACAGCCAGAAACACACAATACATTCCTTATACACAAACCCACACTGCTTTCTATCCCTTACACAAAAACACACTGCATCCACTACACACACACACACTGCATCACCTACACAAACTGTTATCCCTATACACTACATTCCATAAGCACACACTTTAGATCCTCTACACTAACACGTAACACATCCCTTACACACTCCACTCCCTGTGAGCGAACTCGTGGGTGGAACATGTAGATGGACTTATGGGTGGGTCTTATGGGCATTCTCACTGTCAGGCCCTGGGGGGCCAGACCTTGAGCTGTATAATGGGCCCCCAAAAATGGAGCTGCTTCCCGTTCTCCCAGAACATTAAATTTTGTGACCACAGTTACAAACAGCCACCAGAGAGCCTGTTCTACACCAGACCAGTGGAGCCAAACTGCAGCTAGAGCCCATCACCATCCTCATCTGGTTGCAAGTAGGCAATCTAGTATATTATTAGTGACACTAGTCTCTAATTTACCTCACATTAAAGGGACACTATAGTCCCCAGGACCACTGCAGTTTAATGTAATGGTTCTGGTGTCTATAGCCTGTTTCTACAGGATTTTAAATGTAAGCACACACTGTATGCAGCACTGGCGTTAGTTCATATGGCAGATCATATGGGTGGGGCATTGTGATGTCACTGGGGGGGGGGTGGCAAATCTTTCTTTTGCCTAGGGCAGCAAAAATCCTAGGAGGAGGCAAACCTTTGCAATAATCATGCTGTCTAATCAGCATCTTGATATGCCACACCTGTGAGGTGGATGGATTATCTCGGCAAAGGAGAATTGCTCACTAACACAGATTTAGACAGATTTGTCAACAATATTTGAGAGAAATAGGCCTTTTGTGTATATAGAAAATGTCTTAGATCTTTAAGTTCAGCTCATGCAAAATGGGGGCAGAAACAAAAGTGTTGCGTTTATAATTTTGTTCAGTGTAATTTAGTTTCTCGCTTGCTTGGAAGGATGACCTATGAGTTACTTGCCCACAGTCAAGGATTCTCATTAGTTCTTTTTTATGCTCTCGTCATGTGATGCAAAAGTAGACAAATGAATTACGTTTTCCATGTTTTCCTCATTAGATCGTGTGAGTACGATGTCATGAGGACCAACATTTTGAAAATGCTATCCTATCGTTTTCCATATACATTTTCCCTTATGCTAAAACAATGCTGACTTAATGATGTTACCAGGGGTGAGCCAAAGTCGGGACTCCTGGGTGCAAGATTGTTTTTTTAGCATACCTTTGGGCATTGTTTAATTCAGTGTTTTTCAACCTTTTTTGGTCAAAGGCACACTTGTTTCATGAAAAAAATCACGAGGCACACCACCATTAGAAAATGTTAAAAAATTTAACTCTGTGCCTATATTGACTATATATATAAAGTAATTCTCTTGAATAGGAATCAAATAAACACCCATCTCCCTCCCTCCCTCCTTCCTTTCCCTGTCTCTCCCATCTCCCTGCCTCCCTCCTTTCCCTGTCTCTCCCATCTCCCTCCCTCCTTTCCTTTCCCTGTCTCTCCCATCTCCCTCCCTCCTTTCTTTCCCTGTCTCTCACATCTCCCTCCCTCCCTCCTTTCCCTGTCTCTCCCATCTCTCTCCCTCCCCCCTTTCCGTGTCTCTCCCATCTCTCTCCCTCCTCCTTTCCCTGTGTCTCTCCCCTCTCCCTATTCCCCTCACCTTCTCTCCCTCCCCCCTTTCCCTGTGTCTCTCCCCTCTCACCATCTTTCCCTCCCACCTTTCCCTGTGTCTCTCCCCATCTCTCCCTCCCCCCTTTCCCTGTGTCTCTCCCTCTCCCCTCACCATCTCCCTCCCTCCCCTTTCCCTGTGTCTCTCCCTCTCACCATCTCTCCCTCCCTTTCCCTGTGTATTCTCCCTATCACCATCTCTCCTCCCCTTTCCTGTGTCTCTCCCTCCCCTACATCTCTCCTCCCCTTTCCCTGTGTTTCTCCCCTTTCCCTCCTCCCCATCTCTCCCTCCCCTTTCCTGTGTCTCTCCCTCCCCCTTTCCTCCTGTGTCTCCCCTCTCCCTCCCTCCCTCCCTTTCCTGTGCTCTCCCTCTCCCTCCCCCTTTCCTCCCTCCCTCCCCACTTTCTCCGTGTCTCTCCTCTCTTCCCCTTTCCGGTGCCCTCCCTCTCCTCCCCCTCTTTCCCCATGTCTCCTCTCCCTCCCCCTTTCCTGTGTCTCTCCTCCTCCTCCCCTTTCCTGTGTCTCCCTCCCCTTTCCCTGTGTTCTCCCTCCTCTCCTTTCCCTGTGTCCTCCCCTTCCTATGTCTCTCTCCCTCCCTCCCTTCCCTGTGTCTCCCTCCCTTTCCTGTGTTCTCCCTCTCCCTCCCTCCTCCCCTTTCCTGTGTCTCTCCCCTTCCCTATCTCCCTTCCCTACCTCCCCTGCCCCCAATTACCTTAGGTCAGCCAAGACGCATTGCTGCCCGCGGCACTCCAGTCACTGGCTGCTGATGGCTGATGGAGGAGGAGCCTGTCTACCATGCTCCCTCGCAGTGGAACCGCGAGGGAGCATGGTAGACAGGCTCCTCCTCCATCAGCAGCCAGTGACTGGAGTGCCGCCGGACCGGCGAAGCTGCCACCCGGCCCGGCGGCTCCAGTCTGGAACGCAGCCGCCCCCCTCTCAGTGTGCCACCGGACCGGCCACCCAGTGGCACATATGTGCCCTCGCAGCCCCCAGGTGCCGCGGCCCACCGGGAAATGTCCCGGTATCCCGGTGGGCCAGTCCGGCCACAGCCCGGACATCAGAACATCAGACATCCCACGGCACACCAGGCAACATCACTAGTGTGCCGCGGAACAGTGGTTGAAAAACACTGGTTTAATTAACCACTCCCTTTATAAACATGTTGTGTGTCTCTGCACCTCCTCATGTACCCTATGATTTTTCTCTCTCAACCCTCTTACCCCTTGTGTGTCTGCAAAACCTCACCACCTTGTGTGTGTGTCTAAAAAACCCACATACCTATTATGTCTTTACTAAACCCTAACCTCTAGTTTGGTAGGGGCGCCTCTTAACACCATAATTACACCTTGTATGTCTCTTATTTCCCTCTGTGCCTGTTATTAAACCCATTGTTTGCCTGTTACATACCGTATCCTTTGTTTGTCTCTTAACCCCCCATTACCTCTATTATTACCCTTTATCCTTTGTTGAGCTGTGGAGTTGTGCTGGGACACACGAAAACCAGGTGTGTTTGTGTGTGTTTATAGGTGATGGAGTATATATGTGTATGAAATCACTGAAAGAGAGCACAACAGCCCAAAGGGGTTTATTCACTAAAACTTTAATTTTCGAAAAATAAAATGCAAATGGAAAAATCGAGGATAAAATAATTGATCTGAAAATATTCTTCAACCCAGCTATACTCACAACTTGACCACTTTAGCCTTAATTTTGACACGCAGCTCTAATGCTCTCTATTGGAAATCTGACACAAACAAAATAAATAAATTAAAACAAAAAAATAAAATCAAAACAAGAACATCTATAATCCATGCAACCTCTTAACGCATATTAATTTTCCCTCTACACAGCTAAATGCATAAATATTCTTGGACAAAACATTATGTGATCATGGAGTATACAAAGACACAAACTATTTATTTATTTATTGCATAATCAAAGAGGGATAAGTGCAGGTGTCCAATGGTATTAGCCAAGTGTATTATTATAGATAAGTAATTGGAGATTAGTTTGGTTAAAAAGAGGTAAATCCATGTATATATTTAATGACATGCTGGTAATATGCTCAGAAAGTGTCTGTTTCTTCATTCATCGTTACATTATGTCCATTATCGCACACTTTGTGAGTGCCGATCTACTACTGTATCTCACAACATGTATCATGTTTTTTATCTACTGGTGGAACGGCTCCAAAAAGTCTGCAGAAAAAATGCCTCCTGGTCCTTCACCGCTTCCTGTGATTGGAAATCTCAACCTGATAGATCTGACAAAACCGTACCAGTCTCTGATGAAGGTAGGAAATATTATTAAAGGTCAACATTTCCAATGTTTCTAGATATAACAAGTATATGAGATGATTGGAGTTCTAACTGTATTAAACTTGTATCTTGCTATTTGGTGTTGTCATGGGTTCACTAGGCTATTGTCGCCATTCCTTCAATCCTCCATTAATCCGAGTTCCAGATGTGCTGAAAAGTGTAATAGCTCTGTCGCTCAGTGTAGAGTTTCTGAAATATAATGGACGCAACCAGCCGTATTGGGTAGAAGATGAACTGTTTTATTAGAGCCAAGTTGCCTGCTTATATACACAACCCTCAGCATGGCGTCTCCATACAATAAAACAGTAACCCCCCCCAGGCGTCTCTGTGTCTGGGAGATAAGTGAGTTTGCCTTTGCTTAAACAAATTATCTCCCAGGCACTAGAGATACAATACATTACAACATAAAACACCCCAAAACATATATAGAGATAGATAGATATCCAGACAAGTATTATATCCCCAGATAGCCCGGATATGAGTGCCCAAGTTGTCCAAATAGCGCTCTAAAAAGCACTCTCCTGGCTTGTCTGGGGACGGAGCAGGCAACGGTATGATATTCCTGGGGGTTCGCGAGGCAAAGCATCCGAAATATAGTTCCACGCACTCCATGACCAAGTACCGCTGCCTGCGTTCCGGAGACAAACTGTCCGCCATTTACTAGAGCACGTGTTTTCGGTTACATGAATGGTAACCACCCAGTGAGAGCACTTGAGTTAAGTGTTTCTGTGAAGTTAACGAACCAGGGGGGTGGTCTGTGTTTGGTAGTTGGACAGTACCGAACCAAAGGGGAAACAGGTGGGGTACGGTAATTAAGGTAAAGTTAAATAGGGGAGTATATAAGATAAATCATGACTTCCGTGCCAGGTGTAGACTTAAACAGGATAATTAATGTGTTAAATAAATGAATACAGATCTTGAGTGTAGTTTACCCTATACATAGCTTACCTTATAACTGAAGATGCTTTAAAGATATTTTCGAACTATATGTTCTAAATCAGTGGGACTCAAAGCTGTCCTCAGAATGCACAGGACTCACAAGACAAAATTCCACAATATTCTTTTCTAGCACAGGTGAGTTAAAAGCAGTGGAGGCTGTTCCATCGGAGCTGCAAAAAATAAAATAAAATAAAAAAGTAAAATTTATTGACATTGTAAGGAACTCTGATAAATATGTGCTAGAAAAAAAACATGCATCTGTCATGATTATATTTGCAGATTACATTCTCACCTTTATTGATGACCTGACCAAATATGCACCTGGTTTTGAACAGGTCATTGCATCTCATGGGTAGAACCCAACAAGTCAGAGGAGAGACGGCAGTGCCCCTCATCGTTAAACTTCACCAGCTACCACTGGCTAAAGGAACACTCAAATATATATCCATGTATTCCCAACGTTCGTGTTTTCTCCTGCATGTTTAGATGTGTGGTCCCATTGTCACAGCTTGCTGGACTGTAATAGGAAGCTCCTCTAGTTGCTGTCTGTGTGACAGTCACTAAAGGTATCCTTAGTGATGAATGAAAACGCTGCCTTTTTACAAAAAGACCATTTTCTTTTAAATGAGAGACTGCAGAGATAATCTATTTGCACCAAAACTACTATATTATGTTGAAGTGCTTCTGGTGCTTAGAGTGCCCCTTCCAGGATTATTCACATATCATGGCCAGCTGGTGTGTCCTAAGGGCAATTGTGAAAAACACTAGGCCAGTGGTCCCAACCCGGTTCCTAAGGCACATCGTTATCCCAGGATTTGCCAGTATCACGATTAGAACAAAAATGGGAAATAACTAAATCTTGTCAAGATCACTACCTAATACCAAGGGGAGGAAGCATGAGCTACGAAAGGAATAACAGAGAAGAGTTCTGTGTCTATAAAAAATAAAACATACATTGTTTAACGGATCACTTTTTCATTACTGCCTCAATTTAGGTTTTAAAACAAAAACTGTTTTAATGACTTTTGGGTCAAAAACATTCGACCCACTTGCATTGAAACAGATTAATGGAAAACTCAATCCTTGAGTTGACCCCAGTTCATTTAATGCATTATATAATACATAAAAATGAAATACTTTTAAAGGGTAAAGATATTTTTTCTGAATTTTCCTTGTTTGATGCATATCTATAGCTTCCATAGGATTCAGGAATTGGCTTCAAAGTCTCTCTAGGTTAATTTTGTTTCTTTCTTATCTTTTCACCACAAGCACTGGACATAAATATAATGTTTTTTAATTAAACGTTTTATTGAGAGGAAAGTACATTATATAAGCAGATATGTTGAGGGTACATTTGAGTAAGAGGTAGGCTTATAGATAACATTTAACCAAATAAGCCAGCAGGTGTATCATCTCAATTTTTGTTGTGAAAAGAAAGAAAAGATAACCGGAAATAAAAGATAATGATAATAGCCAAAAGTGTGATGCATAATAATGGAGAATAGTGATAGACACACATAAGGTCGATTGAGGACAGGATACCGAGAAGTTAGAAACATTTTAGACTATGGTATAACATAAATTAGGCAACAGGACTGATGATGTGCACATGTTAGAAACTTTAAATAAAATAAATGATGAGCGAAGAGAATAAACAGATATGTAAAAGCCACTGGAGCCTCATTATGAGCAATATCAATGAATGGCAAATTAAATTTAATGTCAAAAATGTAAAAGTTATGCACTTCGGGGTAAAGAATGCACAAGCAACTTAGTTACACCCCAAATGGTAGTGAATTAGGGACAACAACAGACGAGAAGGATTTGGGAATTGTTATAGACGGCAAACTAGGCAACAATCAGGGCCGGACTGGGGATACACAGCAGCCCTGGAAAAAAAATCTATGCCAGCCCCATGTCATTGAGCCTTGTGTGTGAGTGTGTGTGTACATATATATATATATATATATATATATATATATTTGTGTGTATAAATTAGTAACTGGAGCAGGATAGTGAAGTGCAGGGGAATGTTGGTGTGTGAATGCAGATTAGAAGGGGTTGAGTCGCCAGCCAGATGTGAAACGTTATGAGCCACCTCAAATGCTTGTGCACAGTATTTTTATTTATTTTTAAATTACATTTTATTTATTCAAGTATGTACACAACTTCAATTTGTGTGTATGCAGGGGCACATTTGTATTGATAGTTTTATGTTTGGGTGTATATGCAGGGCCATATTTGTATGTAGTTTGTGTGGATACAGGTGCATATATATGGAGCAGGTCAATGTGTTTAAATGTAGGGACATGTGTGTGTGTGTGGAGAGTCTGTGTGTGAATGCAGGGATGTGTCTGGAGGCTTGATGAGCGTAAAGGTGCAGAAGTGTGTAGTGGGCCAAAGTGTTCTTGTGTATGGTGGACGCTGACTCTCTGCGTGAATGAAGTGGTCAATTTGTATCCCTCATTGTCTGTAGTGCATTTCCATCTGCAATAGCTAGTAGCCCATTACTGCCCCATAGTTTGTAGTCTGTTTTTTCCCTCCTATTTCCCATAGGTAGAAGAAGCCTAGTCTTTGCCCTCTGTAGTTAGTAGCCCATTCCCTTCCCCCCATAGTTAATAGCCTATGTTCCTCCTCTTCCCCTATAGATAGTACCCAATCCCTCCCATAGAAGTAACCTACTCACCTCTTCTCCCCCGTAGATAGTACTATATTCTCCTCCTAGTACTCAATTTTCCTCCTAACCCCATAGATAGTATACATTCTACCTTCCAGTCCACCTCCCCATAGATAGTACCCCAATCCCTCCCCCATAGATATTGCCCCAATCACTCACCTTATAGACAGTGCCCCAATCCCCCTCCTCATACAGTACCCCAATCCCCCTCCTCATACATAGTACCCCAATTCCCCTCCTCATAGATAGTGCCCTAATCCCCCTATTCATATATAGTACCCCAAACCCCCTCCTCACATATAGTGCCCCAAACCCCCTCCTCATAGATAGTGCCCCAATCCCACTCCTCAAAAGTATTGCCCCAATCCCTCCCCCATAGATAGTGCCCCAATCCCCCTCCTCATATATATTACCCCAATTCCCTTTTTCATATATAGTACCCCAATCCCCCTCCTCATAGATAGTGCCCTAATCCCCCTATTCATATATAGTACCCCAAATCCCCTCCTCATAGATAGTGCCCCAATCCCCCTCCTCATATATATTACCCCAATTCCCCTATTCATATATAGTACCCCAATCCCCCTCCTCATAGATAGTGCCCTAATCCCCCTATTCATATATAGTACCCCAAATCCCCTCCTCATAGATAGTGCCCCAATCCCCCTCCTCATATATATTACCCCAATTCCCCTATTCATATATAGTACCCCAATCCCCCTCCTCATAGATAGTGCCCTAATCCCCCTATTCATATATAGTACCCCAAATCCCCTCCTCATAGATAGTGCCCCAATCCCCCTGCTCATATATAGTACCCTTATTCCCCTGCTCATATATAGTACCCTTATTCCCCTGCTCATATATAGTACCCTTATTCCCCTCATAGATAGTGCCCCAATTCCTCCCCCATAGATAGTGCCCCAATCCCTCCCCTATAGATAGTGCCCCAATCCCCCTCCTCATTTTCCTGAGGGGGGGTCAGCAGTGTATTAAATAGGCTCCCCCCTAATGCACTCCCCAAATGTAATACACAATAGATCCCCCAAGCCCCTTTACTCCTACCTGTACTTCAAGTCAGGATGCCGACAGGGCAGCTCAGCTCAATAGTGATGGATGGTCTGCACAAGCAGGGAAGGGATGCCGCCGCTTTGCTGCGCAGTGTAGAGCCGCCGCCGCGCAGCCGCCGGATATGACGTCATATGCCGCTCACATCCGGCGGCTGGTGAAGGAAAAATCTTTGCGCTCGCGGCTCTAATTTCTGACAATCAACTGCAGAAGCACAGCCGCGGCCTGAAGGACAAACGGGAAATAAATATTTTCCAGTCTTGTGGGTGCAGCCACATGTCAAAGCGGCCCCAGGGTCGGCGGCCTACCGGGAAATTTTCCGGTATCCCGGTAGGCCAGTCCGGCCCTGGCAACAATGCGCAGCAGTGGCTAAGTTTAGTAAGGTATTGTCATGTATAAAGAGGGGCATTCATTCTTGGAATGAGAATATCATTTTGGCACTGTGAATATGCTGTGCAATTTTGGGCACCTGTTCTAAAGAGTAAATTGTGGCACTAGAATAAGTAAAGAGGCAGGCTACAAAATTAATAAAAGGAAAGAAACATTTTAGTTATGAAGAAAGGTTAACAAATTTAAACCTCTTTAGTTTAGAAAAACGGCACCTCAGAGAGGATATGATAACGTGATACAAATATACCCATGGCCAATACAAACCATTGTCTGGAAATCTATTCACAAGCAGAACTATACATGGGATACATGGTCATGCATTTAGACTGCTAGAAAGAAGATTTAGTCTAAGGCAAAGGAAAGGTTTTTTTTAATAGTAATTGCTTCTTGATCCCTGGATATCCAGAAGGATTTTTTCTTACTTTGTTGCAAAATTGGAAGTGCTTCAAACTGAGTTTTTTGCCTTCATTTGGATTAACAGAAAAAATATATGTGAGAAAGGCTAAACTTGATGGACACATGTCTCTTTTCAGACTAATTAACTATAAAAAGTCATTAAAAGGATAAATTATTGGGAGCAAAAAAACTATGTAGAGCTTGTGAGCATACTGGCCCCATATGTTGGTCACTCAGACCACTTCAATCTCTGGCACATCTATTAGCACTAGAAGTAAAGTCTCAGTGCAGCAGTGCAGCAAATTCCACTCCACCAGCCTCAGGGCGCTGCATGAGCCCACATCCTATGCCCTCAAAGCCAGCACTTCAGTGAGGTGCAAACAGAGAGGCCCATATGGCATTCCCATCATTGTTGGTCTACTCTCATGGGTGTAAGGCAGTGATGGGGAGTTCCACTCCATGAGTCTAGAGGCTTAGTTACGTCAGTATGGAGTCCAGTCTCAAGTGCTGTTTGCCAAGTAGTATTTGGTCAAAATCCCCCTTCTCTTGCTGGGGCATAATTGCATTACAGTGGGACCACATGAACCAGGATAGAGAGCATAAGTTGTTGTATGCCTTGTTAATAGTGTCTCTTTGTCTCTTTGCAAGTTTAGAATTTTATCCAATCTCATAGGGGGTTTTAGGTGTCATCATCTTAGAAGCAGGTCTCCCAGCAGGGTTTGACGATTATTGTCCACAGAGCAATTTCCGAGTACTCCAGTGAGTACTGGGGTAACCCCCACCGGTCCAAAGTTGGGAGGAAATGGGACCAGCAAGATGCTAGTTTTAGTTGCCGATGTGCAGCATTCATATTATAGAATCCACTTCACTTTCTGCCCGAGTAGGCTGCAGTCCCAGAGATCTCGATTTTCCTTCCGGGGCTGTAAATCTCCTGTTTCATGGCTGATCAGTAGCACCAGTAGTTGCCTGTATGGTGTGCTGTAGGTGTAAAAAGAAATGTAAATATAAGTAAATAATGGCAAGAACCCTCAGGAACTGCTCTGACATGCCGCCAGCTGGGCAGATTTTCCTGCAATTGGAGCTGAGGACCTTCTTCATAGTGCCCAATAGGGCATTTTAAGCAAGAAAGGTTTCCCCGCTCCAAAGGGTTAAAGTAACCCTTCAATTCCATGCAGTTAGCACAAGTATTTAATTATATCTTTGTAAAATACTCCAACTCCAGTTGATACACCAACTTTAACCCCCTAAGGACACATGACATGTGTGACATGTCAGGATTTCCTTTTATTCCAGAAGTTTGGTCCTTAAGGGGTTAAATTAATTATAGAATGAATTACAAAGGCTCTGCAGAGATGTAAATTCACCTTTTGCTTTTCAATGGGGTTTCTATTCAAATAATCTACTCTACATTGACGTAAACCACAAAAGAAACTGGGTTGTGAGAGATTCTGAATTTCTTTTCCTCTAAGTTGATGGAACATATGATTAAGGGAATATACCTCAGGTCCTGAGGTGAGAATATATCAAGCCAAATACCTGATGTAACCTGTTTTGTGTTACAGCTGTCGCAGAGGTATGGAGACGTTTTTACGGTACACTTTGGGCCAAAGAAGATTGTGGTGGTTGCCGGGTATAAAGCTGTAAAGGATGCTCTTGTTTCTCAAGCAGATGATTTTGGAGAAAGAGCAGATATTCCAATATTTACAAAAGTGACCAGAGGAAATGGTAAAAAGTTTTACAGAATACTTAATTGAATACTGGTTATTTGTAACTGTTGTGAATATGTTTGCATGAAAGAGTATTTAGTTGTATTAGTTTACCCACCATTGTCAGCCATTGGCTTAGTGGATGAAATTAACATTTCTGGTTCAGATTAAAGGTTCTCAGGGTGATAGTACCTTTTACCTACCTTTAGGGTGATAGTATCTCGTACCTACCTTTTCAGGTATTGTTTTCAGTCATGGTGAATCATGGAAGCTCATGAGAAGATTTGCGTTGTCTACACTACGAGACTTTGGAATGGGGAAGAAGACAGTAGAGTGTAGAATTCAAGATGAGTTAGATCCTCTCATCAAGTATTTCCAGTCCCAAAAAGGTAAGATTGTAGAACACTAACTTTATTCTTAATTTTTAAGGAAATACACTGATATAGAAATTATAGTCTAGAATCATCTATTACTTTTACATTTGTAATCTCTGTACAGGGATCTTTAGAGTGGCTGCTCGTAAATTTCATAATGCAGCCAGTGCACGGTCCTTGTTCTTCTCTTGATACCAGACATTTTGAATTGAGTCTTGCAACCAAGGACAGGCAATTTTTCAGGCATGTGCTGGCTTTTGTGGCCAACTACTTTGCAGCTGAGCTATTGTAATTCAGATGTTACCACTCTCTAATACAGCATTTAAGATTGAGCCCAGTAATTTTTACAGGGCGTTAAACAATGGACATAAATGTAGGATGGGTGGGAACCCATGATGGTACCACATTGACAGTCACCAAGCTTGGCTGCTTGGGTATCTGCTAGTTTTGTTTTTTACGAAGACTGCATTATGGTGCATTTGACTTTATGTTTATGTAAAAAAAAAATTCTGTCTTCCTATTTTCAGGAAAACCATTTGATGTAAAGATTATACTGAACAGTGCTGTGTCCAATGTCATTTGTTCCATTATATTTGGAAAAAGGTTTGAGTACGAGGATGAAACCTTTCTAACACTGATCAAAGTACTGAATGAAAACGCTAAACTGCTTGGCACCCCAAAACTCCTGGTAACCTTTAATTTGTTCATTTTCTATGTTTTCTCTGTATTTTAGTAAAGCTCTGTTATAATAATTTTTGAATAACACACAGTGGTGGGTTGTTCATAGGGAAACGTGAGTTAGCACTCAATCAGAATATTGTTTTGTTAAATAATAACAAAACAAAGATATTGCCAGTAATGATGGGCATTTCTTCCAGAGGGGATAAAAAATACATAAGACGGGGGGCGGAGCCAGCTATCACACGGCACCAGACGCCATTTCCACTCACTCCCGACTAAAAAAATCTAATCCGGGCAAAATCTGCAAAACTGTCACCCATCCAGCCTTACCACCCACACAGCTAGGATCAGCAAGACAAGAGGCACTGATAGATGCCGTTTGTTCAACCCCACAAGCTCCCCAAGCGGAAGCGCAAAACCGGGGCCTACCTCACGCCAGCGATCCGGGACCTAGAGGAACTCCTGTTCCGGCCACAGACTGAGAGGGAAGGGCATCCAACACCCCCCTCACCTACCGAAACACCGGCTCACTTACCGGCAATGGGACTCAGATCCCAAAAACCAGCGGCTGACAGCAGAGATATAGGTGCGCTGCTGCAACGCCCGGTGCCGCTGCGTCCCGCTCCCATGCACGTGGGAGACGAGCGGGAACCAGACCACACTCCCCACTCAGAGCAGGGGGAACCGGAGACACCCCTGGCCATGAAGACAGCGCTGATACAGCAGCCTGACTCCCCTGAAGACGCAGCACCAGCCACTAAGGGAGATCTCAAACTCCTACTCGCTGACATCCACAGGCTTTTAGCAGCGGACACGGCCTTCCTCAAGACAGAGGTACAAACGGTCACGGACCAGGTAACAGCCGCAGAACAAGACGTGGGGGAGGTCAAAACACACCTGACCACATTGGATGAACAGGTACAAACTATACAACACCACCAAAAACTTATGGCATGCAAAATGGTGACCATAGAAGACAGACAAAGGTGAACACATATCAAAATTAGGGGAATCCCAAACACAATCACTGCAGAAGAACTGCCTCATTACGTTAGGCGCCTCCTGGCCAGCATACTCCCCCACGCAGCTGCAAAGAAAATCGCCATAGACGGAATATACCGGCTCCTGACCTACACTCACCTGAAATCACCAGCAGCACGAGATGTCATCTTAAGATGCATCACAGTCCAGGACAAGCTCCATATCATGGCGGCGCTTAAAGACCGAACACCACTACCCTTCAAAGACTCAGAGCTGACCTTCTACCAGGACTTATCTAGGGCCACACTATTGTGGCGCAAGTCATATGGCCCAGCAGCAACACAGCTACACGCTGCAGGTATAGCCTACAGGTGGGGAGCAGGGGGCTCCATGGAAGTTACCCATGCAAGGACCACACAAGTCCTCACCTCGCCTGAGGAAGCCTCCAAATATCTGAAAACCCTCAGCTTGCCGAACCAGACCCCGAAACGCCAAGGAGAACACATAGAACACATGACCGCCTCTCTTCACATCCCGGGAATGAGTGGACTGGGGGCACAGGGTCCGTGAATACTAACCGGTTGGCAAAACCCAAGTCATGATTGAGACGGACTGATATCCCACACCGTCCTCACACCAACGAAGGAGAAAGCCTCCAATATTATGTTAATGTTTCATGTTCATTATGCTTTTTACTATACTTTAATATTTATTTTCCTTTTGATCTGACTATCCCACTGACACTCAGGTCCCCAGGCCCGCGACCCACGTGGACAGGGGGCTACCTGAGCCCTATTACCACTAGGACTAGACGCCCGAACGGACATATAGTCATAACCATACCTCTCCCGCCCCCCCACCACCCCCAAGGTTAGAGGTCCCTTACCTCAATGCAGAGGCAGAGCAAGACACCCCCAGCACAACCCAAGGTCCAGCTACACCAAAAACTATCCCAATGCCCACGTGCCCGGCTTACTACACTCACAGCAGGATAGATACGAGCATGGTTGCCTAAAAAACAAACACCCACGATGCCCCTCCTGAGAGCATACGACCACCCAGACACACCGCTGACACATACCATCGTAGTGCCTTTAAAACTACCATGCCTGCCCAGCATGTACACCCCACCGCGCCCAGCTTGTCCCACAGTAGACTGCAACGTATCACACAGACTACATAGCCGAACACCACACACAGCTAGAACGACTCCACTGTGACAAACCTAACTGTTAAATTTTCCTGTTTTTCCTTATTGGAAAATGTGCTCCTTACCTCTATGCCATGTAATTGTCTTTCTAAATACATTATATCTAAACCTGTTACCACTAAAATGGCAGCACATACTTGTTTGAAAACGCTATGCACAACAAAATAAAGAATTAAAAAAAAAAAAATACATAAGACAAAACTGCGATGAGCCTTTATCTTTAATTATGATTTATAATGTGCTAATCACATCTCTGGTGCTCAAAGGGTTAAATAAAAGGAATAAAGACATTTATTTTAACAGACATTTTGAAATTTAATGAGTTGGGAAGTAAGGTTTACAAAGAAAAGAGCAGAGTTACAATTTAGATATTAGATGGGTATCTCCTGAGTCCTTGAGGTCCTCATACATTTAAAAAGGGGCCAGGAGATGCTCAGTCTCACATCTAAATTGCAACTCTTTATGAATATATATGGGCCCATAAGAAGGTCCATAGTTATATGGATATCAATTTAGATGTGCGTTAGGCATCTTCTGGGTCCTTGGGGTCCAAGGAGATGCTCAGTCTCCTGGCCCTTTTATAAATATATACGGACCCACAAGGCGGTCCTTAGTTAAAGGAGACTGGGCATCTCTTGTGTGATTACCCGTCACCCCATGGCATATGGGGGTAAATGGTGGGTAGGCACCACTCTTCGGGACTCTGACAGATATTATTGGGCTTCAGGAGAACCTACTTTTTAAAATTATTTAATATTGATATTCTTTTTGTTTTATAATAGATACATGCATATAGATCAGTCCTCAGCTCTCTTTTATTACATGTTGAGCATGTTAATTACCCGCTCAGCATGTATACATTGCACTTTCCTTTCTACAGAGGAGAACAGCATGTTGCATGGCTCTTGGCTCCAACACTGAAAGGGTTAATTTGATAGTTTAGCTGTCCTAGTGAGACCTTAAGTCTGGTCTCACTAGACGTAGCATTTACATCAGAAAAAGGGTTTGAATTTAGTCGATATCACATAGCCAAATGGCATTTTTTTTTTTTACTATAGAATAATTGCTCTCTGGTCAAAAACCTTTCCAAATTGGCATTGCTGCATAGTTATGTTAGTAAGTATAAATTCTGGCATACATTTAGAGCCGTTTCAATAAAAAAGCCATTTGGCTGATATATTTTAAACCCCTTGTTATTAGCCCTACATTACAAGTCCTATATTATATTATACACTGCTCAAAAAAATAAAGGGAACACTTAAACAACACAATGTAACTCCAAGTCAATCACACTTCTGTGAAATCAAACTGTCCACTTAGGAAGCAACACTGAGTGACAATCAATTTCACATGCTGTTGTGCAAATGGGATAGACAACAGGTGGAAATTATAGGCAATTAGCAAGACACCCCCAATAAAGGAGTGGTTCTGCAGGTGGTGACCACAGACCACTTCTCAGTTCCTATGCTTCCTGACTGATGTTTTGGTCACTTTTGAATGCTGGCGGTGCTTTCACTCTAGTGGTAGCATGAGATACAGTCTACAACCCACACAATGGCTCAGGTAGTGCAGCTCATCCAGGATGGCACATCAATGCGAGCTGTGGCAAGAAGGTTTGCTGTGTCTGTCAGCGTAGTGTCTAGATCATGGAGGCGCTACCAGGAAACAGGCCAGTACATCAGGAGACGTGGAGGAGGCCGTAGAAGGGCAACAACCCAGCAGCAGGACCGCTACCTCTGCCTTTGTGCAAGGAGGAACAGGAGGAGCACTGCCAGAGCCCTGCAAAATGACCTCCAGCAGGCCACAAATGTGCATGTGTCTGCTCAAATGGTCAGAAACAGACTCCATGAGGGTGGTATGAGGGCCCGATGTCCACAAGTGGGGGTTGTGCTTACAGCCCAACACCGTGCAGGACGTTTGGCATTTGCCAGAGAACACCAAGATTGGCAAATTCACCACTGGCGCCCTGTGGTCTTCACAGATGAAAGCAGGTTCACACTGAGCACATGTGACAGATGTGACAGTCTGGAGACGCCGTGGAGAATATTCTGCTGCCTGCAACATCCTCCAGCATGACCGGTTTGGCAGTGGGTCAGTAATAGTGTAGGGTGGCATTTCTTTGGGGGGGCCGCACAACCCTCCATGTGCTCGCCAGAGGTAGCCTGACTGCCATTAGGTACAGAGATGAGATCCTCAGACCCCTTGTGAGACCATATGCTGGTGCGGTTGGCCCTGGGTTCCTCCTAATGCAAGACAATGCTAGACCTCATGTGGCTGGAGTGTGTCAGCAGTTCCTGTAAGATGAAGGCATTGATGCTATGGACTGGCCTGCCCGTTCCCCAGACCTGAATCCAATTAAGCACATCTGGGACATCATGTCTCACTCCATTCACCAACTTCACGTTGCACCACAGACTGTCCAGAAGTTGGCAGATGCTTTAGTCCAGGTCTGGGAGGAGATCCCTCAGAAGCAGGGCCGTATTAACATAGGGGCTGATGGAGCTGCAGCTCCAGGCCCAGGCCCAGACCCAGGCCCATGGAATAGGCCCATTGATTTAAAAAAAAAAAAAAAAAACATTTTTTTTTTTTTTACACACTACTCTTAGGGTTGCCAGGTATTTTTCATGTATTTCTTATGGTTGCCAAGTATTTCTCAGAAGTATGTTTCAGGTATTTGAGGCTGCCGTGCTGGTATTGCAGTAATACCGGCAATACAAATGTCTGTCTCACTATAAACAGAGATTATTCTGCAATACCAGCGCCGGCCAGTAGGGGTCACTGTTTGTGTGGAGAGAGGCAGGAATAAGAAGTTACAGCATCTCCCTCCCTGCCTCTCTCTACTCACTGATCTGCGGGGGAGCAGCTCTGCACAGAGTTTTGAGTCTGCGAAATATGGGGACGGTGAGAGACTTGGGGACGTGAGAAATTGGGACACTTGGAGACATAGGGATACTGAGGAACATAAGGACCCTGAGACACTAGGGACACAGTGGCCCCATGTATCCCAGTGGCCCCTAGTCTCTCAGTGTCCCGATGTCTCCCAGCCATTGTCCCTAGTGTTTCAGTGTTCCCGTGTCTCCCAGTGTGCCTGGTGTCTCTCAGTGTCCCTAGTGTCTGTGTCCCTAGTCTCCCAGAGTGGTCTTGTCTCTCAGTGTCCCCAGGTATCTCAGTGTCCCCATGTCTCTCCCAGTGTCTCAGTGTCCCCAAGTCTCACAGTGTCCCAATGTCTCTAAGTATCCCCTAGTGACATCAGGACACTGGGAGACATGGGGACACAGACTCTAAGGGACACTGGGAGACATGGGGATACAAACAGTAGGGGTCACTGGGTGACATGGGGACACTGAGACACTAGGGGACACTGAGAGACATGGAGACACTGGGGGACACAGGGAGACATGGGGACACAGGGCGACTTTGAGACTTGGTAGATATTGGGCACTCCCAGTGTCCCCATGTCTCCCAGCCAGTGTCCCTACTATCTCAGTATCCCCATGTCTCTCAGTGTCCGTAGTGTGCCACTGTCCCTAGTGTCTCAGTGTTTCCTAGTCTCCCAAGGTCCCCTAGTCTGCCAGTGTCTCAATGTCCCAATGTCTCCCAGTGTCCCCATGTCTCCTAGTGTCTCAGTGTCCCCTAGTATAAAAGAAAAAATGTCAGGCACTCGCTGTGATAGATTTAAGCAGGTTTATTGGACACCACAATGTTTCGACCTGTACCCAGGTCTTTATCAAGTCTCCAGTGTCCCTTATGTATCACAGTGTCCCCTATGTATCAGAGTGCCTCAGTGCCCCATGTCTCCCAGTGCCCCATGTCTCCCAGTGTCCCTGGTGTCTCCCAGTGGTTGTCCGTACTGTCTCAGTGTCCCCTAGTCTCTTAGAATCCCCTAGTCTGCCAGTGTTCCCATTTCTCACAGTGCCCCGAAGTGCCTCAGCGTCCCCTAGTATAAAAGAAAAAAAAATCTCAGGCACTCACTGTGATAGATTTAAGCAGGTTTATTGGACAGCACAATGTTTTGACCTATCCCCAGGTCTTTATCAAGGCTCCAGTGTCCCCTATATATCACATTGTACCCTATGTATCACAGTGTCTCAGTGAACCATGTCTCCCAGTGTCCCCTCATTTCTCAAAGTCACCCAGTGTCCCCGAGAGTCTCAGTGTCGATAGGTCTCCCAGTGTTCCCTAATATCTCGGTGTCCCCATGTCTCCCAGTGCCCAATGTCTCTCAATGTCTTCTCATAGCTGCATCCTATGAGTTTCCCTCCAGCACCATCTCCATCAGATACATGACGCTTAGGAGGTAGGACTGTTTTAGTGTTTTTGGTCAATAAGATTTTGTAATTAGGCCCATCATAATTGTCAGCACCAGCCCCACTGGGCTCTTAATCTGGCCCTGCTCAGGAGGCCATCCGCAACCTCATCAGGAGCATGCACAGGCGTTGTAGGGAGGGCATACAGGCACGTGGAGGCCACACACACTACTGAGCCTCATTTTGACTTGTTTTAAGGACATTACATCAAACTTGGATCACCCTGTAGTGTGTTTTTCCACTTTAATTTTGAGTGTGACTCCAAATCCAGACCTCCATGGGTTTAAAAATTTGATTTCCATTTTTTTAATTTTTGTGTGATTTTGTTGTCAGCACATTCAACTATGTAAAAAACAAAGTATTTCAGAAGAATATTTAATTCATTCAGATCTAAGATGTGTTATTTTTGTGTTCCCTTTATTTTTTTGAGCAGTGTATATAGTTTATATTTAGTAATTATATATATGTTTACCCTATACTTTATTTATTTGTAAAATCTGTAATAACTATAATAAGTTAGTACCATTCTGAGTGGATAAATATCTAAAAATGTGTACATTTTTTACATAAGACTGGGAGTGTTAAAGTTATATTAAAATTATTTTCCTACAGCTTTATAATTTTTACCCTGTCCTTGGGACTCTTCTCGGCACTCACAGAGGAGTAATGCGGAATGTTGATCTGCTAAATCATTTATTAATGAAATATGTCACCCAACATCAAGTGGAATTTAATGCCAATAACATTACAGGATTTATCGATGCATTTCTTATGAAGCAAGAACAGGTAAAATAATAATTATTTTTTAAAATAAATAAATTAAATTTTTTGTTGATTGCTATAAACCAACTTAAAGGCGCACTATAGGGTCAGGAACACAAACATGTGTTCCTGACCCTATAGTGTTAAAACCACCATCTAGCCCCCCGGGCCCCTCATGCCTCCCTAAATATAGCAAAATGTTACTTGTATTCAAGCCTGAGGCTGTAGCTCTGCATGCTGTTTGTCTCAGACGAGCAAGCAGTCTGCTGACATCATCAAAGGTGTTTCCTGAGCCATTCACAATGCTTCCCTATAGGGTTGGCTGAGACTGACAAGGAGGCAGATCAGGGGTAGAGCCAGCCCTGGCCAATCAAACACAGCCCAGGCCAATCAGCATCTTCTCATAGAGATGAATTGAATCAATGAATGTTCAGTGTCTGCATGCAGAGGGAGGAGATACGGAATGTTTGGATGCATTTTAGGCAGCCATGACCCAGGAAGGATCTCTTACAGCCATCTGAGGAGTGGCCAGTGAAGTTATCACTGGGCTGTAATGTAAACACTACGTTTTCTCTATGTATTGGTTCTTAACTGATAACTGGGCTGTACACAGCAGCTGGTTAACCCATGCTCATGTACCCTAGAATGACATGATCTAACGAGCTGCCATGCATTATCAGAGACACAAATTCCATCCTTGTCACACAACCCCATGCCACCTCCTATCTTTACGGTCCTAATTCCATACATATTTCATCTTCCCCTCTCTATTTAAGCTCACATCACTGTCTCTGAGATCCATTTCTTGCATCTCATTTCTTCCTCACTTTGCCTCTTTACATATAAGCACCCCTTTAATTAACCCCTGCTCTTACTCTCCTTGTGCCTACTCGTTCTCTGAAAATTAATATTCTACATCCTTTATATGTAATATTGTTCAACTATATATGTCTCTACCTGTACAACTTTCCATATGTTTTTTCAACTACAGTATATTTTGCCCCATGTCATCCATATTAGTAAAATTCCCTCTTATCCCACCATGCCATGTCAGAGCACATTTTCCAAATTAAAAAGTAACTACAGTTAGTTTGTTCCAAGTGACGCTAACCCTTGGTATCCTAATGTTTAGACACTGCATGCAGGGATGTATTTCCCACAAGGCAAACACGGCATTTGCCTAGGGTGGCACTTTCGGGGGCCAAAAAAAGCCACCCCAAGCTCCCAGACAAATGCCTTGTTTGCCTCATGTTCTGGGGCTGTCCATCACAGTGAGTGAGTGTAGCTGTCAGTGTGTGTCTGTGAGTGAGTGAAAGTGTGAGTGTCATTTTATGTGTATCTGAGAGTGTGTGCCTGTCAATGAGTGGGTGTGTCAGTGTGTGTCTGTCAGTGAAAGTGTGTGTTGGTTAAACAGTGTGTGCCAATGACTGTGTAGTGTATTTCAGTGCATGTCAGTCAAAAAAATGGCCTTGACACGAATTGGGGGGGGGGATTTAGATTTTGGGGGTGCCCGAATTTAGTCATGCCTAGTGCGGCACAAATCCAAAATACACCACTGACTGCATGCATGGTGCCAGGTTGCACAGCTATACTGATTAGTATGCTACTGTTCTCCCTGATATGTATTTTATTATTATGGTATGATTACTCTGTTTGACAATAATCTATCCAGGTGGTGATAACATTTGATACTGTAATGTCCCTATTTGTTTGCAATCACATACACTCGCCTACATAACGCGGTGATACATACTCATCCACTAGACACAAACTAGAGAGATAAAGTTAGACTACACTTTCAAGATCGGATGTTGTTTTCTTCCATGCCTGTATGTAACTATACCGCCACCTTGTCTCCTAGGCCATATTAGACTACCTTTACATGAGCAGTGCTTAAATATCTTTTAGGACATATATGCATTCCCAAACCCGGACCTCTAGTGCCTATTTCAAACAGCCAACCTTTGATCCCAAAAATGAGTGGTGAGATTTTGCCAAAAAATGCGTGTGTTCTATGTTTCCAAATGTTTTAGCCCTTTTCAAGGCTGCACTAGTCAGGTAGCATACAACCTTAATGCCTAGCCACACATCTAATGGGAGTTCAGATGTACGGATTCTCTTTTTGCCTAGTTAGTATTTATTTTAATTTGCTCTCATGTTAACCTTTATTTGAATTGTTTTTTTTATTTTTTATTTCTTTTATTATATGTTTTTTTTTAATCCTCGCCACCAAAGGCTTTGTTCTAACTTATTAGTTAAATTCAGTTCCCACTGCAAAAGTAGAACTCTATCACGTCTTGCTGTCACCGTACGCTTATTTGATATTGTGCTGTTACAAATTGTTCATTATTACATATGTAAGAATTGTTCTGAAATATGTTATGTCCATCTAGCAGCAACAAATCGTCATATTATATCATAGCATGGCGAGAGCTAGGATTAGGGGCTGCTCCATAGAAAGCACCTAAACCTTAGAGGCTTCTGGGAGCCACTAGTGACACCTAAGCAACAGCTTCAACATCACTGGTGCAAATCTAAAGCATGTATTTGCGCAATATTTATTCAGGTAGAACTGTTATAAATAGACTACTTTATAATGATGGAAATGAAGTAACATTTAGTACATGTTTGTGTTATTTATAGTACTCATTTTGTAATATATTGGAAGAACCAGCAGTGGCAGGTCAGCATGTTAGTGCTGCTCAGTTGTGACCAGGGCATTACAGGATTTAGCCGTACCACCAGTTACACCTGAAGTATTTTTGTTTATTTATTTGTTTGTTATTGTAGGAGCATGATGAGGGGTGTCTCTGTTAAAGGGACACTATAGTCACCTGAACAACTTTAGCTCAATGAAGCAGTTTTGGTGTATAGAACATGCCCCTGCAGCCTCACTGCTCAATCCTCTGCTATTTAGGAGTTAAATCCCTTTGTTTATGAACCCTAGTCACACCTCCCTGCATGTGACTTGCACAGCTTTCCATAAACACTTCCTGTAAAGAGAGCCCTATTTAGGCTTTCTTTATTGCAAGTTCTGTTTAATTAAGATTTTCTTATCCCCTGCTATGTTAATAGCTTGCTAGACCCTGCAAGAGCCTCCTGTATGTGATTAAAGTTCAATTTAGAGATTGAGATACAATTATTTAAGGTAAATTACATCTGTTTGAAAGTGAAACCAGTTTTTTTTTTTCATGCAGGCTCTGTCAATCATAGCCAGGGGAGGTGTGGCTAGGGCTGCATAAACAGAAACAAAGTGATTTAACTCCTAAATGACAGTGAATTGAGCAGTGAAATTGCATGGAAATGATCTCTACACCAAAACTGCTTTATTTAGCAATTTAGGTGACTATAGTGTTCCTTTAATAGAGTTTATAGGCCTCTGGGATGTAACCCTGGTTTCTATAAAATGGAATATGTCTTCTCATATTTAACATTTTTTCTATTCTTTAAGGAGTCTTCAAATAAAGATACATTCTTTCATAATGAAAACTTGATCTTTTCAGTCCTGGACCTTTTTGCAGCTGGAACTGAAACGTCTTCTACAACTTTACGCTGGGGGCTTTTGCTGATGATTAAGTACCCAGAAATTCAAAGTAAATATCATACTGTCTCTCTGTTTCATCCATTCCTATCTCTGTCTGTCTCTCTATCTACACGCACATCATTTTCAGAGGCACAACTCTGTCCAAAAATGTTAGACTTTTCTCATTAGGTTTTTTTTAACTGGTAATACATACCTCCAAACATTTAAAACAGACAAAGAGGGACACTTTAATAAAAGCTAACTGTTTACCATATTGGCAGCTCTAGCAAGACAAATCATTTTGCTTGACTGGATAAGTCTTGCCCTTACTCCTTTAAACCTTTTTAAAACAAATTAGCATATGTGTTCCATATGGATTGTATAAAGACAACAGGCTCATTAAAAACCACACAAATCTTCTTCAAGGCATAGGAGTTGTGCGTAATGTACCTTGACATACACACAGCAAAAGTTTAAATGCTGCTTTTGAATATACAGTCTGTTATGGTGTATGTTCCAATAAGTCTTCATGGTTATAGAAAAAAATATATATAATTTTTTTACCTTTCGGACCCTGAACTAATTTTATATTACTACTACGGATACTTAAGAATTCTATACATTATATTTTGTCATCCTGCAGCAATTTTATTTGGCTATTGGTAAAATGTGTTATATTAATGCTATTGCATGATGCCTACTAACTAATTTTAATGAATAACAACATTATACAAACAAATTAAATAAAAAAATATGCCCATAAAATAACGTATGTTTAATGCAAGCTAAGACTCTAATAATTATATTCACTATTGGGAAACATGGCAGTGTCATTGTTCATTGTGCAGATTTATACTTTTAATGCTACGATCAAGTCCCAATGTATATTAACCCCTTAAGGACACATGACGGAAATATTCCGTCATGATTCCCTTTTATTCCAGAAGTTGTGTCCTTACGGGGTTAAATGTTATAATTCCTTTCTGATGTTTCATAGAAAAAGTACAGGAAGAAATTCGGAAGTATATTAAACCAGGACAGCTGCCGAAGGTGGATGATCGGCGAATGATGCCGTATACTGATGCAGTCGTACATGAAATACAGAGGTTTTCTAACATTGTTCCTCTTAACTTGTCTCGAACAACGTTGAAAGATGTTTCTTTCAGAGGGTTCTGCATCCCACGGGTGAGATCATGTTACTGTACAGAAGACTACTTGTAAAATGTATAAGGTAGCAATAGAATGATCTGAGAAGGTGAGGCTGTGTTTGTCATGAATTTAGGTAACTTCATGAAATGTTGAAGGGTTCTCATGAAACTTGCCATTAAAAAAAAAAACAATTGGGGGTTAATTAAGTGCTGTTCTGGGTGCAAATTGGTACATTTTGTGGAGCATCCATTGGGTTCCATTGTGATTGCTACTTATGTAGCACTTTCCCCAGAATAGCACCTGTTTTTGCCCCGATAAATCAATGCCTCATTTATGTTTCAAATAGTTTTTCTTAAACCACGTTTACCCCAATAAAAGAACATATTTCAGAGATTTTTACTGCTTTGGAGCACCACGATGCACTGATAGACACTTTGCATTACTACCATATTTATGGGTTAATTTTATTTATTTTAAGTATGTTTGAGTTTCACAGATGTCCTCTCATTACTTCAAAACTCCCAGATATATTTCTGCTGCATCTCCTGCATACAGCAATATCCTATATATAATTATTAATATCATCATCATTAATATAGTACAAACATATTTCGCATCTCCTTACATAAAGAATACAAAACATACAAAGTAATGTTGCAGAGGTGAAGGAGGGGGGCTGCTCAAAAAGCTCACAATCTAATATAAAGCTTCTTCAATTGTGAAGAATACATTTTTTTTTATATGGAATGAATACATTTTCTGATTTTTAGATGGTTTATATTTGATTCTTGGTACCTTTAAACTTTTAAATAAAACTGAAGTTTTTGCCTTGCATTTTTCAATTACAGATATGCACTACTTTTAACAAGCCTCCTTCTTTGCTTTCCGATGTGCGATTTGGATGATTGACATTATCTGTGTTAATATTCTGACTATACATATCATACTTATAAATTATTTCTATTATCTAATAATTAAGTTCTGTTGTTTGTCTTTAAAAAAAAAACTAAATCTCTTTAAATAGAACAACGATAAAAATGTTGTAAGTAACCACGTAATGGTAACTTCTGGTTATTACTTTCAGGGAACTGAAGTAATTCCAATGCTCACTTCTGTCTTGTACGATAAATCGCAGTGGGAAACACCATATGAATTTAACCCAAATCACTTCCTGGATGCAGATGGAAAATTTGTACGGAAGGATGCGTTCATGCCTTTCTCTACAGGTAGATCTCACTTATATATATAATATGAGTATAATAGATTTCCATCGTAGGACCTTTGTTAGTCTAAAAGCAGGTGGTTGTAACAGTGAACACAGGAGAGAAAAGCCAAATCAGCTTATTTGTCCCTCTTCTTAAAATAGTAGTTCTAATGGTTTCAATTAAACAGTTAACTGGGTTCGGTAAAACAGATCACCAATCAAGATTCGGTGTAGCAATTGTTGTTGTAGACATCTTGCCAAAACACTAATACTGAAAGAATCCAACCCTGACAGAAAGTTGGAAAGATTGCACATGAACTACCCCCCTATCTCCCCCTCCCACCCAAAGTATTTTGATTTTTTTTTTTTTAATCCTTAGTGGATCAACGAGAGCTGTGGTGACGAGTTTTATTTGGTTATATAATCTGGGAAAGTAGGAATCATTTTTCATTGCCATGCCGGTGAGTGGAAAGAACCTAGGATTCTGTATCCTGATGGTCTAGAACAGGTGTGCCCAAAAGGTAGATGGGCAGCAACAATTGCTGCTGTGTTGCCCCCCATGGCATTGTGTTAACGCATACCTAAATGCTCCAGACCAGCAAACTGCTAAAACGTCAGCTTTTATAGAGGTGGTCACACTTGCTGACGATAAATGAATCAAGGGCATTTAATTAGCAGCGCCTGTCTGCTACTTAGCCTCCGAATTTGAATGGAAGCAGTAAGGGTGTACTTCGTTTTTCACACATGGCGTCTTCATTTTGGCTTGATTCTTGTTAAAGATATGATGACACTGTGTAATATGTTATGTGCTGATGTTCATATGAGGTCATATTTACCTGATTTCAAGACCTGTTGAAGAACAGATGATTGTTTTTATGTCCTGATTTGTAAAATCATAGAATTCAAAGAGGGTGTACTTTCTTTTTCCCATGACTTTACATAAGATACAAAATCCAGCACACACACTCATTCACGAAACAGCAATTTCAATGCTCACATAATGTAATTGTTTTCTTGACTAACCTCGGGAAAAACAATGGGAGTTTAGCAACAGTACATAACCAGACATTGCGTAAGCCTGTCAAAAGCTTAGCAGGTCCTATTCTAGCAATCTAACAAATACCCGTATGTCTTATGCAATTAATTATCTTACTGTGGAAATGCTTCCTCCTGGAACTCTCTGTGTTGCAACGTTAAATAGGGCCATGGAATGAGGACCTGGACTCCCAAATATATTCATATACCAAGAAACCAAGAGGGCTGCACTAAACTAAATATTCATGCATTATAATGGTGCAGCTGGGACTAATTCATACAACATACAAAATCCAGCGCACTCACTTATTCACTTAGCAATTTTAAAGCTCACAGAATGTAATAGGTTTTTTTTTTTTTTTTTAAAAGCTTTTTACATTCTGTAAGCTTTGAAATAGCTTTTTGGTAGGAATGAAGGCATTCTAACAACTTCAATAAGTGTTCCTTTAAACAAGCTTCTATTATACATGTTGCATTAATATGTTAATGTTTATTTATGTAGGGAGACGAGCCTGTGTCGGAGAAAGTTTGGCCAAGATGGAGCTGTTTCTATTTTTCACCGGTCTTCTCCAGAGGTTTACATTCCACCCCCCGGCAGGAGTTTCTGCAGCACACCTGGATCTGAAGCCCAACGATAGTGGCTTTATTTTAACACCAGTACCTTACTTGATCAGTGCCATTCCCAACTACTAAGGCAGAATAACAAAGACGAACAATCAAACAGCTAAACATAACACAACTGTCTTCTGATGATAATCTCCATTAGCTGCCAGAACATTTGTGTTGCAAACGACTAGATTACTATAGATTGATCTTTTGCTCTAGCTTCTTGTGTTTTCTTGAATGATCAGTAATATGTATATTAGTAAGTACAATATCATGAAAAAAAATAAAAAATTAAATGGAATAAGACTGTACTCCACAATTTAAAACAACAAAACAAAATAAAAACCACAAAAAAATAAAATGTAATCACTCTATTAGAAATGATAATAAGGTCCTTTTATCCACATCTTTATCAAGCAGTCCCCAGGTTATCCTATTTAGTATTATATCTTAGACATGTGCAATTCGTTTCTGTTCGAATGTACATTCGGACGAATTTCGGCAATTCGGACATTCGGATGCTTACGAATGTCCGAAGTGCCGAAGTTCCGAAGTGTCGAAGTGGCCGAAGTTCCAAAGTGCTGATATCCCAAAGATCCGATGTTCCGAAGTTGTCGAAGTTCCGAAGTGTCAAAAGAAAACAAGAGAGAGGGAGGGAAAATTATGTGAATGATGACAGGAATCTTAACCAATAAGCTAATTCATTTTGTGCAATGCAATTCTTGCTTCCTCAATCCGGTTTCACTATTCCCTGTCCAATGAAATTAGCAAATTTTTTGTTTGATGTTAGAGGACAGCCAATTAATGGTGATTTTGTCACTGACACTTGGCCAATGAAAACACACAGAGTCATTAAGGTGGAATAGCAATAAATCAGGCTGTCAGGTGTTGGCTTGCATTCATGTGACCAGACAGCAGGCTAGTTGTGATAGCACAAAGAGACTGAGAAAGGTAAACAACATTCCATTTACTTTACTTCTTGCAGACTTACGGAGCCACATTGCTTTTACATGTGTGTTCCAGGGAGAGAGATAGAGAGATGAGGGGGAGAGAGAGATTTGCTTTTTTTCCCCTGCAATCTGTTTGTATTTTGTTTTTCTTTTTTTTTTTTTTATTTAAGAGGGGGTGAGAGAGTGTGTGTCTTTGCAAGCCAGCCTGATTGCCAGAGTCAGTGTCTCTCTGCTGCACTGTGATTTTACTGAAGTAATTAATTTTGTGTTTTTTAGCTGTTGGCAGGTAGCCTGATTGATTGCCAGGGTGTCTCTCTGTTGCATTGTGACTTTGCTACAGTGATACATTTTGTATTGTTTTTTCTTTTTTTTTTTTCTGTGATTTAATTTAAATAAAAAATTCATAACAGAAAATAAATCATAATGGACCGTCCACGTCCTCCAAGTCCTCACATTCTCCCCTCAAGCAAAGTGACTGAGGAAACTGGTAGCCGCCATATCGCTGCTGGTAATACCACTACTAGCTCCTCCACCAGTACAGGTAGTGGTACACTTGCTTCCTCTTCAACTCACCTGAAGCGGAGGCACATGAAACAGCAGGAGCTGCTAGTGCTTCCAATTCCTGCAACCAAAGCCAGCAGTAGCACTAGAAAGAGTTCAAGCCGAGTTAGCCAACCAATGAAACTGAAGAGGGCAGAGACGGAAACTGCAGTTCTCAATGTTCAGCCATTTGGCACCAAAAAGCAGCAACAAATGCCTTCCAGTGGCAGGGTTGAGAGGTCCCCTAGGTCCACAAAGCAGCCACTATCCAAATCTCGTAGACAGCTGTTTACTCCTCTCACAACCACCAGCATTGCTAGTAGTGACAGTAGTACCTCTACCTCCACTACTGCCAGCTCCACTGCAATGTTTTACAGCAGCTGGGCAGTTTCAACACAGCCTGTTACCGCTGCTCATTAGACATGTGCAATTCGTTTTGGTCCAAATGTATATTCGGATGAATTTCGGCAATTCGGACATTCGGATGCTTACGAATGTCCGAAGTGCCGAAGTTCTGAAGTGGCCGAAGTTCCGAAGTGCTGATATCCAGAAGTTCCAAAGTTGCCGAAGTTCCGAGGTGTCGAAGTGCCGAAGTTCCGAAGTGTCGAAGGTTCGAAGTTCCGAAGTTGCCGAAGTTCAGAGGTGTCGAAGTGCAGAAGTTCCGAAGTACCGGAGTCCCGAATTTCGGAATGCCGAACTGAACCAAATTTTTTCGCCATGCACATGCCTATTATATCTCTTTATGTCCTGTCCATCATTTTCAAAGGATACAAGACAAAAAGGTGCAGAAAGCCAGTACTAGACAGACAGGTATGGAAAGGCACTACTAGAACCACACATAGTGTAGTATGTAAAATAAAGGTTACAAAAAATTGGGCTATCATATTAAATACAATGTTAACAGTATATCACTTATCACACACCAGTATTTCCTTACTGCAACTCCTTTCAAATGAACCCTTTTGGACATTGTGTATTGAAGCAGGCACCAATTCTATGTTCTGTGAGGAATGGAGTCAACAGTGCTTGGATTTAATTCATAATCATCAAGTCTTCAAAACTTTACATAAAGTGGTAAAAAAAAAGTATGAGAACTCTTTGGAATTAGTTGGTTTTCTGCATGAAGTAGCAGTAACTAGAATCTTACTGGAAAATAGAGAACAATAAGGTACAAACATAAGGAATAATAAAATAAGAGCTGAGTAAAATAAAACATTTTTTTTTAAAAAAACAGTTAAAACTTTCAGTCAACATTCAAATATGAAAAATATACATATCACCACTTGTAGACACCATATGACGGAGTTCTCTCCTGCCCGGGGTCCTCTTATGGTTGGCCAGCCAACTCTTTACCTGATTAATTGAACAATTTATGGGCAGGCCCATGTTGATTCAACCAGCTGTGAAGAATAATCAAACTGTCAGACAGAGTTTCTGCTTTTATCAATAAATCTGACAATTCATAATTTTATTGATAAGAGCACATTGTCGGAGTGATGTCATATTCCACCTCTGAGCTGGGGAGAGCTCAGGGGATAGCGCTCCCCCACTGCCCGCCTCAATTATCAGTGCATGCCAGCCTCGGGGGTCCCTGAGTTGTCCAGCCGGCCAGCTCTTGGGCTCCCCAGGACAAGAGGCTGGCAAGGCATTTGCCAGGGCATTTGGGGTGGCTTTTTTTGCTGCCCCCTGAAAGTGCCCCCTAAGGCAAGTGCCTTGCCAGCCTTGCGGTAGGTACATCGCTGCGGGCAAAGTCAGTTAAAATATGGCTCAGCATGATGTAACATGCTTAGTAATTTAACTGGAAAACTTATTCCGTTTTGTTAATTTTATTTAAAGTGGTATAATTTTAAATATGGCTTCCAAGCACACAAAATGGCTGAATCAGGTTCAGAGTACCCTACAATTACTAAGATCAACATAAGCCAAACAGATGAAAAATAATCATAGACAGACTAAACTAAAAACTCGGTCCTTCAAGGGACAGTCTAAGCACCAGAACCAGTATAGCTTAATTTAGCCTTTTTTTTTTTTTTTTTGGTATACAGAGTCTGTCCCTGCAGTTTTTCAGGTGTAAAGGACTATGATAGTGACTGTGACTGAGGCACCTTCGTGTTATGGTCCCACAATCTTTGAAGGACAGAAGTTCGGAGTCTTCTGAATGAAGATGCCAAGTGTTCCTCAAATAAATGTAATTAGTTTTATGCATCTTTATAAGGAGATGTTGATTGACAAATCAAAGAGATTGCCTTGCATGCATATTAGCCCCTCATGCTTCTGTGCAGAGAAGCATTGAATTGGCAGAGATCGAGTGGCGGCAGCGACGAGGAGTGGCGGCAGCGACGAGAATGGTAGGGCATGGGATATACGGCAAATAAATTATCTTATGCTTACAGGAGGGCTTGTAAATCTAAATGGATAGACATAAACTCTAATATTAGAAATAAATGTTTATATTTAATTTGAATTTCCCTTTATGGAAAAATTGGAACAAACTAATTTGTTACAAATTGCTAGAAAAGTTACCCTCAATTAGAATTTCTCTGCACAGTCCGGACATTGTTAAATAGCATGACCAATGTCCGTATTTTGCAGTCCATATGGCCCCGGACAGCACCGGATGGTTTTTCTCCTTTCAGAACGTGGTCATTCAAACTTTAGTGAATAACCCTTTGAAGAAAAAGAGGCATCGGTAGGGGATTGAGAAGAACAAGATACAAATGCAGATTAATACTTGGCTGTATACTTTAATATATTATTATTTTTTCTAAATAAAAAATCTAAAAAACAGAAAAAAAGAGGCCATCCACTACATAAAATGTGAGGGTTACTGGCAATCTAGGAAGGAAAAAACCCTAATTAGAAACTTATAGAAAAATGGAAGAGGAACGGAAACACACCAAGTGTGAATTCCAATAGATTACCATAGATTTTAAACCACTTATCAAGAATAAAATATAATACTTTATTATTAAAAACCAGGTATATAATATAAACAAACGAATAGTGTCACAACAAAGTGAATATATGAAAATGAACTATGTGGTTCATAAGCCAGTTTATATGGTTTTCACAGTGATTGCTTCAGCTACAAGCTTGCAAAGGTTAATGGTTCAATATACCAATCAAATGCAAAATATACCATGTTGCTGAAATCAGATACCACTTACATCTATATATAGACACATCGTATTCAGTATAAAAGGGAAGAAAGCTCTCCAGTATATTTGAATAAAAATTAGAAGGTTGAATTATGTTAGATATGTTTAAAGTGCTGAAAATTTAAACAAATGTCCTGGATTTTGGCTAAAAATGTTGGTTCAAGGGTTGTAGTTATTAGACCTTATTTATAGCAGAGAATTAGCACATATTACCACAAAGAGTCACTTAATGTATTACGGAAGGGAATAAGTTCTCAAAGGTTTATCTAAGTGGATGGTACATGAAAAGGTCTTCCTAAGGAGAGAAGACCTTTTCATGTATCATCCACAACCTTGGACTCTGCGAAACACTTAATATTCCTGGTTTTCATGCTATCTTTCTGAATGCTCATTTAGTGTCTCCTTCTCTCGTCCACATCCTCCCAACTGCTCGTCTCGGTTGTTGTTCCCCAGGGCTCAATTCTTGGTCTTCTAGTCTACATCTTTGCTGCCTCTCTCTGTAACCTTATTAACTATTTTGGATTTCGACTCCATCCATATGCTGATGATACTCATATTAATCTCTCTACCCCTGACCTCTCTTCTGCTTTATTGGAACATGTTACAAACTGCCTCTTTTCAATCTCTAACTGGATGTCTTCCCGTTATTTAAAACTTCATCTTTCTTAAACTGAACTCCTCATCCTTCTCCAAAGCTAGCCCACTCTCCATCTATCTCCCTGCAAGTTGATTGGACTATTACCTTATCTCCTCAAACTTGCTGTGGAGTTACCTTTGACTTAGGTGTTTTCTTCTCACATCCCCTTGGTCTCCAAATCTTTTAACTTCCACTCAAGTATTGTCCACATTCACCCTTTTCTAATTCAAGATGCAACTAAGACACTTGTTCAGGCATTCACCATTTCCTGATTTGACAACTGCAACTTACTGCTCACAACCTTCCAAATACCAGCATTACCAATCTTAAGTCTGTAATGAACGCTGCCACCAGGCTCATCTTCCTGAAAGACCACTACTCACACACATCACACCTTTGCTAGTCCTTAATTTGGCCTCCTGTAAAATTCAAGATCCAATTCAAACTGATTATATTTATCTACAAATCCATCAATAACTCCACATTATATTTCCTCTTTACTCAACAAATTCAGCCCTTCGTGATCCTTTCAGCAATCTTATTTTGACATTTGCTCGTTTGCGCACTGCCAACTTTCATCTGCAGGATTTTTGAAGTGCTACCCCATTCTTATAGAATTCCTTACCCCATGCCATCAAACTCTCCTGTATCCTCCAGTTCTCTAAGAGGTCACTGAAAACACACCTTTTGTTGATAACCACTATCTACCTGGGTAATGCTTATTCTATTACAATTGCCTCTATAGCCCAGCTCACTTTACCTCTTCCAACTGTTTGGTTCTTCCACACACCACTCTGACTCACTTATTTACTCACACAAACATCTTATCTATCAGTCCTTCATCCATTCTCACATGCTGTTAATCCATGTGTGTATATATACCCCTTCCTCATAGATTGTAAGATCATTTGAACAGGGCCTTCTTTATTTCTTGTCTCTTGTTAAATGTTTGTATTTTAACATTTGTTGTCAATTATCCGCATAGTACGATGGTAAAGTGCTGTTGATTTTGCTGTAACTATCAAAATAATAATAATAATAGAATAATAGAGCTGCATTGAGAAGTCTGTGATTGGACAGCCACAAAAAGGGAATGCCTTGCAAAAACTGCAGACATGATATCTTCAGCTTTTGCAAGCTGTTTTTAAATATACCCCGAATGACAATATATAATTAAATGCATCTTTTCATTGGAGTTATATCTACTAGACAGCGATTTTAACTAATTTTATTACAGCAGAAGAGTGTGCCTTTTGCATTTTCAGAGAAATATTCATATATCAGGAGAAAACAGAAAAAAATTAATCCCAACAATAAAAAAAAAAACAGAATTCACACATACAATATCTTTTTTCTTTGCCAATAATTTAATCTGTTTTTTTAAAGCTATTCAACCAAAGATGAAAAGTATTTGACGGATCCAGGTTTGAAAAATGTTTGCCAAAACACGTTTAGACATCAATATTGTCTTTTGTTACAAAAGGTATTTATTATGAGGATTTACTGGCACTAAACAATGGACTTTAGTCAAAACTTGTGCAACATGATCTGTTTACAAAATTATGTAACTCAAAAAAACAAATAAAATGGCACAATGTAACCCCTTAAGGACACAATTTTTTAATGTTTTGCTGTTTGTGCTCAACTTTAACTTGCCTATATTTCTCATTTATTTTACCAACACATACCATATATCATTTTGTAAAGGACAAAAAGAGGTTTTATTTGATTTGATATATACACATATAAATTCTCATTTATTATAAAAAAAACAAAAATACATTAAAAAAAACCCAACAACTATTTTTTTAGCAGTTTTAGAAATAATGTGTCCATTACAAGTCCATCGTAAAAAAAAGTAATTCAAAAGAAATTAATTTATTTGTCCTGGTTTACCGAGTACATACTGTGTTTAGGATTTCTGTTTATTTTGATAGTTACAAGTCAAAATACAAGAAGTAAAAAAATGTCAATGTGGAAAAATTTTAGAAGTTGGTATATATATCTTGTAGGTTTATTAGCCTTCACAGAAAACAAACTTTCCACAGAAAAGCATAAAGTAGACATCATAGACTATACACCTAAGGGTACTTTGACTATTTTTACAAAGCCATTTCACCACCAGTCTCTGCTAAATATTGCAGTAAAATGTTTTTTTTTCCTGGTTTTTGACATACAGACAATTGTGCTCAAAAGTTTTGAGAACCTTACCAAATGTCTGATGAAGCCTTGAGAGGAGAAACGCGTTAAGTGTGGTCCTTATAGCCTATCTGGACATTTTTATTGTTCTTAATACTTATATGGTTTTAGATATTTTATTATGCAATAAAGTTAACTGTTTTTATCCCATATTCTTACCTTACCCATTCTTTTACCTTCATAACCTCTTGCTTCCTGGTACCTGCTATATCCTATGGTAGGGATTATACCACCCAAGCCTTATACCACTAGAGCAACTCCTGCTCTAGGAATTCTATGTACAATACTTTCTTGAAATTCGATTTATCCATATTTACTTCACTATTGGAGTTTCTTTTGCTTCTGTTTCCACATACTATATTGGCATTACCTAATCCAGAGCACTCCTGTCATCTGGACCTTTAACGGGATTATACCATCCATGTGTAGTTCAGCAGAGCTCTAAGTTAGCTATGAAAAATGAGTTCTCTGCATTAATCTCATTGAAAATTTCACATTGCCAAACGATATTGCACTATTATTTGTCTTGTCCTGTTCTTTTTTTAGGTTAACCTAATTGGAATACTCTCAGTGGTTAATGCATGTATTAATGTATTAATTGCACTTTGATGGTATCTTTTTTTGCTCTGTGTATCCTCGTCTTTTTGGTTTTATGTGAACAGAGAGATGCATACACATACAAATATACATTTGTGATAAAAGGATTGCATACCCTGGCAGAAATTGAGAAATTTTGGCATTGATTTTAAAAATATGACTGATCATGGAAAAAAAATGTGTTTTATTAAAGGATAGTGATTATATGAAGCCATTTATTATCACATAGTTGTTTGGCTCCTTTTAAAATCATAATGATAACACAAAATCACCCAAATGGCCATGATCAAAAGTGTATATACCCTTGGAAAGATATCCAAAGCCATGAAAATGCCAGTCAATACTGTTCAATCACTTATTAAGAAGTGGAAAATGTGGGGATCTCTTGATACCAAGCTAAGGTCAGGTAGATTTCAGCCACAACTGTCAAAAGAATTGTTTGGGATACAAATAAAAACCCACAGGTAACCTCAGGAGAACTATGGGCTTCTCTGGAAAAAGGCGGTGTGGTTGTTTCAAGTAGCACAATAAGACAATACTTGAACAAAAATGAGCTGCATGGTCAAGTTGCCAGATGCCAATGCCACAAAAAACCTGGTTGCAATATGCCCGACAATACCTTGACACGCCTCACATTTTCTTGCACTCTGTAATATGGAATGACGAGACCAAAATAGAGCTTTATGGTCACAACAATAAGCTCTATGTTTAAAGAGGGGTCAACAAGGCCTATAGTGAAAAGAATACCATCCCCAATGGGACACATGGTGGTGGCTCACTGATTTTTTGGGTGTGTGTGAACTCTAAAGGCTCGGGCAATCTTGTGAAAATTGATGGCAAGATGAATGCAGCATGTTATCAGAAAATACTCGCAGTCAATTTGCATTCTTCTGCACGAAGGCTGCGCATGGGACACTCTTGGTCTTTCTCGCATGACAATGACCCTAAGCACGAGTTGACCCTCCAGTGGTTACAGCAGAAAAAAAGTGAAGGTTCTTGTTAGTGTCCTGACTGCTTCACATATGAGACCAGTAGTTTTATACAACCTTGCTTGATTGCTGAGCATTTACTGTATAATCCGTCTTATTCTAACTGACAGCAACACAAGAGTAAGTATTTAGATTATGGTTCATGTTTGGTTATATGTATATTATTAATATAATTATTATTATTGTTGTAGTTATTTAAAAAAAACAAACGTTAATCCCCAGTTTAAAACTGCTGAACAGGTGAACAATATTCAGCCAATAGCCGTCGGTAGCCAGATTAGAGATACCCAAGCCAGGGCCTGTTTCTACTGATTGAAATATCATTGATTTATTGATTATATCTCAGCTAGACTCCACACAGAAAACAACGGGGCCCATGATAAACATCTCAATTCAGTTGACTGTGAATATATTTTATGAATAAATATCCCAGTAAAACCACGCATACAAAATCCCAGACACACATACATACAAACATACACACTCCTCGCCACACAGATATTTCCAGACACACACTCCAAAGCGCAAAGAGATATATAAGCCTCCAGGTGAATAAATAAAAAATATCTATAACATAAGCACTTCAAGAAGCTGTATTTGTTATGGAGCTCAGAGTGTTACTGTGATTCTTAATTGCATGTCATTGCAAATTATAACTATACGTTTTCTTTATGCTATGGGACGCCAGTTATCCCACTTTTCACATCCGTTCTTTATGATGAAACTCAATGGGAGACATTATACAAATTCAATCCCAGTCATTTTCTTTATTGTAATGGAAATTTTTTGAAGAAAGATGCATTCTTTCCGTTTTTCCATCGGGGGGGGAGGAAGGGGTGGCTGTGGCCTAACACGCACAATCAGGTCAACTAGAAAAACATATTACCGGTCCTTAGAATGGTCAGAATTAATGTAGAAAGAATAGTCAGAAACAAGACTAGTCAGAAACAAGCCAAAGTCAGGGACACAGACAGGAGCATAGACGAGAAGACAAAGTGGAAGGATCAGGGATACCAGAAATACGGATAGTCAGAATAAGCCAAGATCAAAAATCAGGAATCAATAAACCAAACACGCTCTCGGATAACCAAAGAAGTGGAAACCATGACAGGGCAAGGAAGAAAAAAAGAAATGGGGATGGATGCGCCGGCGGATTGGGCTGTGATTCACAGCAACTCAGGTAAGTCTATTTTATTTTGTAAGTGACTGCACCGATTGGGTGCGGTCACGTGGTGTCGCGGACCGGGAGTCGTGACAGTTTTCTAAAGGTAATGGAAAATAAAAGGATGAGAGGTATTCTCTAGTATGTTTTTTTATTATTATGTTTTTTTTTTTTTTTTAAGTATAGAAGAACATATTTTTATGTTCTTCTCCAACTGTACAACCTTTTCAGACACATTTTTTCTCCCCCAATTCAGACCCTTTATCTAAAATTTTTCAAACTTCACGCTGCCGGGTCCTTTTTCAGGACGTACCATCTGCTAGTTACTGACAGTGACGTACCATCACTTATTTTATCTTCTCCAAGTATACAACAGGTTTTAATTCCTGCACAAGCTAATTTGACACCAGCACTGTACGGTCATGTGATGTCAATGTTAAGCATTGTATGAGAAATATAGTCTATAGTCATTGCTGCCGCCCAGGACTAGTGAGAGTTTGAGCACAGAGCTTATTTATGTATGTTTGTAATTGCTTTTGTATTACACAGCCATGTTATAATGCTGCTGCCCACCCCATGTGCTCCCTATTAAGGGTTAATAAGTATCTAGGGTTTAGAAAAATACACATCACTGTCTTTTTAGAGATAATTTTTATCTGAAGCTAAAAGGAGCAAGGCAAATTGTAGGACCAAACTAAAAGGTTTGCCTTGACGTGGCAGGTAAGCGAACACTCAAGTGGACAAATGCGACAGAAGCAGATAGACTAACAGCACTAGTCCGCGACACCCCAAAATCTTTCAAAAAGATTTGGAATCCCTCACAGAATACATGATAATTCTGCCCCAATGTTCACTTTCTTCCCCATCACTGGGTACCTCTGTCATCCTTTCCCCTTTATAACAGAATTTGGTTTTGTCGTTGAATTGTACAACCATTTCACATGCGTCAGTGAATTTCAGTGAAATTCCAATACAGTTAATAAGAGTATTTGTCAACCACCAAAAAAGACTATTTCCTAAACAGTCTTTTTTGGGAGCTGACAGTGCTGCTTTAACACTACAATGGAAACATTGCTATTTCCCTAAAACTTTTTCAGCTGCAGGGCTAAGGGGACAAGGACACTGCATCCTGATCAGTTCGATGAGATAAAGTGGACCGGGTGCCTATAGTGTCCCTTTAAATTTACATTTGCCTTATTTATTATGTGTGGCCAAGACGTTTGTCAGCAGAGAACCATATTCCCCAGCCCGGTCTGTCAGTTCACATTGGTTTTCTAAACAATCCAGTCCTACTTGCATTTAAATTGTTCCTGCACAGGGCTTTTAACCCCCTTTTACAAGTTAACTTTTAGGAACATGGTAATTAGATGCCAGTACTACTGTTGTACAGTAAAAACAGAAGAGTGACATGACATTTTAACATTTTGTTAGTTTAACGTTAATAAAGTGTTTGACTTGGGACACCTCTCCTGTCTGTGGCCATCGATTTTTGTGCTGAATGTGTAAAAATAAATATTGACCCAACACACCTTGACTAAAACTTGGATATGCTTCCTGCATTGTAGAGGTATCCAGTTATTTCTAACTCTGCTTGTATAGACCTCAATAGCATTACAAACTATTACATCGCTAACACAAGCCTGAATCCTTGACAAGCCAGGATGGACCTACGGATGCATGGCAGTGGCAGAACTTCATTGGGTGACCCATCCACTTAGGGCCACTCAATGGGTACTGCTGAACAGGGCCCTGATCAAACACCACAGCCCTTTAAGAGTGTGACTAGCTACCTGTAATACTGTAATCACTTAAAGACTTAAAATTCTATTCCATTTATTAATAGTCTACCATCACACAAATGTGTGAAGTAGACTTACTCTCATAACAAAAGAAAACATTTAAAATAATTTAAAAAACAAAACGAAAGAGTCCAGACCTTATTAGAAACTCAGCGTCCCGAGTCAGCAAGTTGCAAAATGCTGTGAAAAAAGAAGAAAATAAGGGATGTGGGTCCTCTTCGTGATGTAGATGATGGTTGGTATTGATAGGAGTCAGACCTCTCCAAACGCGTTTCTCCGCTTCGCGGCTTTTTCAATGGATGCGGTCTGACCGCTAGTGATCGTTTTTATAGTGTCCTCCGTTTACTATACAATTGTATCAAATCTTTATTATATTAACACGATGAATCATCTCTTCATATCTTCCTACCATATTGTATCAACTTCTTCTAAAAATTTATACATATTGTACGTTTGCATTACTATAATAATACCCGCCCTTTTAGGCAGGTTTGAATATAACGGCCACAGTTTAAAACAAATCAGAATAAAAAATCATAATAAAAAATAAGCTAAAAAATGATTAGTCTATATAGTGACTCTACATTTGATACTATCCTTATTATAATAAGAATACAAAAAAATAAAAATTAAAAATTAAAAATTAAAAATTACCAGACAAATAATAAAAAAAAATAAAAAAAATTAGCCAAGAAAATGACAAAGCTCAAATTCAGCATTCAGTCCTTTAGGTTGTAATGTATCCAGCTTATATATCCATTGCATTTCGGTAATCCCTAACTGTTTATTGGGATCACCACCTCTCCAATTCTTATTAACTTTACATACCCCTTTAAAATTCAGAAGACTCATGTCCAAGTTATGTTGCTGTTTAAAATGAGCAGAAACCGAATGCTGCATATAGCCTTTTTTTATATTTAACATGTGTTCTCTAATTCTTACATACAGCTTTCTCTTGGTTCTACCTACGTATTTAAGTCCACACGGACACTCTAGAACATAAATCACATTGGTACTCTGACAAGTGATGTGTTCTTTTATTTTACATGATTCCATCTTTTTTTTATGGTTACTTTTTGTGACTTCAAATACTCCTTTTGTCTGTGTGTTATTACTTGTCTTACATGCAATACATTCCAGGCAATAAAAGAAACCATTCTTTTTTGTTGTAATTGCTTGCTTACTTCCTTTTAGATGACTATTAGTTATTTTCCTTTTCAGATTAGGTGCCCCCCTAAAAGTGATTTTAGGTCTTTCTGGTAAGTTGCTGGCAAGAATTTTATCTTTTTTCAATAAATGCCAGTGCTTCATCAGTATTCTTTTTAATTGCACATTTTCTTTATTAAAATCTAAAATAATTGCTGGAAATGTCTCTTGTCTTGTTGCATGCGATTTGTCTTTGTTCTTTAAGACATTTGTACGGTCTATATTATCAACTCTGCACAGAGCATCATCTATTTCGTTACATTTATAGTTTTTAGACAAAAATTTCTTTTTAACAGTATCTGCCTGTTCCCTATATACTTCGAAGTCTGTACAATTTCTCCTCAGACGTCTGAATTCATTATAAGGTACATTTTTAAGCCATATAGGCAAATGGCAACTTTCTTTAAGGATGAAACTGTTCACGTCTACTTCCTTGAAATGCGTTTTTGTTTTGACTTTCCCAGAGTCTATATAAATGCTAAGATCGAGGAATTCGACCTGTGTTTTACTCCAAGTTGTGTTCATTTTCACTCCCCAAGTATTTTTATTTATATACTCTAAAAATGCTTGGAGATCTTCTTCCCCACCTTCCCATATAAGGAACACATCATCGATGTATCTTTTGTATTTGTGAATGTTGGTATTCCAGGGATGTGCGTTCCAGATATAATTGTCTTCCCAATCCCCCATGAATAGGTTGGCAAAGCTAGGGGCAAATTTCGTCCCCATAGCAGTTCCTTTCTTCTGGAGGTAAAACCGATCTTCAAATAGAAAATAATTATTCTTTAGGATGAACGCAATCCCCTCTATTATGAATGAAATTTGTATGTCTTCCATTTCTCCATACTTGTTTAATGCATTTCTTACAGAATCACAACCTTGTTGATGGTCAATAATTGTATACAGAGAAGTCTCGGGACGCCGAGTTTCTAATAAGGTCTGGACTCTTTCGTTTTGTTTTTTAAATTATTTTAAATGTTTTCTTTTGTTATGAGAGTAAGTTTACTTCACACATTTGTGTGATGGTAGACTATTAATAAATGGAATAGAATTTTAAGTCTTTAAGTGATTACAGTGTATTTATAAGGTTATATACCTGCTAGTTTATATTTATTAGAAGAGAAAGGGTTTTTTATTTATATATTGTATATTACATAGGTTGTTAGGTCCCCTATTTTTCCCTATCTCTTGTTTGATCTTTATCAGCGCTCCACTTTTTGTAAAAATTTTTTACCTGTAATACTAACAGGAAGTGAGAGCCTCCCAAAACAGATAGAGAGCGCCACATGGGAGGGAGTAGGCAGGGGCAGCAAAGGCAGCAGGCAGAAGAGGAGCAAGAAGAGAGAGCTGCACCTAACCCCACACTATTAAACTCAGCCAGCAGCCGGTCCACAAGGAAGCCAACCTCCTGCAAACAAAAAAAGTTAAAACAAAAACACAAAAAACTAAGTCCTGCGCTCAGACTCCCACTACTCTAGGGTGGCAGCAATGACCATAGCACACATCAGCCCCAATAAATAAAATAAAAACTGGTTGTCTTCAATAAAAAATGTTTTTTTTTTATTACGCTTCCTGATTTTATCCATGAAGATTTTATCCGGATGATGCACACTTTTATTTCCTTGGTGGACTCCCGCGAGGCTGATTTAAAACCCCTCCAGCCACTTACCTGAATCCAGCGCCGATGTCCCTTGGGGCTGGGTCAGACTCCGCCCACGCTCCCTCAATGGCCGAGCGCACATTAAACCTCCCCATTGGAAAGCATTATTCAATGCATTCCTATGGGGAAAATTCTGACACTGGTGGTCCGTGAGATAACGAACCAAAAGTCAGTTTGGATTACGGAACCCCATTAGTGGCTGTCTGGTAGAACTGCAATGTTTTTACATTGCCGCACTAAGTGCAAAAGGGTCACAGCACCCAGACCATTTCAATGAGCTGAAGTGGTTTGGGTGCCTACAGTGCCCCTTGAATGTTGCATTCACTATTCATTACTCAGGAAAGGAACAAGTAGAAACTTTGTTTAACGCATCCCGCTGTCACAACATGCTCTGATCAATTCAGATTTTAAGAGTGTTTAAAGCCAGTTATCTGGCATGGCCTTAAATTAATATGTTTAGATAAGCTTTTCAAATGATTGAAACATTTTAATTATTTAATAGTTTGAAAAAATAGATGTTAATAACCAGCTGCCCCTATTACTCAAGATACGAAGGTCAATTCTTTACTATTAGTGATGTAAAGTGATGCAGGAATTCAGTTTTAGAAAGATTAACTTTTAGATAAAGGGAAGACATCCAGTTAGAGATGAAAGAGAAGCAGTTTGTGACTCGTTCTCAGAAAGAGGTCAGGGGAGAAGAGGCAAATCTGAGTATCGTCAGCATAAAGAGTGTATTAAAATCCAAAAGAGTTAATAAGATTATAAAAAGACGAGGCATGGATGTAGAGAGAAGATGTGAAACACCAACTGGGATAGCAGTTTAGAGGATGTGGCAACAGAGAAGAAGACACTAAATGAGCGTTCAGAAAGATTGGATTTAAATCAGGAAATGGGATTGTAGTTAGGAGAATTGGTGTTATGAGATGGCTTCTTTCAGGATGGCAATAATGATTGCATGTTTGCGGGATAAAAGAAACATACCAGTAGACAGAGAGAGGTTGAAAATATGTGTTAGGGATGGGTCAAGACTAGGGGAAAGAGATTAGATAAGGTAAGAGTGGAAGGGGTCCATAGGACAGGTGGTGGGGCAGGGCTGCCATCAGAAATGTTGAGGCCCCTGACACAGCTCAAGGTCTGGGCCCCCCGGTGCCTGCACCTGAGTCCGCCCAAAGTGCTGCCCCCCCCCGAATCCGCCCACAGGGATGCAGAGTCTGCAGGGCCGGTGCAAGGATTTTTGCCACCCTAGGCAAAAGTAAAGTCTGCCGCCCCCCCATGTGACATCACAATGCCCCACCCATATGATCTGCCATGTTAACTAACACCATAGAAACATAGAAACATAGAAACATAGAATGTGACGGCAGATAAGAACCATTCGGTCCATCTAGTCTGCCCAATTTTCTAAAAACTTTCATTAGTCCCTAGCCTTATCTTATAGTTAGGATAGCCTTATGCCTATCCCACGCATGCTTAAACTCCTTTACTGTGTTAACCTCTACCACTTCAGTTGGAAGGCTATTCCATGCATCTACTACCCTCTCAGTAAAGTAATACTTCCTGATATTATTTTTAAACCTTTGTCCCTCTAATTTAAGACTATGTCCTCTTGTTGTGGTAGTTTTTCTTCTTTTAAATATAGTCTCCTCCTTTACTGTGTTGATTCCCTTTATATATTTAAATGTTTCTATCATATCCCCCCTGTCTCGTCTTTCCTCCAAGCTATACATGTTAAGATCCTTTAACCTTTCCTGGTAAGTTTTATCCCGCAATCCATGAACCAGTTTAGTAGCCCTTCTCTGAACCCTCTCTAAGGTATCAATATCCTTCTGAAGATACGGTCTCCAGTACTGTGTACAATACTCCAAGTGAGGTCTCACCAGTGTTCTGTACAATGGCATGAGCACTTCCCTCTTTCTACTGCTAATACCTCTCCCTATACAACCAAGCATTCTGCTAGCATTTCCTGCTGCTCTATTACATTGTCTGCCTACCTTTAAGTCATCAGAAATAATCACCCCTAAATCCCTTTCCTCATATGTTGAGGTTAGGACTCTATCAAATATTCTGTACTCTGCCCTTGGGTTTTTACGTCCAAGATGCATTATCTTGCACTTATCCACATTAAATGTCAGTTGCCACAATTCTGACCATTTTTCTAGTTTACCTAAATCATTTGCCATTTGGCTTATCCCTCCTGGAACATCAACCCTGTTACATATCTTAGTATCATCAGCAAAAAGACATACCTTACCATCAAGACCTTCTGCAATATCACTAATAAAAATATTAAAGAGAATGGGTCCAAGTACAGATCCCTGAGGTACCCCACTGGTGACAAGTCCAAGCTTCGAATATATTCCATTAACTACAACCCTCTGTTGCCTGTCACTCAGCCACTGCCTTACCCATTCAACAATATTGGAATCCAAACTTAAAGATTGCAGTTTATTGATAAGCCTTCTATGTGCAACAGTGTCAAAAGCCTTACTGAAATCTAGGTAAGCAATGTCTACTGCACCACCCTGATCTATAGTTTTAGTTACCCAATCAAAAAAATCAATACCCGATCAATAACCAGTGCTGCAGTGCCGCCGTGTTTACATTAAAAGGCAAATTTCGGAGGAAATGTATTTATTTATGCATTATGTTATTATTCATAAATTAAAATTGTATGTATAAAAACTAAATTAAAAAGGTATATATCTGTGCAATAAAAAAGATTATGTGTGTGCAGTGCCTGCATGAGAAAACCAAGCATAAATGTAAGTACTGTACACGTGAGATGACTGTCTAAACAGTCATTATAAGATTTTTTTATAATTTACTGCCCCTAAAACTGGACTTTAGATATATACTCGGTCAACACACTCTATTCACATTCTTGTTTAGCTTGATAAACAAATAAAATGGCACAACTTTAATCAAAAATGATAGAGTTTGCAAATGTCATCTGATCTTGGATAATTTGATCTCTGTCTATTTGGCAGGGATTATAGTTGAAATACAAAAGTACACAGAGATTGCAAAGAATGAGAAAAACAAAGTTATGAATTCTGGCTGAACGATTCACCTTAGTCAGAGGTCATGAGACATGTTTCAAAAAAGATGGATAGATTTATTTTTCTCATATATAAACACGGACAGCAGAATTGTTGCTGGCATGAATTAAAATGCATTACTGGGACTCTAAGCACTGAAACCAATACATTTTAATGTAGTGGCTTCCATACATATATGCTGTGCCTTTTCTTAGAATATGTAAAACATTGCTAATTTTTAGAAATGGTAGTTTTTAACATTTCGCCATGTGACGAAAGTAACCTCGTCACTGGCTTTTGGAGGGGCCTGTTTGCCAGCCTCCTTCCCTGTGACTACGGTCCCTGTAATAGACCTGTCTCAAATACTTTAAACAGGCTCTGTTCATGTGAGTTATGTACTTTTGTACTCCAGACCATAGGACCATGTGCACGGTCGGTCAAAAATAAGACTTATGGGGGCGTGGCCAAGACACCGAGGAGCATGGACGCATGAATCCTGAGCTCCGTCCCTCACCGAGAGCAATAGGGGATACCTGTCATCCAACAGCACACATGGCAACCAAAAAGCACCGCAGCAACGCGGGGAACACCCCAGCGACGGTTTCCCCAGCTGCCAAAACATCCCTACAGAGATTCTTCACGGAACAACCAGACCCGCGAGGACACGGCAAGATGGCGCCCGCGGGAAACACACGAGGCAGCCAACCATCCAGCCCATCAGCATCGGAATGCTCGGCAGAGGAATCCGACATTAGGGCAATCCTAACCCAACTGCCCTCCAAAACTGACCTTGCAGCCATGTTTCAAAGACTAGAGGACAGTTTTAGTGAAAAACTCCAGGCAGTGAGCGCAGATGTGCAGCACCTAGGCAATAGAGTACAGGCCTTGGAAGAAGAGAATGAAACCGCTGACAGGCAGTGGGCTGAATGCCACACTACACAAGAGACACACTCTGAAGCCATCAGACACCTGCAAAGGAGGCTGGAAGATGTTGACAACCGGGGAAGACGAAACAACCTTAGGGTAAGAGGTATACCTGAGCAGCCGGACGGCACCACAGAGAACCCCACACAGATCCTAACAACATTTTTTAACCATATCCTCGCAAGACCCCCAGAAACAGCCATCCAGTTCGACAGAGCCCACAGGGCAGCAAGTCCCAGAAATCTACCCCCTGACAGGCCACGAGACATTATATGCAGGATACATAACTTCCCTCTGAAAGAGGAGATCTTCCATAAAGCCTGCCAAAATAAAGAACTATCGGTCGATGGCCATCAGGTGACCGTGTTCCAGGACTTATCACCGTCCACTCTACAGGCAAGAAGGGCCCTACGACCTATCCCACAGGCTCTGATGGAAAGACAAATCAAATTTCGGTGGAACTTCCCATTTGCTCTAACTGTGACCTATAAGGACAAGACTCACACCATTACTACGCCAGCGGATATACCCGACTTCCAGAGGGGATTGAATCTACCACCATCCGAGGTGGTGGACTGGACCGGCCAAAGCAGACGCAGCATCGACCTAAATGGCAGAGAACCCCGAGGAAGAGACATAGGCCGACCCAAAAAGAAACCGATGTCCATGCCTCGCCGGGGACAAAGCAACCTGAGCATCAGCATGATCACACAAGCATATCCTTTGCATTAATTCTAAACTCTATGCCTTAATTTAGCACTAAACTGTGTATAAGATTATGATGTTATACTTTTCTATTGCCAATGTTATGTTATGTTTATAGACTGTAGAATATGCCGCTACCAGGCTCCTCTGACCCTAGACACCAGCAGCACGGTTATAAATGAGTTAAAAGGGCCCACAGGGACCTGGCCTACAGGGTGAATGCAGACCTACAATCCGTCCCCCACTCCCTTACTAGCTGGAGGAGTGGGAGCATAGCATAAAGTTGTCAATCACCCTAAGGGAACCCCCGCCGGCCCTCGGTCAGGCTACCTTGGTCACCACCCCCAGAGAGGCACCCCGACACAACTTGTGGAAACGAGTAAGTTACCCACAAGTGTACCGCCAAACTCACTCCAGATATGAAACCCTCATATCATACTGTACAAAGTTCAAGTTCCCCCCCAGTTTACCCTGTCCACACCACCCCTGCCTATATATTCATGAAATGCGCTACAATAGCAGGCGCACTCCTAGGGTCCCAAGCTAAAACAAGAGGTAGCACATCCCGTTATCATGGCCCAAACTAAACTCATGTCCCTGAATGTACGGGGACTAAACTCCCCATGAAGAGAACGATGCTAGCACAAGAAATAGACAGGCAGGGAGCTGACTTAGCCTTCCTGCAAGAAACCCATTATAGGGGAGAGTTTAAACCGAAACTTAGATCAAAACGTATTCAAGTGTCCTACTACAGCAACAATGTTAAACAGAAATCTAGGGGTGTGGCGATTTTGATCTCATCCACCGCAGCCTATACCAAAATCAGCCTCAAAACTGACCCAAGGGGTAGGTTTGTGTTCGTGAAGGGGATATACAATGGAGTTCTTACAACATTGGCGAGTGTCTATGCTCCAAACTCAGACCAAGTACCCTATATACGCTCTTGCCTAGCTAAGTTAGAAGGTTTTGCTGAGGGAGCTGTAATTGTAGCGGGAGACTGGAACATGGTACTAGACCACTCAATAGACAGCTCATCTAAGACCAAAGACCCTCGACACCGCCAACGGACAATGTTCTCCAACGTGCTTCACGCCCATCAACTGATGGACTGCTGACACATATTACACCCTCAAGAGAGAGACTACTCCTATTACTCCAAGGTAGCAAACACCTACTCCAGAATTGACATGTTTTTCCTCAGCCATAGACACCTTCCCCTACTGAGTGAAGCATCAATAGGCAACATCACGTGGTCTGACCACGCCCCAGTTTTCTTATCTGTCGCCCTTCAGAGAGATCCCAAATACACCACACACTGGCAACTGAACGAGACCCTATTAGATGACCCGAGAGTAATAGATGACCTGAGACAAACAATAGGCAACTACTTCACAGACAATGACACAGGAGAGGTATCCTACCAATGGATCTTGGAAGCACAGAAGGGAGCTGCGAGAGGCACCCTGATTAAATGGGGATCTAGAATTAAGAAGGAACACACACATAAAATTAACTCCCTTACAACGGAAATACACCTCGCCGAATCCCTACACAAACAGGACCCTACAGCCGAGAACTTCCAGAAACTCACGGCCCTCTGAATAGAAATGCGATCATTATTAGCCCTTAAAGCACACAGATCGGTCCAGCTGACCAGGGGCTCCTTTTATACCCAGGGTAATAAAAGCGGGAAACTATTGGCCCGAGCCCTAAAAACTAAACATCAGAGGTCCTTTATCGACAAAATTACCGACAAAACAGGGAAACAATGCAATACCACAGACAACATAGCTATTGCATTTAGTACCTTTTATGAAGACTTCTACAATCTAGACCCACCAAGTAAACAACCTAACAACCTGAGAGAATATATTACCTCAAACCTTCCACATACTATCCCCAACGACACAGCACTCACACTCGACGAGCCATTCTCTCCAGCAAAACTATCACTAGCTATTAAGACTCTACCAAAAGGAAAGAGCCCAGGCCCAGATGGAATGACTGCGAGATATTACCAAACACTTGCACAGGAGTTAATCCCTCACTTTCTTAAATCACTAAACGGCCCGGCACAGGACAACCCACTACCACCCCCGATGCTGCATGCATCAATCACTATTATTCCCAAGCCGGGCAAAGACCCCACACAGTGTGGGAGCTACAGACCCATCTCCTTGATACACCTGGATCGAAAACTAATGGCGAAAATGATCGCCAACCGACTTAAACTCTTATTACCGGGACTAATCCACCCTGATCAGGCCGGCTTTGTGCCTGGCCGTGAAGCCAGGGACAATACCACAAAAATCCTAAATGTCATACATGGGGCAACCGTAACGAACACACCGACACTGTTATGGCAATAGACGCTGAAAAAGCATTCGACAGGGTGGATTGGTCCTATCTCTTCACAGTCCTGGAGGTCCTAGGGGCTGGTCCGAGACTAAGGAATTGGATACAATCCTTATACAGGGGACCGTCCGCCAATGTCAGGGTCAACGGCCACTTATCCACACCCTTTCAGATAAGTAATGGTACATGCCAAGGATGCCCCCTTTCCCCTCTCCTATTTGTCCTAGCTATGGAACCCTTCCTTACGGCTATCAGGAATAACAACAACATCCGCGGTCTCCGGTACCCTGGGGGAGAGACGAAAGTATCCACATTTGCGGACGACGTCCTCTTCACGATCACTGATCACTGATCCAATCAACACCCTCCCTCAGATCCAAACAGAGATTAGAACCTTTGTGACCTTATCTAATTTTAAGATAAATGCGGACAAATGCGAAATCCTGGGCATAAAACCATAATGGCAGTACATACTGGATGACATAGTGGAAATTCTCGCATTGCAAGCCCGTCTGACCCCATCCCAGGTAATACTGGGCTGGCCTCGCACCTTTAAGGAGCCACACAAACAACAACTCCTACAGATTCTGCTCGGGGAAGCCAATGCTCTTGTGCCAAAGCACTTGCGCCGACCTAGTGTGCCATCCAGGGAGCAGTGGGTACGGCGGGTTGAATGTGCGAGAGAAATGGAAGAAATACATTGGTCAGTACTAGGGAGACGGTACAGATACCTTAAAACATGGGAGCCCTGGACTGAATTTTGGAGGAGCCCCCCAGGGATGGCCCTACCCACACCCCCCTACTTAGACCGGGACTGTCATAGTAAGACCATAGGGTTCCAAATTAAAGGACCAAATTAAACATCACCAGGCAAGACAATACTCCCCCACCCACCCCTCCCCTATTACCCTTCCCTCCATCCAGGTTTACTACCCTATAGGACACCCTCGCCATAGTAAATACACCTTCGTAATAGAAACGAGATAAGCTGTAAACACCTTACACTCAAGAACCATATCCGGTACGTCGGAATCTCACATTGAAAGTTGCCCACGCAGCCGAATAGGACGAACAGAAGTATTATTGGTATTAACTATGTGCAATTTTATTACAATACCCTACTATGTTAAATCTAAACGTTCCTCCTTTTTTCTTCTGTACCCCATGACTTTTACGCTTTTGAAAATAAAGAAAAATTTATTAAAAAAAAAAAAAAAACTTCCAGGAAATTCCTGAACACATGAACTGATCTGGGCGATTTCTGGATATGTTGGTGACCCAGATCAGGGCTATCATGTAACAGGGATGTAACATTTGTGGGCTTTTATGTATTTTTAGGGTACTTTTGGGGTGTTTTAAAAAAGTATGTTTTTCCTGTGCTTGGAGATAATTGGATTAGAATTAGTACAGTTGCGGATCCAATTATCTCCCATCCATAGGGGGTGGATTGTGTATTGTATGTGGGAGTGTCATGCTTTTAATCACTGTTCTTATTGGTTTGTGAGTTTCTGTCCCTGTCCCTAACAAGGTCCATGTGGGTGTCACCCTTGCATGGGGACTTGAATAAAAGGGCAGTGTGGCTACCATTAAAACAGAATGCTTTACCCCTTTATGAAGTCTTGGCTCATGTTTGGTGGATTGGAGAACTACATACACTCTGGGGATTGCTATATCACAATACTCCCCTGAGTATAATCACCAGCTCTTCTAAGAACTGTTCCTGCTACGCTCTCTGGACTAGGAGAGGTCTACCCACTGGAAGCTGGATCCTTGTCTTGGGTCCAGGGTGAGTGGAGGACCGCGAGACCCCAACGTAGCTGTGTTGTTTGTCGTGGTTTGCGGTAGTTATGGTGCTCCAGAGCAGTGCTTATGGTACTCGCAAGTACTAGGAAGCAGCGATTGACTGAGGTTCCCAGTCAGGGTGCCAGGCGATCTTTCACATTGGTGGCAGCAGTGGGATGACCTAGTGAGTATAGAAGCATCCTGGAGACACCTGTAGGAATGTACAAATTGAGGGCAACGCTAGTATCCGTACAGCGCCCCTGTCTACATCGTATGGATTTTTTTAAAAAAAATTTTTAGGGCAACGCAAGTATCCGTACAGCAGCCCTGTCTATAGCAGTATGGATTTATATTGAGGGCAAGGGTAATATCCGTACAGCGTCCCTGTTTACAGCAATATGGAACCAGCTAGTTCCCATACAGCGTTCCTATATGAGGAGGAAAATAAATTGGATTTGAGGGATGCAATCCGGAAAGACACCTGGTATGAAGCCCTGGAGGGCGTACAGTGTCGGTGGGGCGAGAGTCTCCCCAGTGACGAGCAGTGGCTACAGAAGCGTGTGGCAATGCAAATGTGTCTCTTGGGAGAACAGCCGCTGTATGAGTGGGTGACAGAACTCAAGAGCCTGGTATGTAAGGAGCTTTGACTAGATGACGCCTACCAGGCCCTGTGGTGGTATACGGTTCGGCATACCCCCTGGAAGGCCGAGCACGACTGGCCCGAAGGTGATGATTTCGATGGCCTGGGTCTACTATGGGATGCCTTGGAGGAGGACATTGATTTCGGCAGCTCGGAGGAGTCTAGATTTTGGGACATCTATGACTACAGGGTGGGCATGCATGTTTGGGCTGACGCCAGCGAAGTGAGACGAGACATGACCCACCTAGTAACAAGGAGTGGGAGCTGGAGCAGGACTACCAACACCTGCTCAGCTCAATTGAGCCCCAATCTACCCGACAGGCAGAATCAGATCTGCAACCCTTCAGCTGGGAAGACCTGACTGAGGTATCCCCTGCTTCCCTACCAGCTACCAAAGTGGAGGACCTCATAGACTGATCATGCAGGTGGAGATGGGACCGAGGTCTCTCCACTGGCCCTACAGGGATGCTGGTCAGCTGGCCCATATCCCCAGCTACAGCTGGAGTTACAGGGAGTAGGGACAGTCGGTTCTACTCCTCAGCAGCCAGGTGAGTTACAGGTGGAGACTGTCGGTCTTCCTCCCCAGCGGAAGCCAGAGTTACCAGGAGTAGGGACAGTTGGTCCTACTCCCCAGTGGCAGTGTACCATACAGGGAGAGGAGACAATCGGTCTCTCTCCCTAGCAGCCGACAGTATTGCTGGGAGAGGAGATTGTTGGTCCCTCATCCCAGCAGCAGCAAGCAGTCCTGGGGGTCGAGACAGTCGGTCCCACTACCCAGCACCAGGCCGCATTACCGGGAGTTGAGACAGTCAGTTCGATTCCCCAGTGGCAGCTTACCTTACAGGGAGAGGAGACAACCGGACTCTCTCCCCAGCGGCAGGGCAAGTTATTGGGAGTGGAGACGGTCGGTCTCACTCCCCAGCGGCAGTGTGCATTACAGGTAGAGGAGCCTCTCTCTCCCCAGTGGCAGGGTAAGTTACAGGGAGTGGAGACAGTCGGTCTTAGTCCCCAACGGCAGTGTGCAACACAGGGAGTGGAGACAGCCGGTCTCTCTCCCCAGCAGCAGCTGGATATACTGGAAGAGGAGACAGCTGGTCCCTCTCCCCAACTACAGGGGGACAACACACCTGAGCCCAATGGTGCAGATGGGACCGCGGTCTCTGCATCAGACCTACAGGGATGCTTGACGGCTGGTCCAGATTCCAAACCAACACCGCAGGACTGCCAGGAGGAGGAGGTAGGCGATCCCTTCACTGCACAGCAGATCCTCAACCAGGTTCTGGGGGTAGCATCCGCTGAACCCATCCCAGCAGAAGCTGGCATCTGGGCAGAGAGCAGCTGACCTCTGCCTCTCCTTTCCCTTTTGTCCAGGGCCTGAAAACCAGCAGGCCACCCCAGCAGAAGCCCTGGCAACAGGGCAGAGCGCAGTTGGCCTCTGCCCACCACATACTTACGTTATGCCTGGGAGCACAAGGGAAATCGTGGGTGGCAGACATGCCCTCTGCCGCATGGGACAGACAGGACAAAGCTGGACACCTGAGAACTACAGGTCAAGTACTTGGTTGTGGGTGGGTTGCTCGACTAACTCAGGTACTGACCGACAGGAGGTCAGCTACCTGGTTAGTCTCCCCTTGGGAGGGAAGATATGTGATGAAAGTAACCTCGTCACTGGCTTTTGGAGGGGCCTGTTTGCCAGCCTCCTACCCTGTGACTATGGCCCCTGCAATAGACCTGGCTCAAATACTTTAAACAGGCTCTGTTCATGTGAGTTATGTACTTTTGTACTCCAGACAGAGAGACCGACCGTTAGCCCTGATTCCCTGGAATTGTTTTGGGCATAGGATCAGGGGCACGGTCGGTCAAAAATAAGACTTCCGGAAAATTCCTGAACTCCTGAGCTGGGTGATTTTTGGATATGTTGGTCACCCAGATCAGGGCTATCAGGGGATGTAACATGTTCGTGGGGTTTTATGTATTTAGGGTACTTTTGGGGTGTTTTTTAAAAGTGTGTTTTTTCCTGTCCTTGGAGATAATTGGATTAGAATTAGTACAGTCGCTGATCCAATTATCTCCCATACAGGGATACCGGGAAATTTTCCGGTGGGCCATCGGCACCTGGGGCCGGCAGGCAGCTGGTTAATCGCATGGGGAGCTCTGATGGTGGCCGCATGGGGGAGCTGGCTCTTTTGGCAGCCGCAAAGGGAGCTCTTTTGGCGGCCGCAGGGGGAGCTGGCTGTTCTGTCTCTGCTCCCCCTCCCCAGCGCGCCGCTTAATGAGACCAGACCTGGAATATAATGATATATTCTGGCTCCGGTTTCATTAAGCGGCGCGCTGGGACGGGGGAGCAGAGACAGAACAGCCATGCGGCCGCCAAAAGAGTCAGCTCCCGCATGCGGCCGCCATCAGAGCTCCCCATGCGGCCGCCAGCACACAGGTAGCAATTATGTGTGTCAGTGTATGTGTGTGTGTGTCTGTGTCATTTGTGTGTGTGTCTGTCTGTGCCATGGTGTGTGTGCCTGTGTCAGTCTCTGTCTGTGTCATGGTGTGTGTGTGTCTGTCTGTGTCATGCAATGTGTGAGGAACTGACTCTGCTCGGTTTTGAACCCTGGTTTACATGGTGCTAAACCTCTTCCTTACCAGTACACCAGCCTGCCTTTTGCAAATTTACTTGAGATCTGATACCATTGCTTGTAGAGTCAAGGTTATCAGTGACAACTCTCTTCAGCTGTGTCTGGTCAGGTGTCTGGTTCTTGGCCTATAAAAGCCACTTCCTGTCTCTGTACCTTTGCCAGATTATTGTGGTTCCTGTACTCTCTAATCAAGCGTGTTCCTGTTTCTCCTTCCTGTTGCTGAATTTGGACTGTTTTGACTTTGCTGCTTCTCCTTCCCACTGACCTCGGCTTGCCTCACTACGATTATCATCTTTCTGTTCCAGTCTCCCATCTCTGCTTAAGACCAGAAGGCCACTCAAGGCTCAGGGGCTCAACCACCTGGGTAACGAGTGGCTACCTCTGGCAGAAAACATTGCTGATCTGGCTACTGGACTCCAAAACTTTGTAACATCAATATCATTACAGAATAATCTGGCCATTCATGGAGACCGTCGGATCAGATTCTGCATTGGCCCAGCAGGTTGCTTTTAATGCAAGAACTATGCAGACCCAGGCACAGACCATTCAAGTGCTGCAGGATCAGGTAGCTGAACTGCAAAATGAAGTTCGATCAATGCATAGTGAACTTACCAGCTACAGGGCACATGATGTTGCGGCTGCTGCTACTACTACTGTTACACCTGCACAAGATGCCCGCTTGCCTCTACCAGAAAAATTTGGAGGAGACCGCAAAAAATTTAGGGGTTTCCTAAATCAATGCCGTTTGCATCTCATGATGTTACCTAACCGTTTTCCATCTGAAAGAGAGAAGGTGGGATTTATTTTTTCCCTCTTCAAAGATGAAGCCCTGGCCTGGGGCTCCCCTTTTCTGGAAACAGTAGACGGTTCTCCACTTACGTCAGGCCCGGTTACACATGAGACTGTGCCCTTAAAATTGATTCTGGAAGTAAATCACCATGAGTCTATATCTTTCCACCTAATTTCCTCAACACAGTTTCCAGTGATTTTGGGTATACCCTGGCTTGCTCTGCATAACCCACAGATTGATTGGAAGACTAGAACTTTGTCCTTTCCTTCAGAACACTGCTTAATGAATTGTCAACCCTCTAAGGCGACACCTGTTACCACAACAATTAATGAAATGGTTGCTACAAACTTAACTAAGCTTCCGCTACAATATCGGGATTTTGCAGATGTCTGTGATAAGAAGAATGCTGATCAGCTTCCACCTCACAGGCCTTATGATTGCCCCATAGAGCTGCTACCTGGAGCTGCTATCCCATTTGGCCGTATATACTCCCTTTCTGAGCCTGAATTGAAAGCACTTCGTGAATACATACAAGAAAATCTTGCCAAAGGCTTTATTCGACCATCCACTTCTCCAGCAGGAGCTCCTATATTCTTTGTAGAAAAGAAAGATGGCAGTCTACGGCCATGTGTCGATTACAGGGACATTAATAAAATCACTGTTAAAAACCGTTATCCCTTGCCTCTCATTCCTGAACTTCTGGAGAGACTTCGTTCAGCTAAAATATTTACGAAGCTTGATCTACGGGGGGCATATAATCTGGTTCGCATAAGACCAAATGATGAATGGAAAACAGCTTTCAGAACCAGGTACGGACATTACGAATATCTAGTAATGCCATTTGGGCTTTGTAATGCCCCTGCAACTTTTCAGCATCTAATCAATGATGTACTACGGGATCTCCTGGATCAGTTTGTTGTGGCATATTTGGATGATATCCTGATATTTTCTGATAATCTTGAAAATCACAGAAAACAGGTCTGCATTGTTCTTGAGCGCCTTCGTACCCACCACCTATACATTAAACTGGAAAAATGTGAGTTTGAACAAACAGAAATTCAGTTCCTGGGGTATGTAATAACTCCTAAAGGTTTAAGTATGGACGCAAGTAAAATTAAAGCTGTGCTGGACTGGCCCATCCCCAAGAATGAAAAAGATATACAGAGATTTGTGGGGTTTGCCAATTTTTATAGGCGTTTCATTAAGAATTTCTCTGCCGTTATTACACCGATCACTGAACTTACACGTAAAGGGACTCCTTTTCAGTGGTCCAATAAGGCTGACATTGCATTTTCCAGATTAAAGACTCTATTTACATCTGCCCCTATCTTGGTACATCCTCAGCCAGAATTGCCATTTACTGTAGAGGTAGATGCTTCTGATTCAGCTGTTGGGGCTATACTGTCTCAAAGGACTGGACCTAAGATGTTGTTACATCCATGTGCCTTCTATTCCCGCCAGATGTTACCAGCAGAAAGAAATTATGACATAGGGAATAAAGAACTTTTGGCTATAAAAGCTGCCTTCACCGAATGGAGACATCTCTTGGAGGGAGCCACTCATCCAATTACTGTCCTCACAGATCACAAAAATCTGGAATGTATCCAATCCGCTAAGAGACTGTCAGCCAGACAAGCACGCTGGTCCCTATTTTTCTCAAGGTTTAATTTTTTTATTTCATACCGCCCTGGTTCCAGAAATGGCAAAGCAGATGCCTTGTCTAGGATAGCTGACCCTCTCCATACTACAGTAACCAAGGCCACCATCTTGCCGGAGAGCAGATTTTTAGGAGTTACCTTTCCTTCTGATCTAATGTCTCGCATTAAAAAGGGCTACTCTAAAGATCCAGTTTTTCGTGATCCTCCTCGTGATCTTCATATGACCATGCTTAATGGGTTTTGGATTTTTCAAAAACGTCTGTTTGTTCCAGAATCAGTGCGACTGGACGTTTTACGCCTCTACCATGACTCTAAATCAGTGCGACTGGACGTTTTACGCCTCTACCATGACTCTAAACCAGCAGGTCATCCAGGAATCCGAAAGACACAAGAACTACTTACCCGATCCTTTTGGTGACCTAAATATTATGAGGATGTTAAGAAGTATGTGTCCTCTTGTGATGTATGTGCCAGACATAAGACTCCTCGCTCATCCCCTGTTGGCTTGCTTCAGCCTCTTCCGATTCTCCATCGTCCCTGGGGATCTATATCCATGGACTTTATTGTGGAACTACCTCCCTCTAAGGAACACACTACCATTCTTGTTGTTGTGGACCGGTTAACTAAGATGAGTCATTTCATACCAGCTCGTGGTCTCCCTTCAGCTAAACAGACTGCTGACCTTGTTATTCGGGAAATATTTCGCTTGCATGGAGTGCCTGATGAAGTAATTTCTGACAGGGGAGTGCAGTTTACATCTCATTTTTGGAAATATTTTTGTTCTATTCTAGGTATTAATGTAAATCTGTCTTCAGCTTTTCATCCACAAAGTAATGGACAGACTGAGCGAACCAACCAGACTTTAGAACAATATTTGCGGTGCTATATCAGTTACCTGCAGGATGACTGGCTGGATTTTCTACCCACGGCGGAGTTTGCCTATAACAATGCCCAACACTGCTCCACTTCTCTGAGCCCATTTTTTGCCAATTATGGTTACCATCCAACCTTTCTAGTGAGTCTCCCAATTACTACTCCCATTCCTGCAGTCACTGACCGGCTAACCGCCTTACGAGATTCCCAAGAACTGTTGAAGGAGACTCTTTCGGAGGCTCAGGAATGTTACAAAAGAGCTGCTGATAGGCACAGAAAGGAGGCCCCAGTTTATCATGTTGGTGACAAGGTTTGGCTGTCAACAAAGAATCTTAAGCTTAGGATTCCTTCTCATAAATTGGGTCAAAAGTTCATGGGACCTTTTGAGATAATCGCTCAGATCAATGCAGTCACCTTCCGTCTGCAACTTCCGGATTCCATGAAAATACATCCGGTGTTTCACGTGGCACTGCTTAAACCTTTTCATGAAAATACTTTCCCTGGTCGAGCCTTGCCTGCCCCACCACCAGTCCTCGTGGATGGTGAAGATGAATACGAGGTGGAAAAAATTCTTGACTCCAGGATCTTCCGCAACAAGCTTCAATATTTGGTTCATTGGAAAGGCTATGGTGAGGAGGATAGATCGTGGGAACCAGTGGACAATATTCATGCTCCTGATCTTCTTCAGTCTTTCCATGCACAGTACCCTGCTAAACCAGGAAATAAGGCATCCAGAGGCTGCGCCTGTAGAGGTTGAGGTAATGTGAGGAACTGACTCTGCTCGGTTTCGAACCCTGGTTTACATGGTGCTAAACCTCTTCCTTACCAGTACACCAGCCTGCCTTTTGCAAATTTACTTGAGATCTGATACCATTGCTTGTAGAGTCAAGGTTATCAGTGACAACTCTCTTCAGCTGTGTCTGGTCAGGTGTCTGGTTCTTGGCCTATAAAAGCCACTTCCTGTCTCTGTACCTTTGCCAGATTATTGTGGTTCCTGTACTCTCTAATCAAGCGTGTTCCTGTTTCTCCTTCCTGTTGCTGAATTTGGACTGTTTTGACTTTGCTGCTTCTCCTTCCCACTGACCTCGGCTTGCCTCACTACGATTATCATCTTTCTGTTCCAGTCTCCCATCTCTGCTTAAGACCAGAAGGCCACTCAAGGCTCAGGGGCTCAACCACCTGGGTAACGAGTGGCTACCTCTGGCAGAAAACATTGCTGATCTGGCTACTGGACTCCAAAACTTTGTAACATCAATATCATTACACAATGTGTGTCTGTGTCATTGTGTGTGTGTGTGTTTGTCATGGTGTCTGTGTCATGGTCTCTCTGTGTCGTAGTGTGTGTGTGTGTCTGTGTGTCATGGTGTGTGTGTCTGTCTGTGTCATGTAATGTGTGTCTGTGTCACGGTGTGTGTGTGTGTCTGTGTCATGGTCTGTCTGTGTTATGGTGTGTGTGTTTGTCATGGTGTGTGTCTGTATGTCATGGTGTGTGTGTGTCTGTCTGTGTCATGTAATGTGTGTCTGTGTCACGGTGTGTGTGTGTCTGTGTCATGGTCTATCTGTGTTATGGTGTGTGTGTGTGTCTTTTATAAGGTGTGAATGTCTGTCATGGTGTGTGTGTGTGTGTCTCTGTCATGGTGTGTCTGTGTTTCTGTCTGTGTCAGTGTGTGTGTATTTCTGTCTGTGTTACAGTGTGTGTGTCTGTGTCACGGTCTGTCTGTGTCATGGTGTGTTTCTGTCATGGTATGTGTGTGTGTATATGTGTTTTTACTCACTTATTTTCCCCCCCACGTCATGCTGGTCTCCCCTCGACTGGCCCTGCCTCTATGGCTGAGATCATGAAGCCTGATGATCTCAGCCAATCCGCACTGACACAGGAAGCACCTCTAGTGGCCATCAGAGTGTCTGTCACTAGGAGGCAATGTAAACACTACCTTTTTTCTAAAAAGTCAGTGTTTACATTGAAAAGCCTGCAGGGACAGGCTATAATGCATCTTGGACGTAAAAACCCAAGGGCAGAGTACAGAATATTTGATAGAGTCCTAACCTCAACATATGAGGAAAGGGATTTAGGGGTGATTATTTCTGATGACTTAAAAGGTAGGCAGACAATGTAATAGAGCAGCAGGAAATGCTAGCAGAATGCTTGGTTGTATAGGGAGAGGTATTAGCAGTAGAAAGAGGGAAGTGCTCATGCCATTGTACAGAACACTGGTGAGACCTCACTTGAGTATTGTACACAGTACTGGAGACCGTATCTTCAGAAGGATATTGATACCTTAGAGAGGGTTCAGAGAAGGGCTACTGAACTGGTTCATGGATTGCGGGATAAAACTTACCAGGAAAGGTTAAAGGACCTTAACATGTATAGCTTGGAGGAAAGACGAGACAGGGGGGATATGATAGAAACATTTAAATATATAAAAGGGAATCAACACAGTAAAGGAGGAGACTATATTTAAAAGAAGAAAAAACTACCACAACAAGAGGACATAGTCTTAAATTAGAGGGACAAAGGTTTAAAAATAATATCAGGAAGTATTACTTTACTGAGAGGGTAGTGGATGCATGGGATAGCCTTCCAGCTGAAGTGGAAGAGGTTAACACAGTAAAGGAGTTTAAGCATGCGTGGGATAGGCATAAGACTATCCTAACTATAAGATAAGGCTAGGGACTAATGAAAGTATTTAGAAAATTGGGCAGACTAGATGGGCCGAATGGTTCTTATCTGCCGTCACATTCTATGTTTCTATGTTTCTATAGACACCAGAGCCACTACATTAAGCTGTGTGTGTGTGTGTGTGTGTCTGCTACTGAGTGAGCTTGTGTTTTTATTTCAAAGACCTTATGTTTATCAGTGAGATTGTTTGTCTATGAGGCTGTGTATCAATTAGCTTGTGTCAGTGAGATTGGGTCTGCATGTGAGTATGCTTACTGTATAATTAAATATTTTACTCTGAAAGGACCAATATTTTATATTGGAAAAAGCAATATATATATATATATATATATATATATACACACACACATACATATGAAACAAGAGGGGGTTGGCTGCACTCACCTGAACATGCATAAATGGGGGTGCTGCTGGGGGCCAAATAATACAAAACACAAGATCCAGCGCACTCACCTATCCACTAAACAGCAACTTCAATGTTGAAAGATTTTATTAGTTTTTTTAAAAACAACTAATCTAGGCAAAAATAATGGGGGTTTAGTTACATTATATGATCATACATTGCATAAGCCTGCCACAACGTCAATGTACCCCATCTTTGGCAGGTCCTACACTAACAGCCTAATGTCTGCTCTTATGAGATTAACCACTTACTTGAGGTAAAAAATTCCATCTGGGGCTCTCTGCAGTACAAGGCTAAATAGGGCCCTGGGATGAGGCACCTGTGACAGGGAGGGGTGCAAAACCAAGGAGTTGGCTAGACTCCCAAATATATATATATGAAACAAGGGGGGGTTGGCTGCACTCACCTGAACATGCATAAATGGGGTGCTGCTGGGGGCCAAATATTACAAAACACAAGATCCAGCGCACTCACCTATCCACTAAACAGCAACTTCAATGTTGAAAGATTTTATTAGTTTTTTTAAAAACACCTAATCTAGGCAAAAATAATGGGGGTTTAGTTACATTATATGATCATACATTGCATAAGCCTGCCACAGCGTCAATGTACCCCATCTTTGGCAGGTCCTACACTAACAGCCTAATGTCTGCTCTTATGAGATTAACCACTTACTTGAGGAAAAAATTCCATCTGGGGCTCTCTGCAGTACAAGGCTAAATAGGGCCCTGGGATGAGGCACCTGTGACAGGGAGGGGTGCAAAACCAAGGAGTTGGCTAGACTCCCAAATATATACATATGAAACAAGGGGGGGTTGGCTGCACTCACCTGAACATGAACATGTCATAAGAGCAGACATTAGGCTGTTAGTGTAGGACCTGCCAAAGATGGGGTACATTGACGTTGTGGCAGGCTTATGCAATGTATGATCATATAATGTAACTAAACCCCCATTATTTTTGCCTAGATTAGGTGTTTTAAAAAAAAAACAAATAAAAATCTTTCAACATTGAAGTTACTGTTTAGTGTATAGGTGAGTGCGCTGGAACTTGTGTATGTGTATATATATATATATATATATATATATATATATATATATATATATATATATATATATATATATATATATATATATATATATATATATGGGAGTCTAGCCAACTCCCTGGTTTTACACCCCTCCCTGTCACAGGTGCCTCATCCCAGGGCCCTATTTAGCCTTGTACTGCAGAGAGCCGCAGATGGAATTTTTTTCCTCAAGTAAGTGGTTAATCTCATAAGAGCAGACATTAGGCTGTTAGTGTAGGACCTGCCAAAGATGGGGTACATTGACGTTGTGGCAGGCTTATGCAATGTATGATCATATAATGTAACTAAACCCCCATTATTTTTGCCTAGATTAGGTTTTTTTTAAAAAACTAATAAAATCTTGAGGTTGCTGTTTAGTGGATAGGTGAGTGCGCTGGATCTTGTGTTTTATATATATATATATATCTCGATCATCTAGGGTGGCAAGACATAGCCTTACATATTACATGCGACAATATATGGCGCAATGACTTATGGGGCTGGCATAGATTTTTTTTCCAGGGCTGCTTTAGAATCCCCAGTCCGGCCCTGCTCCCATACAGAGGGGATGGATTGTGTATTGTATGTGGGAGTGTCATGCATTTAATCACTCTTCATATTGGTTTGTCAGTTGTGTCCCTGTCCCTAACAAGGTCCATGTGGACGTACCCCTTGCATGGGGACTGGCATAAAAGGCCAGTATGGCTACCATTAAAACAGAATGCTTTACCCCTTCATGAAGTCTTGGCTCATGTTTGGTGGATTGGAGAACTACACACACTCTGGGGATTGCTATATCACAATACTCCCCTGAGTATAATCACCAGCTCTTCTAAGAGCTGTTCCTGTTATGCTCTCTGGCCTCGGAGAGGTCTACCCATTGGAAGCTGGATCCTTGTCTTGGGTCCAGGGTGGGTGGAGGATTGCAGAACCCCAACCAAGCTGCGGTGTTTCCTGGGGTTTGCTGTGGTTATGGTGCTCCAGAGCAGTGCTTATGGTACTCGCAAGTACTAGGAAGCAGCGATTGACGGAGGTACTCGGTCGGGGTGCCAGGCGGTCCGTCACAGTTGTATTTACATTTTGCCAAAAACATGCCTTTTGTGGCTGCCAAACACTCTTGTACCATAACACCTTTACCACTCCCTGCTTGATAATCCCGTCATCCTAGTAACAATCATATTACAATATCCTCATACTCAACTGCCATTACCTCTCAGGCCATGCAATGCTAGAGGTAGAGGGGTAGAGTTTTTTTCTTTTCCCCTATTATTCCTTCCACCCATTGTCCCCTTGTTCTTCTCTCTGTCTTTTTCCTCTCTTGAAATCCACTCCATCCGTCTCTTCAATCCTCTTCCGGTCTGTGTTGCCATTATCTTCCATCCCCCTGGCTCTCCTATACTATTCCTTGATCGTTTCTCTACTTGGCTTCCTTTATTTGTTTCCTCAGACATTCCTTCTCTCGTCCTTGGCGACGTTTGCATCCTATTAACCAACCTAACAATTTAGTAGCATCTAGATTTCTATCTATCACCTCCTCCTCAATCAACACATTAAATCTAACTCATCTTGGGATATTAGATATCTGAGCTCCCTTGATTTGCATTCCTTATTTTCCTCTCTCCAGTCTCCACTTTATCCTGTCTCTCTCAAGCTACCTCATACTACAATTATGTAATGTCCACCAGTCTGACATGGCTGTATCTATTAAAGCATACTATAAACGACTGCCATGCTTTTAACCCTGACACAGGAAGTTAACCCGCTATCTCAAACGATGTCCCCATATTGCAGAGCATTGTTGGAGAAAATCTCTAGCTACACTTGACTTTCTGCATTACAAATTCATGAATTGTTAAACCCCCTATATATATATCCATGTGTGCTAGGCCCATGATGTTTACATTTGAAGAAGCCCTTGATTTTGCGAAACGTGTTGTGTTCTACTATGTATTTCAGCATTAAAGCCTATCTGGCTTTCATCTATTTTATTGTGTCAGACCATTTATTACACATTGTTGCTTTTAAATACTTTTTTAAAATCCATTTATTGTTGCTGGTATATATCCCGGAAGAATCTACCCTTCATCAATCCCTGATGAGGATTATCCTCTGGAGAATATACTTGACATTAGATCACTGGTGGGGATCATACCACCCAAGCGCTAACATTTGAATGGTGTTACTGCTCTATTAAATGTGAGTGAACTACCATCTATTTTTATTTTGTTTCTGATTTAATCACAGTGAGCACTATTGATTGATTTTGTATTTTATCCTTTATATTCATCTGGATGCTAAGAGACTGATCCACAGAGCTACATATCCATCAATGGGGATTCTAATGCTTCCCTCAGAGTTGGTTTATAGCTCTATTAAATGTGAGTGCTAGTTCAAATATTGTTGTTGTGTGTCCTATACCTAGCACCAGACAACCTGCATGATTATTGGTTATTTTCTGTTTTATTGCATATGTAACAAATGGAGGAGCTTAACCTGCTTTATGGGGACTTTTGCAGGCATCAGTTCGGGACTTTTTAAGCATTCCCCATACTAATGCTAAGTACCGAACACCGGGCCACCCTGCTTCCTAATTATAGATCATTTACCTCTCTGTTCGGCACATTCAGCTCTTATGGGAAACGCACGAATGCTTTGTTTCAATTCCTGGGTGGCCGCCATTTCGGGACTTTTACACGTATTCGCAGCCATCTTAAACTCCCGAACAGTGGTGTTTTGCCGTCGAGTGTCTGGAACTAAAATCGGACACTCGAGTAGGCGAACACCGCTGAGACCTCTATAGCACCGGGAATTTGTGCCAAAACTACCGAACACCCGGCCGTTCGGTAGAAAGACTTAATAACATATGGGGATTCTAGCGAACGTCGAGTTACGCACGAATGGCAAGCCTTTTGTGACTTTTAATGCACGAACAAAGACCGATCGCAAGGCCAAAATTCATGGAACTATTTTCGGCTACTTTGCCTGTGCGGTCGGTCAAAACTTTAAAGTCCCATATCTCCCGAACAGCTGAACCGAATGGCCTGAATTTTGACTATGTTGGTCCCCCAGAATAGGGCTATGGATTTATGCCTGTACCCCAAGTATTTGGGGTACATCCGAACTTTGGGGAAAAATTTGTTCTTTTTAATTATGTTAATAGCTTATCTGAGGGGAGGAGATGTGTGGGATGTACCTTATGTTTATTGGTTGTTCTGTTAATTATGTGGGTGTCTCCCTTGCATGGGCAGAATCACATAAAAATAGAGTGTCTGTCATTAAAAGCCAGTTCTTCTTGACCCTTCAAAATGTTTCTCACCTTTATCCAGCCCTGTGTGGGTGTGGTCACAACTGGCTCCACCCCTGCTCTGCCCCCTATGCTGAGATCATCAAACTTGATGATCTCAGACAATCTAATTCTTTACCATAGGAAAGCATTGGGAGGCAACTGTGCATGTTCAGCAAAAGGCTGCTCTGCGCATCAGCATCTCCTCATACAGATGCATTGAATCAACCTACCTCGTCTAATTACAAGAGAAATATGTTTTAAACTATTGTGAAGTACAATTCCCAATATGTGAAGTTACCACTTGTCTAAAAAAAATCTGCCAATGGGCTGACAAAAAAAAATAAATGTTATGAAACAAAAACAAACAGAAGTTAAGAACATTAAGAACAAGCAATATGTAATAGCCTAAATAGATATAAAACATATCTGTTCTTGTGCTTCTAAAAACTGTAAAAGCTTAAATACATTGGAAGGTAGACCTGTGTGCTGCAAAAACATTAAATTTGTCCAAACATTTTGGTCAAAACAAAAAAATTTAGGGGGAATTGTGTTTCGTCCATGTAGCATTTTGGTTTGGACAAATTTCGTTCATGTAACAATTTCAGAAAAACCGATTCAGACGAACCAAAATAGTGTGAAAATGCAGCACTATACCACTATATAACATACCACTATAGTTAAGCAGATGCTATCTATAATAATATCTATGCAGTACTAACCTGCCTATCTATCAATCAATGTATCTAGTGCACTACAAGAGAAACGTAGGTGAGCACATAGTGGAGAGGCTCTGCCTGAAAATTGCATTGTCAAAATAACAAGACAATAGTGACAAAGTGCATCACATACCTCAAACATAAGATGATTATTTACTTTTGTTTGCATGCAGGTGATGCATCGCCCACAAACGAACAACTAAATAAAAACAAAAACAAACCACAAAAAAACCCCAAAAGACCTAGAAACATACTAGAGCTCAAAAGCTCTAATAATAGCGCTGAAGCTCCCATGCGAGAGCACTTCAATGGCACCAATAAATATAATACAATGGTTGTATATACATAAATATGGAGTGAGTATGTGTTTGAATACAGTTTTGTTTTAAATCTGGTTTTGTTTTCATTAATTATGCAATAAAGAAAGAGCATTTTACAGCTTCAGAAAACCGAGCCTAGCGTGGCGGCACATCAAAACATACAATTGAGAACATATGCGGAACTTTTAGATCCAATTTGGCGTAGGCGAAAGAAAATCACATGCTGGGGCATTAATTGTGTGCGTCACTTGGTAATAGCAATCGAACAAGACATAAGATAGGTACAGGTCGGTAAAAGCTAAAAAGAAATTTAAATGAATAGAGCGTTAAGTGAAGACATTCTTCGACATGGAGTACATGTGCATGCTATCATTATCTCACTATTTGTCTTTTCCCTGGACATCGCTTTATGTAGGCAAATGTGAGTATGCACTGTAGTATTAGCGTTATTAAAGTAAAAGCAGAATTAAAAAGCAGGAGTCTTATCACTAAAGAAAAAAAACAAAACACTACACGTTCATGGTGTCCGATCTCCAACAAGGAGGGTTTTGAGAAAAAGGAGTGAGGCCTATTATGTGAAGACCCATGTTCGGGTGTCTATGAGGTTATTCCCCTAACACTTCCATGGATCTTGAACCTGTCATGTGTGGCCCGCAAAAAAACAAACCCTTAATCACATTTATTTCAACTTCTCTATTCCTCCAGCCCTACCAAGGGTTCCTCCTGCTTTCCTCCCCCATCATTCAGGAGGCAACTGATTGCTATGGTGCAGGACATGTATATAAGTGCATCCAGCTGTCCATATTGTTGAAACATAGGGCCCCCCCGGGGCGCCAAAACCCCCTATGAGCCCCCCAAAACCAGCCTCAACTCTTCATCAGTGCAGATGGTAATTTGACAGTTACCTGAGAAGCCGCAGAGAATGTTGGCTTCACCCTGCTGGTGTTACCTACCTGACTCTCTTTGAGTGCTGCACACGGATACACCTATTTGCCAGGAGGGTATACTGAAACCTACTTACCATTAAGGGCTGCGGCATGCTATATTGAAGCCTTCGAGGGGTGCTTTCCTGCCCTGGAGCTGTGGAGCTCTTAATCTCTGGGTTTGAGGGGAGACACAGAGTGAATCGTCCCTGACACTGAGAGCCCTGTGGGACTTGTGGCTTTGGTGTACCAGTGGCTGGAGATGGAGGGTGCCTGAACCAAGCGTGTGGCCAGAGTTGGGTGAGACATAAGACGATACACACTTGACAGGAGCTAAAGTGGCGCAGGGGAGGTGCAGGGGCACTGTGGTCTGTGTATTCATGGTGAGGGTGTAGGCCACTGATAATCGCTATGTATATGTGCGTTGTAATGGCTGCTGGCATGGCAGCACACGTGACCACGTCCGAGCAGAGTGGTCAAGCTTACAATCACAAACACTTACCTCAGGCGTGGCAGACCACAGCCCAATCCGCCAGTACTGCAGCCCCCGGTGAGCATAGTGTTTTACTGGCCACTGTCTTCCACGGAGTTAAGTATCCTCTCCTCTGACCAAGTTAATGGCCACGCAAATTTTGGAATCATATGACCCTGTTACTATTTTTCATTGCTCTGTTGTGGTTTCCACTGCTGGTTATCCAAAAGCGCATTCTTTGAATTTGTATTCTGGCTTTTGATCTTGGCTCGTTCCTGACTATCCGTACTGCATGTATCCTTGACCTTTTGGCTTTGTCTATTTGTTTATGCTTCTGTCTGTGTTCCCGACCTCGGCTGACAATTCTCTCTAAGTTACATCCAGCCGTTCTAAGGCCCGGTAATATGTTTATTTATATTTTGTATTGTTTCAGTGTTTTTCTTAGTTCTGCGTTTTGGGCCACAGTATTGTCTTTACATGCACTTTGGGAATGTTGGGCCTGGGCCCCCACTGGCGATATGGGCCCCATTCTGGCATATTTGCTGACCACCCCCATCCCAATTGCGACCCTCTTTATTATACAGCATTTTCACACCATGCTCGGTTTGTCCAACTCGTTTTTCCTGAATGGTTTGCATGGACGATATTCTGTCTAAGCCAAAATGCCACATTGAAGAAATTCAGGGATTTTTTTTTTTTTTATTAGATGAAAGAAATCTGTCGATCCAAATTTTTCTGCTTCATCCGCCACAGAGGCCTTTAGCAACCTATCACCTCAGTGTCACAATATCCTATTTAAAGGGTGTAAACCATAACCACAGTTAACATAATATGTGCAAAATTAATAAATAAAATAAAAACAATCAATTATACACCAAATTCATAACCTTACATGCCCCAGTGCAAAAACAGGGCATTCATAATTATTAAATTCATAATAGATTAAAAAGTTAATCCATGAGAAAAAAACAAGAAAAGGAATAGTAAAACAGAAGGGAAAAATTATCAATATTGCTAAATAAGGATAAATGCAGCAATAGCCCCATACCTACATACACCTGAAAGGATTCCAAAATAGGATGTCCAAATATGACTATGGAGACTACCAGATAATTTACCAACCAGGCGGTTAGAGGTAGGGTTAGGGAATTGCTGAAGTCTCAAATTCCTGAAGTCTCAAAGTCCCGAATTGGCAAATTTTGGAAGTGCCGAACCGAGGTGCCAAAGTGCTGAATTGCCGAAGTCCCGAATTTCGGAAGTGCCGAACTGAACTGAATTTTTTCCCCATGTACATCCCTAGAAAAGATATACAAGGGATGGTGGTATACAATAAAGTGTGGGTATGTAAGACTTATATATACACCTATACAAATATATACAAAACATAAAAGTAAAAAAATATGTATAAATAGGCATATATTTGCACACCTGTCTAATCCAAATGAAACATTACCAGTAAAAACATATATATTATATAAACTTATATCTAGTGACAACCTGAAGATATATATATTTTTGAAATTTTATAATATAATTTTTAAATTAAACATGATAAGACAATAATGACGAAAATGCCTATCAAGATGATCTTATCTATAAGCAATCCTTAGTGCCCGGACCTAATTTATAAATCTACTAAACTGGGTTTTTCCAACGCTGACTCTGATAAGCACCTGGATTCCAAGCAGAAGATTACCAGGAATCCCTTACAAGGAATAGCTCAAGACTTGCAGAGCAGTGGCATCCATGAATGGGAGATGAACCTGGAGATTAGATATGCGGCAGAGAATGGGGAGCACACCTTTCCCTTTCTTTTCTAACTATCCACTTTCTGTTCATTTGTTGTTCTTGTAAGTTCATATAGACATTAAGGTAGCATAGAACTGAAGACGCAATAATTACAACAGGCGAAGTTAAAAAAAAAAAGTTATTCGATTTCTCAATAATTAATCTGATTTGGAGGTCATATAGAGGCACCTGCACAATAGGGTCCAAGTTAGAACACTCACAGAGATGGTGGGAGACATGACTATTGCTTGCACCATCATTATGAGATTAACCCTTACATATTAGAGAAATCAACTCTGTTTCAAGTGCAGTGGGATTCCCTGCATATAACACACCGATAGTAGATTAATAGTAGATAAACCCATGTTGTAGTAAATGTAACTCCATACCTATCACACAATGTGCTTCCAATATGTGCAATTCTTATCGAATGATATTGTAATACACGAATAAACGCTCATCTCACTGTGTTATCTACTTGACCTGCTCATTAGAGCTTAATAATGATAATCTGAGGAATATTTTCTTGAAGGAGCAGTATCAATACAAAGCATTACTACGATATACTGGGTATCTGCGAATCTCAAAACAGTTAATGGTTTACCAACCATGCAAAGCACGGGTCCTGCGTGGCCAGACATGATTTTTGAAAATGTTTGAGACCTGCGTGTCTCTGTATATGCTATGTTAAAATTTCTTGCTAAACAAATATCCTTAATAAAAACTTTGATTTACAACAAAATTGGGGGGACATGGCACCTAGACCACTTCATTTAGTCCTTAAAGGGTTACATTTCTGACTTTGTTCGCTCTTTGCCCTGCCATGGTCTAAGATACCTGATTGTTCATTAAATAGATTTTTTTTCTCTGGTTTTGGCTCAGTTTCTCTCCTCTTTGTTTTTCTGATCTATGTTCTCCTTGACTTTGGCTTGCTCACTGATTTTGTTTTGTTACCCTTGACTGCCACCTGGCTCTGACTATTCTCTTAGTTTGCTATTAAACTGTACCTTTTCCTTACACTTTAAGTCGGGTCATTCTAAGAATTGATAAAATATTTTTCCATCACTGGTTTCCTAGAGGTTTGTGTGTGGGATACGAAGAATGCTTTCAAAAGGCTCTAGCTTTCTAATATTTTCTGTGATCTGCTGTCTAGCTGAGCATTATGGGAAACACTGTCCGTAAAAAGTAGCTTTAACACTGTGTACTAATCTGCATCTGATCTGTGCCTTGATTAACAACTGGAGCAGCCTAAATAGGTCCTATTTGAGCAACTCCGGTTGTAAATATGAGTGGACTATTTCGTCTCCAAGCTCACTGCACACATACCTTCTGTGCCATAGTTCCCCATAGGATGGACTCCCTGTGTCCAATGTCCTACTGGATGTTCTCCTTTACCCACAGGATTGATTCCCTCTGCCCCATGATCTACAGGATGGATTTCCAGTGTCCTATTGGATGGATTCCCTGCCCTCATTACCCATAGGAAGATTTTCTACAGCTCACAATCTGTTGGCTAGATTTCCTGTCACCCATTACCGATATGATCGATTCCTTCTAACTCATGTTTTCCAAATGGCTGTGAATAGCAGGTCAAGAGCATAAGACCACATACGCAAAGTCAAGACTTAGGTTTAAGCCCAACAAAATATTCTGCTCCAGAAATCCCATATAATGCATTGCCCAATACAGGGGTCATATTTGGATTTTAAAGTTACTCCTTACTGCTCTGCAGACAAACATTTCCTATTGTAACCCTTATGTTCAGACAAAAACATTTTTGTGCAGATGATATTGAGTTATTGGTGCCAAAAGATGAAAAGGAAATTTAGATAACTGTGTTTAATCATCTCCTAAATGTTTATTCAACAAATCTATTTAATTTTTTTTTTAACTAATCCACAGAATTTAAATGGGGAGGAGTTCATACTTGCACAACACACACCCTATAAATATGGGTTTAATCATTTTTTAAAATTTTTGAGTCAGACTGCAAGTACCAGCTTTAACATGGCTTTCTATTCTAACGCAGTGACTCTTTCCCTTGTATTCCTATTGGTTATGATATGTGTAAAGCTTTTAACCAGCCTTCCCAAAAAGCTTGCTTATAGATTCCCCCCTGGACCTACGCCTCTCCCTCTGATTGGAAACTTGCACATTCTTGATATAAAAAGACAAGATTTTACATTCATGAAGGTAATTATCATTATTATTATTATTATTATTATTGGTATTTATATGGCGCCAACTAATTCCGCAGTGCTTTACAATATTATAGAAGGGGAGGAAATTTACAATAGATGAGACAATTACACAGGAACAATAGGTAGATGAGGACCCTGATCATCCAAGCTTGCAGTCTAGATGGTGGGGTACAAATAAACAACGGGGCAGCAAGGGTGACAGCCACCAAACAAGGTGGAAAATGATTTAAATATGAGAAATGTCTGATTTGGCAAAATCTCGATGAAGACAAAGATTAGAATCCTAACTAAATTGGGTGAGAGTAATAGTAACTAGTAAGTAATATGTCAGATTAATGAAACTGTTTTCATCTAAAAATAAAATCTTTTAAATTGTATATTATCTGAATTTTTCTTTCTCCCTAACTGGGTCTGTCTTTAATTTCAATTGGGCTGTCTACTCATTTCTGCCATCCTTTTACTGTTGTGAATTGTTAGGAATGTATTGAGAATTACAAATTTCAGTCCATAATATCTAAACCGGAGTCCTTCTCCATATCAGCTTTGCATTTTTCATTTCGGCTATTTTGACCTAAAAGTTTAAATTCGCTTCATGATTCACTTTGAGTTGCAATTGCATTACATTTTTAATGTGTTAACTATATTTTTTGTTGTAATAATTGATCACAGGACAGTAAGGTGTGGATTTTTTTTTTATATGATTCTATTCTATTATTATTTTTTTAATATTATTCTTTGCAATTTTGTATTTTAAGAATTGCATTGAAATTTCAGGGTATTTTTTTATTTTAATATCAACACACAATCATTAAGGGATTTAATATATTTGGGATGATTGTAAATGCAATAAATATTTTACTTTAGTTTTAGAGATGTTTTTAATTCATAACAAGTTTAGGGTATATCCCACTACAAGAAACGCACCTATTTTTAGAGTGTATTTTTTTTTTTTTTTATCAATCTTTGTTTTTATTTACAGAAAGTAAAACGGTATACAATACAGCAATTGGAGTAAGAAAATACAACCTTTATCTATATTAACACATTGTACGTAGAGTTAATAAACCTTAAATAGTGGGACTGTGAACTTTGATGGTGTTTACTAAGCAGTGTACAGTTGGATTTGTAGTGTGCTTCTCGTACCCTAGGGAGATGAGGGATATGAATAAAAATAGTAGAAAAACGGCACAGAGCAACATATGCCTCTGGGTACTGCATAAGGTTTTAGGAGGTACCTAAGATCACTCTAGCACCAAGGAAAGTGATGGCACAAGCCTGGCTGAAGCCACATGCTCCCTCCATAGCAGCAGTATTGGTTAAAATAAAAGACACATGCCTCATGGATAACTTAACTTCGAGGGTGCGTGGAACACTGAAGGGGTTTGAAAAGACATGGGAACCTTGGGTAACCAGTGACCTAGCAACTGGATAGCAGACTCTTCTCTATTAGAAAGCGGTCGTGGCATTGCCTGACCCCCCCCCCTTCTCCCCTCTCCTAGCCGTGCTCTTCTCCCTATGTGCGACCCAACTCCTCTGTCTCTCTCTTCTATCATCTTCTTTCTCAATCCTATTCTCTTACCTCTACTCTTTTAATACGACTTCCTCACATACATAAGCACACGCACAGAGGAACGTTGGAGAAAAACTCTTCCAATATTTGGACCTTCCGAGCAGGGATCATTGAATTGGGACACCATAACCTCACAATCCAAATGTAGATCATTATGAGGCTCTGTGTAGGTACACTAGCTATTGCCAGGTCTGAGTTACACTGGTAATGACCTAAACTATACACAGGTTATTGTGACACTCTTCAATGTCTAAAAAAAAATAAAAAAAATACACTTTTTGATTGTATGGTAAACGTTTTGAACATCACTTGTGGGACACGACCAAAAGTTTAGCTACAATGTATCACTAAGGTCTTGTACTATGTATACCTTGTCCTTTTCAAAGAAGAACGCTTTATGAAGTCCATACATGTATTGCCTATTATGGCTGTCATTTCAGAAATAAAGAATTACAAAAAATAAAAAAATGTAAGGGTGTGCTCCTCAAACTTGAGAGGTGATCTGTTGTGAACAGCCACCATGTCGTTCATTCAGTCTTGGCTCATCTAGAACCAAAGAATTTAATCTCTGCCTGCTCCTGTTGTGTTGAATGGTGGCCCTGCAATGCTATAGCATCCATCTTGGAGCACTGATTTAGCCTGTTTAGCCGGGAACAATATGGCAAGTAGTTGGTGGAATATGTGTAGGAATTCCGCAGGGTCAATATTTGCAGGTAGGCTACAGATTTCAACATCCTTAAAGTGGAGCTTGTCTTCACGTACTGCCTTTTTAAATTAAGCTTGCGCCTGTGTTTTCAACACCCTGGCGAGTTTCTGTTCCAGGGCAGCAATGCAAGTCTCATGGGCTGCAGTTGTCACCTCAGAATTGTGGAGAAGTGCCTAGACACCAATGATTTCTTCACGGAACTGCCCAATGTCTGCCACAATGTTCTGGTCTAGCTCGTCTAATAGGCCCTAAAGCATGTCCTCTGTTACCGGTGATTTTTCCGGTGGTTGCACTGGCTAGTGGGTGGTTCTGTTCATCTGTTGTGTCCCCGGGGCCACTATGCCCAGGAGGGATTCCTCACTAGAGGTGTGCAAGGGTTCATCTGACATCAACGCCATGTCAGGCCTCTGCAAGTTTTGCATGGCCTCCACAGCAAGTTGCCAAATCTGCCGTTGACGGGGGTCGATCAGGTTTGTACTTCTTGATTTAATGCCCCATGTCTGCAGGTAAGTCTGGAGCCCAAAAGGTGGTGGTTAAAGGGAAGGTTTTCTCAGGTTTCGAGTAAGTTTGGGTTATTTCCACCCGGAGCTCATGCAATATGCATGTATGGCTGCTAGCTCTGCCCCACTTATAGTTTATTTTTAATCCAGAAGTATATTATTTCAGTATTGTGCTTGGTAATCAGAGGGTGTTAACCCCCAGGGTTGCCACACTATACTAGAACACATGGCCAGAGGTTTGGACAACTCTTGAAGCTAGTTAATACATGAGGGCATTATATTTGGGCTCCAATCTTTCCCCTAACGCTCTCTGTCTAAGTCTTTTGTGAAAATTATTGGAGGAGTCTGCCAATTGCTGAACCGTAAATATAAATCTTATGTCTATCCATGTGGGTAAGATAGAAATTTCCTGGATTTATCATTAGGCCCCCTCGTAACAGAATGTCCTGGTGCTAACAGGGCATCCAATGTCCTATGCATAAAAAATAGTAGGGATCCGTTCTGCTGTAAATTAAGGTTTTGTGGGCCACAGCACTATTTGTTTTATTATATACTGTGGGGGTAGTTAGGCCTCTGTGTAAGCAGTCTAACCCTTTATCGTACATTTGTACAATGGGGGAAAATGACGGAATGGGCTCACAGTAATGATGCAGTTTTCAGACATCTTTGTCTTTTGTCTACTAGTGAGGTATAAATCTCCCAGAGAAATATGGGCAGATTAACATACAGGGTCCTGGGTATGATAAAAGAAAGGCTACACTTAATGTCTATGATAATTCCATTCTTGGCAGACTAATCTAGGTTGTAGTAGCATTCAAAAACACGTTCAATGTTATTCAAAGTGTCACTCCGTGAGAATTCAAGGTGAATTTCAAATTTAAGGTCAGCTATTTGACTTTGACTTCTCTGGCCGTAAATCTGAATTTCGCTTTGAATTCTAACTCTTATAGCGTCCATGGATAGAGGCAGACCCATATCTTTTCTGACAAATTAAAATATTACATTTTCCCTAAATCAGACAGATGGTCACTAGATGCACTTCTTCCCGGAGACTGTCTTTTTTCAAAGGTCTTCATTCTCTATGCCTTCGTGCACAGCAAACACCAAGTGTGACTGATGCTTCTCACAGAGAAGATTTGTCTCCAATGCTGAGAAGCAGTGAATTTTTGGAGCATGGCAATTGCTGCGCAGGCGCAGTTAGTCTGCAATAATTCTCTGTAGGCCAGAGATCATCAGAATTGATAACCTCATAGTAGGTAGATTGGGTTGCCCGTTGCTAGAGTACAAATTTATTTGATGGGTGTTTTATTATTTAACAGAGGGAAGACAAAAAACTAAACCTACTTAGGAGCAAGCAAACATTAAAAGATTATATTGTTGTTTGTAATGTTTGAGTCTTTGTTTAAAACTATTTAGTATTTTGTGGGAATGTTCATCAAAGACTATTGATTGCTATACCATGGAATTTTTTAAATAATTATTTTTCAGACAGACCTAAATAAAGATAATTTGAACCATATATATTCTAGAGCTAATGAATGAAACCCTAGCTAATTAGAGTCAATCTGGGAATTAAAATTCATTGATAGGGGGGCATTTGTCATCAACTAATGAACCAGAGCTGCGTGTCAAACATAGTTTCATAGTCAAACTATCCAAAAGACCCTCTAAACATCATGTTGCAACAGTGGTTATGGTGCCACAAACCTGATCCCCAGCTGCAGCTAGACTTTGCAGCCGTAGCCGGCTGAGTCGCAAATAAATTAACTGAAAAATCAAGAAGTGAAAGGAGTCTATGGATTACAGGGCACAGGAAAAACATCCAACGGATCATGGGACAGAGAGAAACCATTCAATGGATAATATAAGGTCTGTGTGCAATGATCTTGGAGAAGAGATAATCCACTCCAGAGTGCTTGCTCTACACAGACTGGTATAAACAGTGACAAAGCTACCATTGATTTCCCACGATGCTCAGGCAGGGCAAATATATGTGCCTCATCCTATGACTATTACAACCAGCATTTCAGGGCAACAGCAAATCCCCTAGAAACAAATCAAACAATTTGAGCCTATTGCATAACATGGACCTGGAGTACAAGGAGTGAGGGGCTGGATCTTGGCTGCAAGAGAACCTTTGGTTTTATGTGCAACCTCTTAATAACAGTTTGACACAGGAGCAGGAGACCTTATCAGGGACATGCAGATACCATAATCACTACAGCCTGATATATCCAGAACTTCTAAATGTCATTATGTTCTCATGGTATTGATTCTTGGTTCTTCTTGACAGTTCTTGGCTAAATGGAATATACCGATTATGTGAAAATGTGATGTGTTGTTTTTGTCACTGTATTAATATATTGAAATTGAAAATTTGTTTGATTTACATACTAATTGCACAAGTAATCTGTCTTTTATACTGTTTTCCAGCTGGCAAAAAAATACGGGAATTTTTTCACATTCCATTTGGGTCAAACAAAAGTAGTGGTGCTGGTTGGATATGATGCTGTTAAAGAGGCTTTAGTGAACTCAAACTATGAGTTTGGAAATAGAGGGGCTCTACCTATCGCTGACATATTCCAGCATGGCCAAGGTATTGTGACTAATGCACTGCTAGATGCAAAACTAACACCATCAGAATTATTTACTAAACTGGGGATTGTGGGAAAATACCCAGGTAATTGGGCAATCTCCAATTCATCAAATTTAGCTACATGGAATGAAAACTTAAATTTGTTTTTGCTTCACGCTGTGGTCTAATCACTATGTTCCAAACAGTAGTGAATTGAAAGACAAGTAGAAAGATAGTCAAATTGTGACTGTGCTTATACCTGATTTTTAAGATTTTTTTTTTTTTAATTCAGGTATCTTAAAAGGCCGGATTTGTCATAAGGCCACCAAAATCGCGCCCACAGGGCGGCAGGCAAGCGAGGGGAAGCACAACTAGTGGGGAGATCAAAGATCTCTCTCACCAGTCAGTCGATTCTCTTGTCGTGGGGCAGGGCAAGCCAGCAACACTGGCGCTCAATATTGTATCACGGCAAGTTACCGCAGCAACATTTTGACACAATCCTCTGACAAAACTTCACCACTCAACAAAAAATATCAATAAACCGCAATATGCCTAGATGTTACTCCATACATATACAAATAAACATAATTATCAGCACTCAAAAAAACATTTTGTTTACCAATACGTGTAAAAAAAGAAAAAAAATCAATGTTTCAACCCTATATTTTACTTTTTTTTTTGGACTTGCATAGGTAAAGACTATTTTTTGTAAGTCCTCTGAATGCTGTCAATTATTATGTTTATATATATTATTATTATTATTTATAAAGTGGCAACAGATTCTGCAGAACTGTACAATGAGTGGACTGACACACATGTAGTTGAAACTACTCACCACGCACTCTCGCTAACAGATGGACAGACAGACACACTCACTGACTGACACAGTGGGGTCAAGCTGCCCACCTCGGGGGGAACCGATTGACAAGAACCCAGGCACCAAGAAAAAATTAATATTTACCATCGTGACGTGGCTCCTGGGATTTGGGATTTTCATCTGTACTCACTTTACATTTTTGTTAATTGATAAAAAGAAAATAAGCTGTTGCCATTTCTATTTTTTGAAAGCATTCTTACTTTACAGCAATTGTCAAACTTGATTGAAACATTTGTACAGTAGTATGTGTTTATGTATAATTAATAGTTAAAGTGCACTAAAGAATTAGGAATACTAAAATAAACGCAATATACAAAAGTGAATGCAATATACAAAAGAGTTGTCACGCAGAATAAGTAGTTCTTATTATGCATGACAACTCTTTTGTATATTGTATTTACAACAAAAATGGTCTTTAGAAAAATCTGCAATGTTTTATATTGCCCGGTTAAACTACAGGACCACTGCATCCAGACCACTTCATTGAGATGAAATGGCCTGTGTGACTTTAATGATCCTTTAATAACTTCACTAGGAGTTTGAATAGTAAATGCATTTTTTTTTGTAGTCCTTTGGAGAACTCTGCAAAGTTGACAGTTTTGGAGTTGAGCAATTAAAGGAATGGGGTAGTTTGTAAAAACGAACCACATTCTGCATCCACTCTATCACTGGAGCCTCACTAAAGATGAAGAATAATAATAGTATTATGACAAGTAATAATAGTAAATTCAATCAGAAAACAGATTATTCACCAGATGATCACCCAATGGATTTGTTATATACCACCTGGTACTAACCTGCCTCTCCTCAAATGACATATGCCGTAAATTACAAGAATGGGGAAGCATTTACGAGTAATGTATTTTAGTGAATTGGTGGACTTATTTTTGCAGCAAATTTGTAAAGGAAAAGCGAGAAAAATACATTTAAGATTTTTGCACCATTGCAAATTCAAGAAGACATGTTGTTTAACCCCTTAAGGACCAAACTTCTGGAATAAAAGGGAATCATGACATTTCACACGTCATGTGTCCTTAAGGGGTTAAGCAGTACTGTCATGGCCGCATTCATTAGCGGCAGGTTGGTGGGGCAGTAGGTCCCCCCTTATCACTTAGAGCCCCCACCTGCCATTGTTTGGGAATCGAGGGGACATTAAGTCCCCTGTTTAGTTTAATAGCCCCTACTCACGGGGCACGGTGATATAGTTGATATAGAATTCACACCCACGATGCCAATAGGAAGTCAAGATTATTTAAATATCTCTAGTCCATTTCTATGAAGAAAAAAATGAAAAACACTATCTCAGCACTTTGTATGACTTAGTCACTTCAGTTGTGGATTTTAAATACAATGTGCTTAAAAGAGCCTTGTTGTGTTTTGCATTTTGACACAGGAGTAATTTTTTCTAATGGGGAGGTCTGGAAGGTGACACGAAGATTTACCCTGTCTATTCTACGAGATCTTGGTATGGGGAAACGATCTATTGAGGGTAGGATTATTGAAGAGCTGCAGTTTCTAAGCAAATTCATCCAGTCTTTCAATGGTAAGTTATGATATGTAAATGTACATAGCAATTTACCTCCCAAATTGTTAAAGAGGGACACTTAAATATTAGCGGTGTGAATAGGGTCTTGGTCAGGTGTGGGGCTGTTTAGAAGACTTCTAAATGATCATTTCTAAACACATTTATTGTAGTTTAAACATACATTACTGTGAGTATTATTACTGTGGAGCTCTGTTATATATGCAGACACACCAACAATGTGGAGCTCCTAGAAAAGGGGGGCATTAAGATAGAAAAGAAAGAAAATCCTTTATTCCATCTAATTAAAAATCTTAACAACAAATAAAACGTGATTCAACATGTTCCGTACACTTACAAATACATTTTCTGTATTCTTGAAAAAGTATTTGTCAGCGCACGAAGGAGGAGATTTATCAAGACAAATATGGTGGGTTTAAACTGCTCAAGGTTGAGATACATTGTATAGGTTACCCTATTGATAACTACTTATTTTGAACTTTGCCAAAGAGTAGTTTTTGTCTTGATAAATCTCCCCTTAATGTGTTTTGGTTCACTATCCAAATAAGAATTAAGCTCTTATTTGTGAGTTTTTTCTGTTTCCTTTAATTTATGTACCACTTTAATTTGCCTTTGAAATGTTAATGAGTATGAATATTTATTTTAGTTGTAGTGTGTTTTTTTTTTTATTGTGTTTGTTTATATATTTTTTTTATTGTGTTTGTTTATATATTTTATCAACAATTAACTACTGTCTACTTTCAGGTGAACCCTTCCAGAAAAACGTGTTTAATAATGGTCCTCCGAACATTATCTATAGAATATTATTTGGAAGACGTTTTGATTACAGTAATCCAACATTCAAGAAGATGGTGGAATTGCTTGACGACATTGTCATTCTCACCGGTTCGCCACCTGCTGTGGTAATTACAGATTAACGTTATAATATAAAATTAAGTTCATAGACACAGTTTAGTGTTATAGCACAACCATTTCAGCAACCAGCAATTTTAAAGCTGTTTTACTGTTTGCGCACCACAATCCTTGCTAGCATCTGCCAATAAAATTTGACAAGATGGCACAAATAGTGACATGTCTATTTTGAAAAGACAACGTAGTTCACAGTAGTAGTTTATGCCAAATTAAATTATCATAATTGCGAAGTAAAGATTATAACAATTAAAGGGGCAATCCAGCTTCCTGAAAAGCGTCATGAATAAAGAATATGTCCTCTTTTTTCATTTTGCAAAAAGTGCAGATTTCCATAGACATGGACAGAGTAAGTCTACAATTGGACTGCCACATAAAGTGTGGGCGGGGTTAAAAGAGGAGGGCTTATAAAGGCAGCAGACATGAGATCTGCAGCTTTTGGAAACTGCTTTTAGATATAACCCCCAATGCAAGTTTGCATTGGGGATATATCTACTTAACTATGTTTTAAAAAAATTTATTTTGTATTTGGGCATTGGAGAGTCCCTTTAAGGAGAAGGTCAAATGAACTTTAGATTTTAAATAATTTTTATTAATTTAATAGAAAGCCAATATTTTGTTTTACTGACTGTCAATTTTTCTTTTCGTTGTTCCTAGTTTTATAATGTTTTCCCAATTCTGAAGCATGTGCTGAAATCGCCCAGCCTTGTTTTAAAGAAAATTGCTGAACTCAATGTGATTTTGAAGGCACATTTCAATGAAGCGAAAAGCTCAATGAGTGAAAATGATTGGTCAACGTATGTAGAAGCCTTCATGCAGAAAGGTCTCAACGTAAGCAATTAGTTTTTACTCAGTTCCGAGTGGAATCTAACTTTTACATCCTACAAACTGCATTTACTTTATGCATCTACAGTTGCACAGATGTGACATCTAACATAGGCTGATTAGGATGTAGCAAATGGTGTAGGAGAGGGCTGGCAAGTGGGCAGAGGGACAAATGACCCCTGGTTACTTGGATACAAGTGTTGTGGGGTGAAGCCTTATAGCATTGTCCTTTTAGTGGGAACAATTGTTGGCAAAGTACTGTAGAATTGAGCCAACAAGAGGTAATTGTGCAGAGTCTTTCCTAGTCTAGCATCGTGTGTTTTTATTTCTTAGACTCTTAATCAACAACACCAGAACATTTCATTACTAAAGTAGCCCACCAGGATATTTCCTGGAAGACTGCAGTATCTGACTGCCAGAATATCATAAATGTATTGTGCCGATTTAGTGAGCAGAGATGTGGAAACAAAATACCAGAATAATGAGAACAAGAAATCTCCTAAAGTCAGAGGGAGGTTTAACCCATTAAGGACACATGGCATGTGTGACATGTCATGATTCCCTTTTATTCCAGAAGTTTGGTCCTTAAGGGGTTAAATAATTCCTGGTCTGTACAGGTTAAGGATTACTTGTTAGGCAAAATACCATACTAAGTCCTGTTATGTAGAATACCGTAGTAGGTCTTGTTAGGTAGAATACCAAAGTATGTCCTGTTGGGCAGTATACCATACAAGGTCATGAAGAAAGGAAACAGAGAAATGTGCTGGGAGAGCAATGGAGACAAGTGGACAATGCCTTTGAGTCATGGGGCACATGGAACCCAACCTATCATTTGTTGAGCATAGAGGGACAATGTACAATGAGCATGGAGCAATCATATGAATTCCTATGTCTGGTACAGATTTACATATACAATGACAACATTGCCAATAGGGATGTTGCTCAGACAAGCCATGAAGGGCAATTGTGTCTTTTGGGTCACATGCTATGAATATGGAACTAAGCATTTCAGATCAGCAGCATTGTACACAGAAAAGAAAATAATGAGGCACATTACCTTCAGCTCCAATATCCCCCATGTTAATATGGCTTTGGTTTTCCTTTGTCTGCTCACTATATGAGGGTGCTTCAGTGTATATTTGACTCTGTTCTATAACTGTCCAGTATCAGATAATAAAATACTGATATCAGAAGGGACCTACATTCCTCGCTATTCTTTAGAGGTCACTTTTGTTTTATGCTGATTGCTAAAAAGAGAGTAGTACTGACCTCTAGTGACATTTTAATCAGTACAGCTCAGTGACCAAATTATTCAGTAGACTATTGAAGGGACACTCCACTGCTCAGCCCCCTCCCCCTCACCCCAAGAATAAATAAATCCTTAAACACTATTTAGTATAAATACCTCCAATAAAAACATGCATGCATTTAATTGTGCATTTTTTCATTGGGGTTATAGCTAAAAATCTACTTTTAAAAGCTACCGATCTCGTCTGCAAGACTTCCTAATCTTCCACAGCTTTGACTTTCCAACCATAGACTGACTTCCCAATAGTGAGAAGTCTTTGCAAGGCGGGTGCTAAGGGCAATTGTCTGCCTTTTGAGATTAGCTCCACTGAGCTCAACAACCAGCATGTACATGAACTCGTCTGATTGACAGCCAGGGAGGTGTAACAAGGTTATCATATAAAAGTGCCAACTTCTGTTGAAATCTGTACTTTTGGTAAAATGGAAAAAAAGATGACACATTGTTCACACATAAAGCACTTCAGCAAACTTAAGTTTTAGGTGCTTGAAGTTGTGAATTCAACTGAGAATTGCATTTTTTGAGTATTCTACATGAATTCAAAGTGACTATAAAGTAGAAGGTCAAAGTAGCTTAACAGAAAGCATAGCTGACTTGGAGATTTTCTTCTGGTTAGTTAACGTGAGCTTAAATTTGATATTTACTTTAAATGTACTTCAAACTCCGGACAGTTCTCACTTTAGTAAATACCCCTGAGATTATCAAAATAGAGGGTACAATACAGCAATTTTATTCTTCAGGGGATTAGTATACAAAGTATTAAAAATTCAGGAAAATTCGTTTTCCTTAAACGTTGAAAATCACTGTAGTCATAAAAGATATTATGCAGGAGTTAATCTGACCAGAAGACACATGTAGGACGGAGTAAACTGTGTATTTTTTGTCCCCAAGGAAAACAAAACAGAAGAAAACAGGAACATTTTTAATGAGAAGAACCTTCTGGCCTCCATGTTCGATCTCATGCTGGGAGGTACAGAGACTACATCGACTACCTTACAGTGGGGGTTCCTTCTCATGATGAAATACCCTCATATACAAAGTAAGTTATTTTATGTCGTTACTTGTAATATTGAAGAAAATATAAATTCCTTCTTCTTCTTAAATTGTGCTCTTTTAAAATCAATGTTTTATTCTAATCCTGTTTGATCACACTAAAAACTAAAACAAATGCTTATGTATGCTGCAGTTAGGATCATGAATGTAGTCCAACCTAACTGGTGCTGTGCTGTATGAGAAGTCATTGTTAGGACTGAGGTAATACTTGTAAATGTAGGCGCACCTTTAGATGTGTGGTAGGTTGGTGTGACGATCGAGGTAACAGGCATACCGCTAGTGGGTTACACCATATTGGGAATTGAGCTGAGACATTGACTATATACGTAGCTGCCTAAACACAGCAGCACTAAAAAAATTCAATTGAAGGGACATTCTAGTCTAACTCTACATTCTATAAATATCTGTAAAATGAAAGTGGTTAGTAGCTACTTTGCTTTACTCAAATAGCTCAGTCACTTGATGAAGGATATAATGTTATTTCTGCATTTAGCTAGTAATAGAATAGACAGCCAGAACTTGGAGCTCCCTCTTCTGACCAAACAATCATTTATTGAATAAGGAGCGTGAGCTGTGAAATAACCCTGTTGATGCTTCACTCGTAGCCATTATTGGGGCTAGAGCTCCCACTGCTTACAAAAAACAGGAAAAAATTATGTAAAACACGGGGGCGTGGCCTGCTGCGGAGCTTAATGGACGCACATTGAAATTGCTCCCAGTGATCCAGGACCTAATCCACTGCAATCAGAGAAAACACCACACCATGGGCAACCCTAAGAAACATCAAGGGTCTCAAGGACAAGGAGGGAAAACTCCTATTACCAAAACAGGCTCCCTAAACAAATACTTTAAAGAAAATACGGACCGAAAGACGGAGACCGAACCCGCGGCCTACAAAATGTCTGATTCGGAGTTAACTCAAACCTTGAGCCCAGCTACATCGGACTGCTCACATAATACTTTAGACACCACTATAGACCCGGACATCAAAGCAATGACCTCCAAACGATGATGAGTAAACTTGAGACGAAATTCCTATCCGATGGGCTCTGATGTCCAACAGCTCAATCTCCGGATGACGGACCTAGAAGAAGAGAGACAAGTCATGCAAGCGCAAATCACCAACTTAACCTCAGTAATTGACTCCCATTTACTTCAATATGCAGCAACACAATGGCATATTGATGACTTTGATAACCACAGCTGTAGAAACAATCTACGAATACGAGGTATGCCAGAATCCCAGGGAGAAAACCTCTCATTGCTACTCACGGAGCTATTCAATAGAATCCTGGGAACTCCAAACGACACACAAATCAGGGCAATCCAAAAACTATACAACACAACCTTGGACACATGCTGGAGATGTCAGGGAAAAAGGGCCCCTCACTCACACATTTGGTGGCAGTGCCCACTGATATCAAGGTATTGGACTAGGATACACAAATTCAATCAAATAATCATCAAAAGCAGATTCGTCATGGACCCTAAACAATTCATCTTCCTTCTTCCCTCAAAACACCACCGAAAGGAACAATCCATCCTCCTCAACTTCCTAATCATGGCTGCTGCACAACTTATCCCCAAATACTGGAAACAAACCCACACCCCAACTATCAAGGAATGGTTCGCGAGAGTCGAAGAACTTAAGAATATGGAAGAACTGACATACGCTAAAACGAAAAACTACCAGACATTTTCCAAAATATGGACACCCTGGACTGAATTCCTGAAAAAGGAAACAGGAAACACATAACCCCCATACAAACGTAACCCAATCTCAAGTAAACATATCGTAACTATTTTACATTCCTGAATATCCCTCAAAACCCAACCATCCAGCATAGCCTGGAGCCCACACACACCCAATCGAAGCATTCCCAGACAGAACCCCTCCCCTCTCCCCACCCACACCGATACACACTAACCAGGGCTCTAACATACCCACTAGGTTAAAGAGGTAATTATCTAAATGATGCTCACGTATATGAATTTTCCTTTATTGCTCTTACTTTTACTTTTAACAAACTGTATACGACAAATCGTATAACTTTCCTGTGACAGTGACAATGCTCCATATACACAGGGGACCAATTATCCAATATTCAAGTGCCACCATCTAACCAATTTAGTGTTAAATACCAATATGAACAACATGTAATTTATCTCTATGTAACATTATTCTACTCTTAAATCTTTCACTGTTATCAACAAATATAAAACAAATATAAAACATGTTTATTGTTGGTTTATGTAACAAAAAAATAAAAAAACTTTGAAATTCAAATTATGTAAAACAAGCTTACTTGAGCTTCCTTTAGAGATTCAGATAGGACTTTTTGTTTGAAGGAACCCTATGGCGTTATAGAATACAAATGTGTTTTCCTAACGCTATAGTTCCCTGTTGGCCACGTAGATGACAGGCCCCAACCTGCAAGGAGAGAAAAAACCTGTTAGTACGCAAAATCTTTCACACTCATTGGGGAACCATTGGTAAGTTTAGAAACAGGTTTATTTCTTATACCTATATAGTACAAGGGTTAGGAAAGATATTTACTGAAATATAAAATCATTGCTCCAAAAGAATTTTCTATGCATAAGCATTGAACTTTTCACTCCACCATTCTTTTGGAGGTGTACAGGGCTCTCTGATTGACTCCGTACTGTGGGAAAAAGTGTCAGGACTAAAAAATTCAGGTCAGAATTGTATGCCAACCTTGTAAAAAAATTCAGAGAATAGTAAATCAATCTATGTTACTAGATATAGTGAATGTAATCACATTCTTAGATATTGTGTTTTAAATTTAGATCTTTCAAATAGCCAAGTATTCCATTGCTGGTTCCCGTCTGATTATATTCATATAAAACAAGACTTAGTGATGTACAAGTGAGCGCATTATCTAAAAATGTAGATTAGAACAATCCAGGAATATATCAATGCTTACTGTTATATAATCTTCCACAGATGTAGTATTCAGATAGATTACCATAAGTATCAGTTAAGAGTAGAATGGTTGGTCTTCAAAATCTTTAACCTCTAAAACACATAAAACCTCACAATGGACAGACAAAGTTGCAAAAATACTAAAACAAATCTGAACGCCACAAGTGGCATTAGAAGGTAGGGAATAGGTCTCAGAGACCTAACTCCACAAGAGGTCACCAGTAGTCTGTCCTAAAAGTCTGTACAATCTTCCATTCTTGAAATGGACCATAAATTCACTGAGTGCTTAGTTTTATAAAATCTCCCACAGATGTAGTAGTCAGATTGATTACCATAAGTATCAGTTAAGAGTAAAATGGAAAATTGTACGCCTGCTGAAACAAGAGATGTTCCTTTTGATGCCAGGGATCCGGACACTGATCAGATTTTAGGACAGACTACTTGAAGTGACATCTTGTGGAGTTAGGTCTCTGAGACATATTCTATACCTTTTAATGCCACTTGTGGTATGCAGATTTGTTTTAGTATTTTTTTTCCAACTTTATCTGTCCGTTGTGAGGTTTTACACTATGTTTATCTTCTATATGTTTTAAGTGATTAAAGATTTTGAAGACCAACCATTTCACTGTTAACTGATACTTATGGTAATCTACCTGACTACTACATCTGTGGAAGATCCTATAACAGTAAGCATTGACGTATTACTGGTGTTTTACACTCACTCTGGATTGTACTAATCTATATTTTTAGATTCTGCACTCACTTGTACATCACACTGTCTTGTTTTATATTTTACGTGTTTGCTACGGAGTTTCAGGGTTAACCTGCGTGTTGGTGGTACTTGAGGTTGCCACTATTATATCTTCCATGTTGGTTACATTTATAACAGGTGGACTGGAAAATAAATGTATTTATTTAAAACAACATGGTTTGCTTTAAACAAAATATCCATCTTTATTCAGAAAAAATTCAAGATGAGATAGACAGTGTGATCGGAACTGAGCGCCTTCCACAGTGGGATGACCAGAAGAACCTGCAATACTGTTTGGCGGCGGTACACGAAGTTCAACGATTTGGCAACATTCTTCAAACCCTGGCCCATTCCACATTAACAGACACACACTTCAGAGGTTATTTCATCCCAAAGGTAATTAGTAGATCTAACACTCAGGTAATTGTTGCTTTCATTTGAATTTTTCAGCCATTAGCTACATACATTTACAATGATTTATATAGCGCTAACATATCATGGACCACTGTGCAATCAGTAAACAAGACAAACAATTCTAACAAAACATGTTTGATATCAATGAACAGTAGGCTAAGAGGGAACTGCCCAAACTGCTCATGGTCTAAAAGGATGAGGGACAAGGAGCAGTGAAGAAATCAAGTGACTTGGATATTCTCGAAAAGCTGGGAGTGAGGTTTGGGAGGAGGGATAGGTTTCTCTAATGAATTGTGTTTTTAAGATTTTTTTGAGGGACTGCAGAGGTGGGAAGTCTAATGTGGTGCAGGAGGGCATTCCATAAGGAAGGGGCAGCCCTGGACAGTCCTGAAGGTATAAGTCAATCGTACAGGTATAATACAGTAAATGGTTGTCAGTCAACAAACAGCAAGTTGCATCAACCAGCACACGTGACCTAGGCAGCCTGGAACTCTACTCCAGGCTGCCTTATGTCAATTATGTACGTAATTTACATCTGTCGTCAGCGCACACAGCATGCTGGCAACACATGTAAAAACCTTCCCCCTTGCACAGATGCGCTCTGAGCCCGCAAAATGAGAAGCTTGTGATTGGACCGTGCAAGTGCTGGGATGACATCAGGATGGGCAATGGAAGACAGAGCTGTGAGCTTTGCCCAGCGCTGGTTTCCTGGTAAGTATAAAATAAAACTTTTTACAGGTTTTATAAGGGGGGGAGACAATGCCCTATAGGGAAATATAAAGTAAAAAAAAAAAAAAGTGGTAACACTGAGTAACCCTAATATGCTAAAGTTTTAATTTTACTGAGTAACCCTTCAAGGCTCATTGTACCATAACCACTACAATATGCAGTAGTTCTTATAGACTTCAGAATGTCCCTTTAATTCCTAGGCTCTCTGATTATTGTGTTTATTAACGGAATGTAACTGTAGATTGAAACTGTAACCAAGTTTTCTTTTATGCTAGGGAACACAAGTTATCCCACTTTTCACATCAGTTCTTTATGATGAAACTCAATGGGAGACACCATACGAGTTCAATCCAAATCATTTTCTCGACTCAAATGGAAAGTTCTTGAAGAAAGATGCATTCTTCGCTTTCTCCAAAGGTAATGTGAGGAACTGGCATGGGTTATTATAGGTTTAATAAATATACCTGGTGATAAGTTTATTTTAACCCCTCTATACAGCATTGGTGTATAAAGGATTGCCAGTGTCTGCATCCATACCCGCAATTATGTATACACAATTACAAATGTTACAAATTTTGGGCTCCCTTGCATCCCAGCTACGCAGCACAGTAGTGTGATCTAGAAAACTCCCTGCATGGCACTGTGCTGCTCGCTCTACTGGCTGCCCTCTGGCTGAGAGCAGCTCTCGGCAAGTGCTCTCTCCTGGTCAGAGACCAGAAGGGGGCATTCTAAGCCGTCTGCTCTTAGTCAGAGGGCAGATTCCACAGGCAGTCCAAAGGACTACCACAAAAAAAGCTGGACCACCAATGATGACCAGAGCCCTCTGACTGCTAAAAAAAAAAGCTGGAGGGGGGAATTAAGTAAATTAAAAAAAGAGCAACAATGTGTGGGGAGGCTGAATAGGGAAATACAGTCTCCCCACATAGCATCTGCCACACAGAAACTCAACCAGTCAAATCACCCCCTCCACCCACACACAGTAGGTCACCCGGACATATCACACCCCCCACACACACACAGTAAGTCACTCTATCACATCACCTCTCCCACACACAGTTACCCTGTCATATCTTCCCCTCCCACACACACATTCATTCACCCTGTTCCTTCACCCCCTCCTGCACACACACACACACCTCATCCTGCCACATCAACCACCACACACATTCACTCAGTCATCTTACCACATAACCCCCTACCTCCCACACAGTCACATCATCCACTCTCCTCCACATACACGCTCTAGGTCACATCAACCCTCTTTAGACAAACACACTCAGTCACCCTGCCACCTACCCCCACCTACACACACAGTAAATCTTACATTACCCCCATCCTCCACACACACACACACTCACCATGTCACAGTCACCCCCCACCTCGGCACACATACACAGACACCCTACACACTACCTACTCACACTCAGTCACCATATCACTTCACCACTCACACGCAGTCACAGTCATTCCACACACTTACCCCTCCCACACAGTTACATTGCCAAAGCTGTCACACTCACTCTCTTACAGTCGACTGTCACACTCACTGTGTCACAACTACCCTATAAGTTACCCTCAAACACACAGACACCCCTAGGCACATGCACTACTCCACAGACAGTAACCCTCATACTCACATAATCACTTCTCACACACACACAACACAGCCACATTGTAAACATAAGACATGCAACAACACCACAAGCAGCCTCAATAAATATGCTCCTAGACACAGAGATACACATATGCATTGCATTGCAGGCACAGTCAAGGGTACACATACACACAAATATACACTCTTGTATTTGGGTTGATTAAACATTTGTACTTTATCTCTTGGAAGACATCATGCTCGTAAGAGGATAGTAAAGATCTTGTATAATGTCTGAGATATTAGGTTATTGCAGGTGTTACATCTACTGAGAGGGGATATGATAATATTATACAAATATATTCGGGGCCAATACAAACCACTGTGTGGAAATCTATTCACAAACCGGACTTTACATAGGACACGAGGCCATGCCTTTAGCTGGAAGAAAGAAGATTTTGTCTAAGGCAAAGGAAAGGTGTTTTTTTTACTGTAAGAACAATCAGGATGTGGAATTCTCTGCCTGAAGAAGTGGTTTTATCAGAGTCCATACAGATGTTCAATCGGCTACTAGATGCATACTTGCAAAAACAGAATATTCAAGGATATAATCTTTCAATGTAGGGTAATAACTGCTTGATCCAAGGATAAATCTGACTGCCATTCTGGGGTCAAGAAGGAATTTCTTTCCTAGCTTGTTGCAAAATTGTGCTTCAAACTGGGTTTTTTGCCTTCTTTTGCATCAACAGCAAAAAACATGGACGCAAGTATCTTTTCAGCTATGTAACTATGTACTGAAAAACTCCAGTAGTTTCATTCTCCAAACCATCTGAGTGTAAGTGGAGAGCTGAGGGTTGTGTGGGAATGCATGTTTTCTGGTGGTTTACTCAGCCAGAAGGGGTAAAATATTTTATCCCATAACACCAACAGGCATATGACTGGTCAACTAAATGGTGCCACTAATCAGAGCCAAATATGTTCTCATCCTTTCTTATACAATTTTTCGTTGTATGATAACACCCCAAATATTTTAGTTTCCCAAGCTATCTATGACACTCTAAAGTTATAACTCACTTGGGTTTTATGCACTTAGATCTTACGTGAGGTTTCCACTATCATTTAGTGATCACATAGGGTGGGCCACACTCCGGGGTTTGCCACATACCTTGTAAGACTTGACATTGCAATACAACAATATGTTGACCTTTATCAATCTTCTGTATGTGATACCATGGCACAAACTCTAAAAATGTCCACTTGCTCTCTCTCTCTGATACTATTACCTCCACATGAAGTTGCCTTGTGACAAAGTGTTCATGCAAGATATACATCCCTACACTCAAACCTGCATTCCTGTTAAGCCCTTTATGGATATATTAGAGTAGGGCTCGACAAATCACATGCGCCAGGTCGCAGTGGCATCTCCAGGATTTATATTTAGGGGGAGCACATAAGGGGCCAGGGACACAAGTAAGGGGGAAGTTATGTGTGTGTATAGAGGAGTCTGTTTATGGTGTAGTATGTGTAACTAGGGGCCGTAGTGTGAACACATGCTCATGCATAGGTGCTTTTGAGATTGTGTGTGTGTGCTGAAAGGGCCTGTAAAGTGTGTGCCTGTGCATCTAGGACAAGGCCACAATCAGGGGGTGACAACCATAACGGTTGTCACGGGCCCGGCGTCCCTGGGGGGCCCAGCCGCCCAGGCCCCACGTGGAGCGGCGAAACTGCCACAGGTGCATCTTCACCAGTGCCCATCAGGTGGCCCAAGCATTTAGGGCCACCCGATAGGCCCTATATCTTCAGGGGCCCGGTCAGCACTGTGGGCGTGTAATTGTGCGACCTGGCCCCTTTAAAAAAGAAATTGCGGCTACACCGCAAGTGCTGCTGGGAGGAAGTGACGGCCGGTCACTTCCTCTCAGCTTACTGCGCGCGGGAGGAGAGCGGAGGGAGAGCAGAGGACAGGAAAAAGGAGAGGAGAGAGGAGAGGCATCCGCTCGCTCCTATCATCCCCAGCCACCCTCCTGAAATGTAAAGGTAAGAGGAGGGTGATAAATGAGGTGTGTGTGTGTATATGTATGTATGTCTGTGTGTGTATGTATGTCTGTGTGTATGTCAGTATGTATGTCTGTGTGTGTATATATGTCTGTGTGTATGTATGTCAGTATGCATGTATGTCAGTGTTTGTATGTCAGTATGTCTGTATGTATGTGTGTATGTGTCTATCTGTATGTGTGTGTGTATGTCAGTATGTATATATATCTGTAGGTATGTCTTTGTCAGTATGTATGGCTGTGTATGTGTCTGCAAGTATGTATGTATGTCTGTGTGTGTGTGTGTATGTCAGTATGTATGTATGTGTCTATCTGTATGTGTGTGTGTTTGTCAACATACAGCGCAGGATCAATTCCTTATGCAGGATCCTGTGAATCTCCTTTTGTATTGCCGAGACCTTTGTTGTTGGAAGTCGAAGTGTACAGACCTTAAGCCGATGTCGAAGACCAAGAATTGTACACATTGAGCTGGAGTCATTGTGGATTTTGTGCGGTTTACGATGAAACCCAGAGATTTGAACACCTTCACAGAGTATGCCGTCTGTGACACCAATTGTTGTCATATCTGACTGTCGTCTAGATGCATAGGGTGCCCAATCCTCGAATGTGGGCCATCATTGGTTTCACAATCTCCATAAAGCACCACAGTGCTGAGCTTAGTCCGAATGGAAGGCAAGTGAATTGCCAAGGTGTTCCTTTCCATAGGAATCTCAGGAAAGGACGACTGTCATCATGCACTGGGACAGACGAATATCCGTCCTTGAGATCTAGGCAGGTGAACCGATCTCATTTTTGGAGAAGATCTTGTAATATGTGTATACTTTCCATTTTGAAATGGTGGTAGGTAACATGTACAATCAGGTCCCGCAGATTGATTACCAGACAGTATTCCCTAGTCTCTTTCCGTACGAGGAACATCTTGCTGAAGAAATCTCCCTGGGAGGTGGCCGGTTGGTCAGAGGCCTCTGACTCGTCTGCGTCCTCCTGTTGCTGGGGCTCACCCAGGAATGTCTCCTTAACGAAGGAGTTGTGACCCCAAGTCCCATCACCTGACTTACACTGTTTGGCCTTCCATTTGTCCAGAATCGACAATGAGGAGGGAACGTCACACTCCTCGTCCGAGGAAGCGTCGTATACCATCTGGGGCACGGCTTATACGTGTTTTCCCTTTTTAACCACTTAAGGACACATGACATGCATGGCATGTCATGATTCCCTTTTATTCCAGAAGTTTGGTCCTTAAGGGGTTAAGGTTGCTTTGCCTTTGTGAGGCTTCTGTTATGACCCTTCGCCCTTCCGGTGGTATTTCGCTGGGCGCGATTGCCCTTTAGAGGATGAATCTGAATCCTCTAACATCTCTCTTGTCTCTCTTGAGAGTGCTTGGGGGGGGTGGGGGGGGCGGTTTTGATGGTTTTTGGGTAACCAGTAGCAACTTAGCTAAGGCCTTTTCAACAGAAACGGCCAGAGCCACGTTAATAAGGGCCTGCAGGTCTGCTGGCATTTGGAAATCTTCCATCTCAGTACAAACTCTGGGTCTCCTAAATTAGTGTTGTAGTTATAAGGTGGATAGGCACTTATAGCAGATCGTCAGCAGGGACCAACCGGGTGTTTTTAATCGCCTATCGTATGTATGGCCATTTTACGTAAAGGGAGACAAATTCTGGGAGGCTCACCCAGAAATAAAAGAGACTGCGTGCACAGCTCCCCTCAGCAGCGCCAATCAAAATGGGGGCTGACTCCAATGCCGGAGTACTAGGTACGAGAATCTGACCGGCTGACTTACCTTTAGCGTTTCCACTAACCTGGAGCAGGTCACTGAGACAGGCAGTAAACACAGCAATAACAAGATATTTGTTGAAAACATAATGTAGTACAGCACAGTGAGGGAATAAGTCCACACAGCACAAACTCCGAATCACACTCAGTGTTTATAATGGCCACAATAATGCAAGATCCAAGATGACCGCTGTAAAGCCCGCAAAACCGTATTTAGGATTCGCGGGGAAACTCATGAACGGGTCAGGGAAAATTTTCGCGAACGGCATTTAGCCGCAAATGCTATTGTGCGCGAACAACCATTCACGGCAAGCATGCAAACCTAATGGGAAACCATCTGTAGAATGCAATGTGTTTTAGTCACGTTCGACAGGTAGGTACAGGTAAACGCTGACGTCACGAATTAAAGTTCGCAAAATATTCACCGAATGAGTAAAGTAATGTGCGTGTTCGGTTGGTGAATGGCCCGAATAAGCAGGTTTCCACAAGGTTTCCACATGAACTAGTGTGGCACGCGAATGCCTAAAGGGCAGGAGAGTCTCCTTGGCGCTTTACACTCACTTTGTGAGTGCGCTGTGCCGCGAGGGCTCCCCAAAGTGGTGAGCATAGCCATAGAAGACGGGGAATATACCAAGATGGATTAAAACCATCGGTATATTCCCTGAACAGTGCGAGGGAAGGAACAGAGGGGAAGAAAAAAAGGCGGGATTAAAGGGTAGGAAGAAACCTAGCCCAACAGTGCAACCCAAGCAATAAGGATGCAAATAGCCCCTAAATTCCCCACAATAGACAATAAACATATATATTAAAAAGTAATAATGACAAGACAGGCCAGTGAAAAGAATGTGAGACACACAATATTCTGTACAACCAAAAAAAAAGTGCGCTATAATATTAAATTTACTCTATATTTCCAAAATTCAAACATGTGACAGACCAATAGTAAGAAAAATCACAATACTGCAAAGTGCACAATTTAAAGTGCATAGTGTATTAAAGTGCACAATTATGACCAAAGAGCAATTGCAACGTCAAGTTTATTGTGGTAAAAAAAAAAGTTTTATTGTGGTAATAACATTTTTGGAAGATCAGTATTTTCTGGATGTGCACATCTTTTACAAGATTGGTCCACCCCACGGGAGGAAGCCGGATGTTGTATGGTGGTGGAGAGGAGCCTTAACAGATTGAGCAGACTTTCCTGCTTCTTGTTTGTGAGTGCATTTAGTACTACTTATATATTGACAATATTGTATAAACTAGCGTATACGTATTGGGTTATTGCACTTGGGAGGTCCTGCTTTTATTGAAATATTGATTGCTTGTCACAAAAAATGTTTAGCACCATATTTTACTTGTTTTCTAGTGTGTACACAATATTCTGACCGGACTTGTGATGGAGCAGCAAAGAGAGTGGAAGTGCCTCAGTTGGAGGGGCTTATTATATACTATGTTTATCTCTTATTGGTCATTTATGTTCTTTCCTGCTATTGGAGTAGTTAAGGAAGTTAATGCAAAATATGAAGCATCCTGTCATGTGATAAAATTCAATGCTTTCCCATTGGAAAGCATTTGGGACTATTGAGCATGTGCGGCAAAATGCTGCACCAATCAGCATCTCCTCATAGAGAAGCATTAGATCAATACATCTCTATGGGAAATGTTCCTTGCCTCCAGGCAGAGCGTGGAGATGCTGAATGCACTGAGATAAGAGACACTTCAGTGGCCATTTAAGTTACTGCCACTAGAGGTGTTATTAGGTAGCAAAGTATACACACTCTCTGAAAAAGCAGTGTTCATTTTGAAAAGCCTGCAGGAACAGGCAACAGACACCAGAGCCACTACATTACTATCTTGATTTGCATGTAATGCGTCTATCTCATATCAATCTCAAGGCCTTGAGATTTCTTTCTGTTTTCAAATTCCATTAAATATACTCGTTTTTGCTGTGATTTGCAATAACCATTTGTGCGCTATCACCTTTGTCTATACTCCAAGATTTTGGAGTAAAAGGGGAAACTAATATATGAGATAGACGCATTACATGCAAATCAAGATAGTTCAAGCTGTGATTTGTCATAAGTGCATTGATTATGGCTTACAGCTCATGAAAATCCCAAATCCGCAATCTCAGTGAATTAGAATTTAACATGCAATCAATAAAACAAGGAGTGTACATAGAACAATATTGGACCTCTGAAAAGTATAAGCATGCATATGGACTCAGTACTTGGTTTGGGCCCCTTTTGCAGCAATTACTGCCTCAATGCGGCGTGGCATGGAAGCTATCAGCCTGTGACACTGCAGAGGTGTTATGGAAGACCAGGATGCTTCAATAGCGGCCTTCAGCTCTTCTGCATTGTTCGGTCTCATGTCTCTCATCTTTCTCCATGGGGTTGAGGTCAGGCGAGTTTGCTGGCCAATCAAGCACAGTAATCCCACTGCCACTGAACCAGTCTTTGGTGCTTTTGGCTGTGTGGGCAGGTGCCAAGTCCTGCTGGAAAATGAAGTCAGCATCCCCATAAAGCTTGTCTGCGGAAGGAAGCATGAAGTGCTCCAAAATTGCCTGGTAGATGGCTGCGTTGACCCTGGACTTACAGCACAGTGGACCAACACCAGCAGATGACATGGCTCCCCAAATCAACACAGACTGTGGAAACTTAGCACTGGACTTCAAGCATCTTGCAGTATGTGCCTCTCCATTCTCCCTCCAGACTCTGGGTCCTTGGATTCCAAATGAAATGCAAAAGTTGCTCTAATCAGAAAAGAGGACTTTGGACCCAGTGGCGGATCCAGAGCCTGATCTCGGGAGGGGCACTTGTACATTATATAAAGAAATAATCCAGGCACAATAACCACTACAGCTCAGTGTAGTAGTTATGGCGCCAGTAGTGCCCGGATCCCATCCCAGAGTAAGTAGTCAAACCACTTAAGAACAGTTTGACAACTGTGTGTCTGCTGGGATATAGAGCATAGGAGCAGTGGTATGTGTTAGGGGTGAAGTGTGTGTGAAAGGTGCAGTGTGTGTGTGTGAGCGGTGAAGTGTGTGTGCAAGTGCGTGAGGGCAGCAGTGTATGTCAGGGTTGCAGTGTGTGTGTTAGGGGGCAGTGTGTGTGTGTGAGAGAGCTGCAGTGTGTGTGTGTGTGTGTGTGTGTGTGAGCGGTGCAGGGTGTATGTTAGGGTGGCAGTGTGTGTGAGTTGCAGTGTGTGTGTGTTGGGGGCAGTGTGTGTATGGGGGGCAGTGTTTGTGGGGCAGTGTGTGTATAGGGGGCAGTGTTTGTGGGGCAGTGTGTGTAGTGTGTGTATGGGGGGGGCAGTGTGTGTAGTGTGTATATATGGGCAGTGTTTGTGGGGGACTCCCTGGTGGTCCCAGTGGTAGGAGTGAACTCTAGCCCGTGAACTCTAGCCCGTAGCTCCAGGGCTAGAGTTCATTCTCGCGAGATTTGGAGCGTTGACGTGGTAACCGGAGAAGCTGCAGGGAAGAGCTCCCAGGTACTCTCTCCTCCCTCTCTGCATTAGCCGGCAGGGGAAAATCTCGGGGGGGGGGGAAATTGCCCCGTTGCCCCCCCTGGATCCGCCACTGTTTGGACCACTGAGCAACAGACCAGGTCTGTTTTTCTTTAGCCCAGGTTAGACGCTTCTGACGTTGTTTGTTGTTCAGCAGCGGCTTGACAAGAGGAATACGACATCTGAAGCCCATGTCCAGGATCCGTCTGTGTGTGGTGGCTCTTGATGCACTGACTTCAGCCTCAGTCCACTCCTTGTGAAAGTCCCCAACACATTTGAATGGCCTTTTCCTGACAATCCTCTCCAGGCTGCGATCATCCCTGCTGCTTGTGCACCTTTTTCTTCCACACTTTTCCCTTCCACATAACTTTCTTTTAATGTGCTTTGATACAGCACTTCGGGAACATCCAACTTCCTTCGCAAATACCTTTTGAGGCTTTCCCTCCTTATGGAGGGTGTCAATGATGGTTTTCTGCACAACTGTCAGGTCAGCAGTCTTCCCCATGATTGTGATTCCTACTGAACCAGACTGAGAGATCATTTAAAGGCTCAGAAACCCTTTGCAGGTGTTATGGCTTACTTAGCTGATTAGAGTGGGACACTGTGAGCCTAGAATATATTGCACCTTTTCACAATATTCTAATTTACTGAGATTGTGGATATGGGGTTTTCATGAGCTGTAAGCCATAATCATCGCATTTATGACAAATCACGGCTGAAACTATCTTGCTTTGCATGTAATGTGTCTAGCTCATATATTAGTCTCCCTTTTTACGTTGCATTACTGAATTAAATGATTTTAAATGATTTTGCATGATATTCTAATTTTTTGAGTATCACCTGTCTATATATACATATATATATATATATATATATATATATATATATATTAAGTAGATAAAGGAAATGCACTCTTTGGTCTTTATGCAAAAATCAGTAGTATTTAATGAATTCGATCAAAAAAAGGTTTACATATATCCGATCAACGTTTCGACCCATTCAGCGTGGGATATATATATTCAGCGTGGGATTGCACCAGCGTGGCATGTAGCGGGCTTTTTACCATCTGAAAGGGTGAGTGCCATTTTCCTATATATATATATATATATATATATATATGTATTAAGGCCTTCTGGCCTGTAATTGTGGGAGGGGCGTATGTCACACCCCTTCCCTACTTACCTGGCTCCATACCGTTCGAGGTCAGCGCTGCATCACCCTCCTACCACTCCTCATTATTAACTCCCTTTTCTTTACATTTCTTCTTGGTGGGCCCTCTTTATTTACAGGCCTCATCGTCGGTTCCGGCACACCACAACCGACTTGCTCTTTTAATACCATCATGAGCCCTTAACACAAATATAGATATATATACAGTGGGACCTCAGTTTACAAACGACTCGGTTAACATTATTTTCGGTTTACAAATGAAAATCCATTGAAAATAATGCCTTGGTTTACACATTTGTTTCGCAATACAAAGCAAGTTTCCCCAGGATGCATTGCACCTGGGAGGTTTATAGCACTGCCCCCTGCATGCTGGAGCCTGTGGGTAGCAAGTGGCGTCAAGTGTGGAGATGTTGGAGCGGCTTTTGCATCAAGTTTTGGAGCCATTCTGGAAATTGTTTGCAGTTGTTTTGGGACTTTTTGGTGTATTTCTCAAGCTGTGGAAAGGTTGGGAGCTGAGCTTCGTCGTTTGCATGCCTTTTATTGTGTGTTCTGCATTGTGGATTGGTTTCCATGCCAGTTCATTTTGACTTTTTTCTGACCTCCAGAACGGATTCATTGGTTTTCAGTGCATTCCTGTGGGAAATCGCGTTTCGGTTTCCAAATTTTTCGCAATAAGAAACGTCCCGGAGAATGCATTAAATTCGTAAACCGAGGTCCCACTGTATATATAAAATCATTAACTTTGTTTATTTATTTTTAGAGCTCTTTTAGAGCAGTCACATGGTCCCTTGGGTTCTTTTTTGCAGAGGGGGGACTGTCTGGGCTGTCAGTCAGTTCCCCCATTGAAGAGGAAGACCGATTGCCGGCGGGGGAATGGTGTCGATCGGTAAGTACATGGGGAAGGAGGAAGGGAGGGTAGGGGTTACTTTTTTAATTGAATTTTTATTTTTTTATTTTAACTTTAAATGAGTGCCTCGACCCCTTGAGGCCCTCAGCACAGGCAGAGCATCAGAAGCCTGCCTGATTGAGTTCTCTGGCGTGCCGGCAGTGAGGGGGTATCAGTGGCGGATCCAGGGGGGGCAATGGGGCAATTGCCCTCCCCCCCGAGATTCTCCCATGCCGGCTAATGCAGGGCTGGCATTGTCTAAGTGCCAGCCCTCCAATGTGCCAGCAGACCGGGGAGGGAGATCAATGACTGAGTGAGAGGAGGACCCAGGAGCTCTTACCTGCAGCTCCTCCGGGTCCTCCTTTCGCGAGCATGGAGCGTTGCCGCGGTTACCATGGCAACGCTCCAAATTTCGCGAGAGTCAAAGGTAAGAAGGGAGGGGGCACATAAAGAATATATGTTTTAATTACATTTAAAAAAAAAAAACAGATATAAGAAGGGTGGGGGGGGGGCTTTTAATATTTTAATATAATATGTGTTGTTTTAAAAAAAAAAATGAATATATATGTATGGGGCAGTGTGTGTGTGGGGGGGGCAATGTGTGTGATAAGAAGGGTAGAGGGCTTTTTTATAATCACACACACATTGCTCCCCCTCCTCCCCCACACACACACTGCCCCCATACACACACACTGCCCCCCACACTCACACATACACTGCTATCCTCACACACACACACACTGCAAATATCACACACAAATACTGACCCACACATACACTGCCCCCCTAACACACACACTGCACCCCTGACATATACTGCCGCCCTCACTCACACACTGCAACCTTCACAGACACACACTGTCCCCCTCACACACACACTGCACCCCTTACACATTGCAACACTCACATACACCACTGCTTCTATGCCCTACTACAGCCCCATTTCCCAGTAGACCTCAGGTAAGTTGTCAAACTGTTATTAAACAGTTTGACTACTTACTCTGGGAGGGGGTCCCGGCACTATTGACACCATAACCGCTACACTGAGCTGTAGTGGTTTTTGTGTCTGGATTATTTAAAATAATAAATAATCTACAAGTGCCCCTCCCGAGATCAGGCTCTGGATCCGCCACTGGGGGGTATTGCAGCAATGCCTCGACATCGAGGCATCGCTGCAATACCATTAGAGCTGCTAGATGATCCTGAGCATGGTCATAAAGTCATATTCTGGCCCCCGTTTGCATCAGCAAACGGCGTGCGAGGGGGCATAGCTGGGAGAACACAGCTCCCTTGCCGCGTTTGACAGGTAGACAGCAGCCCGCCGGAGGGGTCCATCAGGTGGCCAGCAGGTGACATGGCGAAACATGGGGGACATTTGGGAGGTGGCATTTTTTGCTGCCACCTAATAAGTGCCTGCAGGAGCAATGGGAACGGCGTTCCTGCTGTGAAAAAAGTGCAGGAACACTGTTCCAACGCGTTCCTGCAGGACTCGAGCCCTGTGTGCGTGTATCTTTGTGTCAGTGTGCATATGAGTGTGTGTGTATGTGCCAGTGTGTATCTGTGTGCCAATGTGTATCTGAGTGTGTGTGTGAATGCGCCACTGTGTATGTGCCAGTTTATGTATCTGTGTGTCAATGTGTTCATACATGTTTAGTGTGTGTGTGGGAGTGCTGTAGCAGGTGAAGCCATTTTTGCATGCTGGGATGTCTGCAACCCTGATGGAAATAGAATATATATATATAAGAAATATGGTAAGCTCATAATATCAGTTTTATTACAGCATTTTATACTTTGCAGGACGACGGGTCTGTGCTGGAGAGAGTTTGGCCAGAATGGAACTCTTCATATTCTTTACCGGTTTGCTCCAGAAGTTCACGTTCCACCCGCCACCCGGGGTAGACAAGTCTGATCTAGACCTTACTGCAGACACATTTTTCACCATGAGACCAAAGCATTATAAAATTTGTGCCACACTGAGACAATAGTTAAGACAAAAGAAAATAAAAATCTTTGGTCTTATTGATATGCAACTATCTGCACTTATTTAAAGGTCCACTAAAGTCACCCAGGCCACTTTATCTCAATGAAGTGGCCTGAGTGCAGTGGTTCTGTCAATTTAACCCTTCATGGTAAAACATTGCAGCATTGCAAATACGTTAATATTTTCCACCTCTTTCCTCATCTCCAACCCTGACTCATTTCCCTTTGCCGGGAGCAACTTGGCCGGTGCCCGGTGCACCTCCAGGGGGTGCTTTACGGGATAACAACACGATCCATTTGTGTAAAAATACTCACAGATGACGGATAACTATAGATAACTATGACGGCTCCCCTGAATACGGCTCCAGGTTTAAGGGCTGATATGTTTTATATGAATATTGTTACTGGATTCTTTTGAGTTCTTATTAACTATTTCTCTGCGTATGAAAACGTTTTATATACACATGTTGCATCAATAAATATCTATTTCAAACAAAAACAGCAATGTTTTCCCTGAAGGATTAACTCACCAGTCACTTTAACAGCCACTGGAGGTGTTTCCACCGCACAGACTGAGTAAAACCTGGTCACGTGATGCAGAAGCCCCCACAGGAAATAATGGATTCAATGCTTAGCCATGGAAAAGCTTGAATGTGCATTCATGCACATTAGGTTACCAATGCTCCTCTATAAGGAGCTTAGGATTGGATCATGCCGTAGGAGGCCATACCTTCACCATGACATTGTGGGAGGAGGAGAGGTGAGCAGCACTAATGCAGCCTTGGCACTGGAAAAATGTATGTAAAAAGTATTGTATTGTATTATTTTTCACGTGACCCACTGGTTTGTATTCCTAACACTCTAGAGTTCCTTGAATCTACAAATAGGCACATATAACACCTTAATGAAATTCTGCAGGATTAATAGCCACTTTTTTGAACGTTTACAGAAGAAATTTAATACAAGTGAGCGCACACAGGCCTCACTATAGAGAACGAAATACCCATAGCTTGTAGCTGTACTTTGAGATCACAACATTCAGTCATAACATAAGCGTTACAAGGAATAGGTACCCCTGGGTTCATTTTCAAATGACATTATGTTCAGTGCAAGGGGAGTATCCTCCAGCTATCATAATCATGTTAACCTTCTCCAAACTAACCCTGTTTGTATCCAAGGTGCCGTGTATCCTGCTAGAAAGGACAATAGAAAGAGATAAAGAGGGTGATGAGGCAGATAGATAGGAAGCAGTAATTGGTAATCCCCCAGAGAGGCTGAGCCACCCTTGGAGAGACCGAGCCAGCCCCCAGAGAGTCCGAGCCTCCCCCTGCAGATTTCCTGTGACTTGGGCTACAATCACATCTCACAAGTCACGCGCCATGTACACAAACCATATCCATAGCAATTTTAGATGAATTTTGGAAATTTACTCCATCAACTTCTTCAAAAATATGACCGATGGCTGTTATGTAAACTTATTTTACTTAAAGGGATACTAAGCACCATTATATTCACTTCATCTTATTTTTATGGTTATAGTGCATGTAAGGTATGTGTCTAGTCTTTCCAGATTTAGTCAAGTATAGTCAAGTAGTTTGACAAACCATACGGAATTTCCTAAAACTGTTTAAATAAGAGAAAATATCCTCATTCTCCGTCTAGCCCATGTTTATATAAAAGAGGGTTGTCATCTGAGAGTGTCATTGCCATTGTCCTTCTCTGTTTCCATTGTTGTAAGAATGATCTTTGTGTTCAATAAAAAATCTTGGCTACTCTTGCCCCCTGAACATGAGTGTAGTCTCTGTTTTTTTGGATGGAGGGCTAATGGCTGGCGGACCTGTGTGTCAACAGTTGAATCACTTGAGCCTATGAGCCAAATGTATTTTTGTAAAGACCGTGTCGCAAACACCCAGAGGAATTGTTTCCTGCCTGGAAAAAGGAGAAGCCAGAAGAGATGATTTAACTGTCCAGTGGATAGACCTTACCCTGAAGAATCATGCTGGACAGGAGACAGATAAAACTGGGGCTGGGACAGGTCTGGATCCAAAGCTGGGGACCAGTCTACATTGTTTGCGTTAAAATAACCACATAAAAAAAGCCAAAATGGCAAGGTCCTAAAAGTATCAAGTCTAAATCAACACCTAGTGCTAATCAAATCAATCATAACACATCTAATGCATCTGTAATATATATACTTACTAAAGCATAGTTACCAACAGCTTAAATTTGATTGGGACAGTCCTGATTAACCACTTAAGAACCATGTAACGGTCTATGCCATCATGCATTGTAGGCTTTTATTCGCCTTGATGGCGTAGACTACCATGCATTAAAAGTGCTAACTCCCTGCTCCTAACAAGGAGCCTCAGATATAATTTGATACATATCTCTTTAAATCAACACAGCTGGGTGTTCATGCTTAAATGTGGTGATTCTGAGCTTGCCTCGGAGAGATGGAGACCCCCGGGGTTTGAAACGATCTCCCTGCATGCCCCTCTGCACAGTGATTGGCCCTGGACTTTGCCAGCACCAATCACTGTGTGAATGTATGAGCTGCAACATAAAAGGAAGATCTCCATGTCAAGCCGCAATCACACAGTACAGAGTGCTCACAGAGCACTTTATACGGTGTGAGTTGGAAAAACCATCTGCTGATATCAGTACTGACACCAACAGAAGGAACCTCTCAGGTTTATGTAGCGTTTTTTGATTCTGTGATTACTATAAAGGTATATGATCTCAGTATAAATATGTAAAAAGGATCAGCGCTAATATACTAGACCTTACAGAGATTAATAAAAGGCAGCACACCTGAGAACTAGGGCTTCCTCACCGGCCCTATAGGGTCGATAAAGCAAAAAAAGGGAGAGGGAGAGGCGGCGCCACCCGTGCAAAAAACCTGATTATAAACTATACAAGCATATATACAACACACTACAAGAGAGAATACATACAAGATAAAAAACAAAAAAAGAGTTTGAAATATAGATAATGAATAATAATCAAGAGTCCAAAAAGTAAGTCAAAAGAGTCTATGCCTGATGAATACAGCAAAAAGTCCAAATAAAACCTTGTATTAGAAGTCAATCACAATCTTGTCCATCAGGTATGGGCATGGGATATTCGTGAAATCCGTCTGAAAAAAGAAAAAGACAGCAAATACTGGTGCAGTATATCCCAACAGGTACTAGGTACTATTTTGTAAGAGGTCTATATGGTCCTACTCACGTTTTCCAGAGCTATAAGACTAGCACTAGTGTGAATGGCATACAGTGGTACAATCCCCACTTATGGGATACGTGAAGTTTTGTAGTAGATGGATATCTTGTTGGTATAAGGACCATATGAAATATAAAAGAAACAATAATAGTGCTTATTGTATAAAATCCAGAGGTGAAATAATAAAATACCAAGTGGTTACTCACATTTTATTGAGCAGGCAGACTGCTCAATGGATAAAGCTTGAGTGATATAATCACAACCAATGATTCTTTGGAGGAAAATTCTCAATGGAATAATAAAAACCCAGGTAAAGATAAAGGTAAAAATAAATAAAAGCCCCCCCCACCCCCCCACTGCTGACTGGATAGCCAGAATGGAAGACATCAGGAGCATAGAAGAAATCATCCTGGCAGCTAGATGACGGAGCCAAACCTACCAGAAGATCTGGTTCCACTGGATACACTGGCTAACAACACAAAATCGACCCGGGACCGAGACCCACAACCTCCAGTACCAACAGACCTAACCCCGTATCGAAAGCCAGGACACCACATACTGCAGGAACGCCATCGGACGCCTCCTCAACCGGAGGGGTGGTGGTGGCGGGGGTCCCGCGGGGTTGGAGGAGCGGGAAACCCAAAGGCCAACACATCAGCCCTTCCCCCTCCCCATCCAGGTCCCTTCCTCTTAACCTAACACCCACCCTTATATTCTATCTTTTCTCTCTCTCCTTCTCTTGCCCCCTGCTTCCTGCCCCTACACCCCCACGCAGAAGGCCCACACCACGCAGCTAGACGGCCTAGGCCGAACAACCACACAGAAGCAGGACCCCTCCCTAATTCCTACTTTACAACTATTACGTACCTCTCTTGACTCTCCACCTGCCAATGAACACACAACCCACCGGCAACCTATAGGCCGCCAAACGACAGAGAACACCCAACCCCACTATCCTTCCCCAAACCCATAATGACCCAGAAGTAATTACTGCACCAAGAGGGCAAATATTACCCACAGGGATACCACAGGACCGCCCCAGAAACCCACCCAGGCAGTCAACAACAGGCAATGAAACCTCCGCGCAGCCCACTAGGGAGGGCAGTATCTCATCCCTTGATAGGGGACTACAACCTTCCTTGCATCTGATGACGCGGACATACACCATACCCTGTACTATACAAGGGGCCATACCCAGACCATAGCCACTGCCAATATGGCCTACTACCTACTGACTGACAATACTGCACTATGACACGCTCTTATGATCAACCTCAGTTCAACATATCGCTGCCACCATATAGGGACTCGGCACTAGGACAAGAAATGCACTAAATTGTCATGTGCCTTACCTAGTCTGACACTTTATGCCTCTGCATAGGCAACAGCACGCACACATACTTTTGTTCAGACTTAGCCCACACTCTTAACGCTAGCGTACGCAGATGGGATATTAGGAAGTTATGAAATGCTCACTAATACCCATGTCAAAATTGATGTGTACTATGTTACCCGCATTACCTTTCTTCAACATAACAATTTTTTAAATTTATTTTTTTACTTTATTATAAAACGTGTCAGCCATATTAGGGAGGGCAATGAAAGAAAGTGGAAGGAGGGAATGAATGAATAAAACATATATGTGACAAGTAGCAAGTGCAAATATGGTTACTCAGACCCGGATTTTAAAATATGATAGTAGAAAATTATAATAATTATACCCATACCCTATCCTCTACACCATGCTATCCCAAGCCTGCCCTTCCACACCATGCTATCCCAAGGCTGCCCCCCGCACCCACTTTCAACCACTGCCTGCTATCCCAAGCCTGCCCCACCCCCCACACCCTGCTATCCCAAGTCTGCCTCCTCCATATCCTGCACTCCCACACTGTCACCCTCACAGCCTGTCCCCATAGCCTTCCTACACACTGCCCCCCATACTGTCACCTTCCTACACACTTCTCCCCAAACGGTCACTTTCCTACATGCTGCACCCCTATAATTTCACCTTCCTACACACTGTTCCCCTATACTGTCACATTTCTACACACTGTGCCCCCCCCTTTCAGCCCACAGTTAATAGGCAGGGAGAGGGGGACAAGCCTGATTTAATTTATACTGCTCACCCCCCAGCACTTATCCAACACTACACAGACACTACTACATACGCAAACACTACATCCACTACACATACACTGCATCCACTACGCAGACACTGCATCAATCACACAAACACTGCATCCACTTCCATACACACAGACAATGCAGTCAACACACACACTGCATATAATGCACACTACACCCACGACACAAAAACAGACAGCATCCATACGTGCATCCACTACAGACACACATAATGCATTCACTTACCACACTGCATACACTACACAATGTGTCCACTACACAAACAGACATTGTATTTACTACACACACTGCATAACATGATGGATGTTGGCGTTGTGTGCTTTTGGCGCGAAGGGGGTAGCAGCAGACTCCTGGACGCAGTCTTGGGCCGGCCCTGGTGCAGTGTGATAAGTTTGCAGTGATAAAATTATAAACATAAGAGTATTAAGAGTTTATTTGGTAATCAGCATTTACAAGGTTAAACATTATACATTTTAGCAAAAATAGCACATGGTACACATCAGAAGTCTGGATGTTGAGCGACAACGTAGTAACCAATCAATTGTTAGTATTATTTTGATTCTGTGCCACTCAAAGATCTGTTGAAATGAAACCTATATAAATCCTATCTTTCTACCAATAAATTGACAAATTGTCTGATTGCACCAGAAACGTTGTGTCTCTTTCTAATTCTCCCAACTGGATGAGACAACAAGAGTTTGGCCATAAATAGTTTGATTCTGCAGTTAAAGAGATGGTTGGCCAACCATGTGAACCCCAGTCAGTTAAAGAACCTATAACAGTTCCTTAAACTATCTTATTTGTATGCATTGTAAGGAGTAAAACAGTTTTCAAACAGTTGGATTTCTTTGGTGGGGTGTACTGGGCACCGCTCCCTGACTCCACTACCATAACTAACGTTCCAAAGTAGGAACTTCTGTTAGCACTTGTGTGTTAAGCCCTGCAAGACTTAGCTCATTGGGCATTGGAAATTCTACCTTAGGAATATTTGGCTCTGACGATGGCGTTGGAGGTGGGAAGAGGAACCCGGCAGACCCCAGGCACGAAGTCAAACTTTTCTGAAGTCGTTTCATTTTTACAATGGCGGGGCACCGCACCAGGACCCTGCAAGCTGTAGCAGATGTTTCCATGGTTTTTCTACACTTTCATAGAACCTGGCTCTATCTGATCAAATTGTCAAAAACTGTTGGAGAAAACCAAAAAGGATTTTGAGATTTTATTGTGATTTTCTGCCCCTAAAAATGGACTTTAGAACGAATACTTGTGCAACATACTCTATTCACAAGATTGTGTAACCTGATAAATAAAATGGCACAACTTGAATCAAAAATTTGTTAGTGTCATCTAATGCTGAATAATTTGTTCTCTGTCTATTTGGCAGGGATCATATCTGTTATAAAGTAAAAAAACAACTATTTAT